AATCCTAGATGGTGGTGTTATAATGTATTAATCCTAAATATAATGTATTAATCCTAGATGGTGGAGTTATAATGTATTTATCCTAAATATAATGTATTAATCCTAGATGGTGGAGTTATAATGTATTAATCCTAGATGGTGGAGTTATAGTGTATTTATCCTAAATATGATGTATTAATCCTAGATGGTGGAGTTATAATGTATTTATCCTAAATATAATGTATTAATCCTAGATGGTGGAGTTATAATGTATTAATCCCAGATGGTGGAGTTATAATGTATTTGTCCTAAATATAATGTATTAATCCTAGATGGTGGAGTTATAATGTATTAATCCCAGATGGTGGAGTTATAATGTATTTATCCTAAATATAATGTATTAATCCTAGATGGTGGAGTAATAATGTATTAATCCTAGATGGTGGAGTTATAGTGTATTTGTCCTAAATATAATGTATTAATCCTAGATGGTGGTGTTATAATGTATTAATCCCAGATGGTGGAGTTATAATGTATTTGTCCTAAATATAATGTATTAATCCTAGATGGTGGTGTTATAATGTATTTATCCTAAATATAATGTATTAATCCTAGATGGTGGTGTTATAATGTATTAATCCTAAATATAATGTATTAATCCTAGATGGTGGAGTTATAATGTATTTATCCTAAATATAATGTATTAATCCTAGATGGTGGTGTTATAATGTATTAATCCTAGATGGTGGAGTTATAATGTATTTGTCCTAAATATAATGTATTAATCCTAGATGGTGGAGTTATAATGTATTAATCCTAGATGGTGGAGTTATAATGTATTTATCCTAAATATAATGTATTAATCCTAGATGGTGGTGTTATAATGTATTTATCCTAAATATAATGTATTAATCCTAGATGGTGGAGTTATAATGTATTAATCCCAGATGGTGGAGTTATAATGTATTTGTCCTAAATATAATGTATTAATCCTAGATGGTGGTGTTATAATGTATTAATCCTAAATATAATGTATTAATCCTAGATGGTGGCGTTATAATGTATTTATACTAAATATAATGTATTAATCCTAGATGGTGGAGTTATAATGTATTTATCCTAAATATGATGTATTAATCCTAAATATAATGTATTAATCCTAGATGGTGGAGTTATAATGTATTTATCCTAAATATAATGTATTAATCCTAGACGGTGGAGTTATAATGTATTTATCCTAAATATAATGTATTAATCCTAGAATGTGGAGTTATAATGTATTTATCCTAAATATAATGTATTAATCCTAGATGGTGGAGTTATAATGTATTTATCCTAAATATAATGTATTAATCCTAGAATGTGGAGTTATAATGTATTTATCCTAAATATAATGTATTAATCCTAGACGGTGGAGTTATAATGTATTTATCCTAAATATAATGTATTAATCCTAGAATGTGGAGTTATAATGTATTTATCCAAATATAATGTATTAATCCTAGATGGTGGTGTTATAATGTATTAATCCTAGATGGTGGAGTTATAATGTATTTATCCTAAATATAATGTATTAATCCTAGATGGTGGAGTTATAATGTATTAATCCCAGATGGTGGAGTTATAAATGTATTTGTCCTAAATATAATGTATTAATCCTAGATGGTGGAGCATAATGTAATTATCCTAAATATAATGTATTAATCCTAGATGGTGGAGTTATAATGTATTTATCCTAAATATAATGTATTAATCCTAGATGGTGGTGTTATAATGTATTAATCCTAAATATGTATTAATCCTAGATGGTGGAGTTATAATGTATTTATCCTAAATATAATGTATTAATCCTAGATGGTGGAGTTATAATGTATTAATCCCAGATGGTGGAGTTATAATGTATTTGTCCTAAATATAATGTATTAATCCTAGATGGTGGTGTTATAATGTATTAATCCTAAATATAATGTATTAATCCTAGATGGTGGAGTTATAATGTATTTATCCTAAATATAATGTATTAATCCTAGATGGTGGAGTTATAATGTATTAATCCTAGATGGTGGAGTTATAGTGTATTTATCCTAAATATGATGTATTAATCCTAGATGGTGGAGTTATAATGTATTTATCCTAAATATAATGTATTAATCCTAGATGGTGGAGTTATAATGTATTAATCCCAGATGGTGGAGTTATAATGTATTTGTCCTAAATATAATGTATTAATCCTAGATGGTGGAGTTATAATGTATTAATCCCAGATGGTGGAGTTATAATGTATTTATCCTAAATATAATGTATTAATCCTAGATGGTGGAGTAATAATGTATTAATCCTAGATGGTGGAGTTATAGTGTATTTGTCCTAAATATAATGTATTAATCCTAGATGGTGGTGTTATAATGTATTAATCCCAGATGGTGGAGTTATAATGTATTTGTCCTAAATATAATGTATTAATCCTAGATGGTGGTGTTATAATGTATTTATCCTAAATATAATGTATTAATCCTAGATGGTGGTGTTATAATGTATTTATCCTAAATATAATGTATTAATCCTAGATGGTGGTGTTATAATGTATTTATCCTAAATATAATGTATTAATCCTAGATGGTGGTGTTATAATGTATTAATCCTAAATATAATGTATTAATCCTAGATGGTGGAGTTATAATGTATTAATCCTAGATGGTGGAGTTATAGTGTATTTGTCCTAAATATAATGTACTAATCCTAGATGGTGGTGTTATAATGTATTAATCCTAGATGGTGGAGTTATAATGTATTTATACTAAATATAATGTATTAATCCTAGATGGTGGAGTTATAATGTATTAATCCCAGATGGTGGAGTTATAATGTATTTGTCCTAAATATAATGTATTAATCCTAGATAGTGGTGTTATAATGTATTAATCCTAGATGGTGGAGTTATAATGTATTAATCCTAGATGGTTAACTTGCTATGTATTTATCCTAGATGGTTAATTTGCTATGTATTTATCCTAGATGGTTAACTTGCTATGTATTTATCCTAGATGGTTAACTTGCTATGTATTAATCCTAGATGGTTAACTTGCTATGTATTAATCCTAGATGGTTAACTTGCTATGTATTAATCCTAGATGGTTAACTTGCTATGTATTTATCCTAGATGGTTAACTTGCTATGTATTTATCCTAGATGGTTAACTTGCTATGTATTAATCCTAGATGGTTAACTTGCTATGTATTAATCCTAGATGGTTAATTTGCTATGTATTAATCCTAGATGGTTAACTTGCTATGTATTAATCCTAGATGGTTAACTTGCTATGTATTTATCCTAGATGGTTAATTTGCTATGTATTTATCCTAGATGGTTAACTTGCTATGTATTAATCCTAGATGGTTAATTTGCTATGTATTTATCCTAGATGGTTAACTTGCTATGTATTTATCCTAGATGGTTAATTTGCTATGTATTAATCCTAGATGGTTAATTTGCTATGTATTTATCCTAGATGGTTAATTTGCTATGTATTAATCCTAGATGGTTAACTTGCTATGTATTTATCCTAGATGGTTAACTTGCTATGTATTTATCCTAGATGGTTAACTTGCTATGTATTTATCCTAGATGGTTAATTTGCTATGTATTAATCCTAGATGGTTAATTTGCTATGTATTTATCCTAGATGGTTAACTTGCTATGTATTTATCCTAGATGGTTAATTTGCTATGTATTTATCCTAGATGGTTAATTTGCTATGTATTTATCCTAGATGGTTTTGCTATGTATTTATCCTAGATGGTTAATTTGCTATGTATTTATCCTAGATGGTTAACTTGCTATGTATTTATCCTAGATGGTTAATTTGCTATGTATTTATCCTAGATGGTTAATTTGCTATGTATTTATCCTAGATGGTTAATTTGCTATGTATTAATCCTAGATGGTTAACTTGCTATGTATTAATCCTAGATGGTTAATTTGCTATGTATTAATCCTAGATGGTTAATTTGCTATGTATTAATCCTAGATGGTTAATTTGCTATGTATTAATCCTAGATGGTTAACTTGCTATGTATTAATCCTAGATGGTTAACTTGCTATGTATTAATCCTAGATGGTTAACTTGCTATGTATTAATCCTAGATGGTTAATTTGCTATGTATTTATCCTAGATGGTTAACTTGCTATGTATTAATCCTAGATGGTTAATTTGCTATGTATTTATCCTATATGGTTAATTTGCTATGTATTTATCCTAGATGGTTAATTTGCTATGTATTTATCCTAGATGGTTAATTTGCTATGTATTAATCCTAGATGGTTAATTTGCTATGTATTAATCCTAGATGGTTAATTTGCTATGTATTTATCCTAGATGGTTAATTTGCTATGTATTTATCCTAGATGGTTAATTTGCTATGTATTAATCCTAGATGGTTAATTTGCTATGTATTTATCCTAGATGGTTAATTTGCTATGTATTAATCCTAGATGGTTAACTTGCTATGTATTAATCCTAGATGGTTAACTTGCTATGTATTTATCCTAGATGGTTAATTTGCTATGTATTAATCCTATATGGTTAATTTGCTATGTATTTATCCTAGATGGTTAATTTGCTATGTATTAATCCTAGATGGTTAACTTGCTATGTATTTACCCTAGATGGTTAATTTGCTATGTATTAATCCTAGATGGTTAACTTGCTATGTATTTATCCTAGATGGTTAATTTGCTATGTATTAATCCTAGATGGTTAATTTGCTATGTATTTACCCTAGATGGTTAATTTGCTATGTATTTACCCTAGATGGTTAATTTGCTATGTATTTATCCTAGATGGTTAATTTGCTATGTATTTATCCTAGATGGTGGATTCACAATGCCCTTTGTATAATAAGCACAGCTTCCCTCACTAGCTGGCTTGTAGCTTGTCCCACCTTCATTGCACTGTCACGATGAATACAGGAATTGTTCTTGCAGCCAATCCTCATGCTCCCCTTCTGCGTCTCAAGCCTCGCTCTGGCAACCAATCAGAATTGCGTTCGAGGTGTAGCGTGACTTTCTGCTTGAGAGTCCTGCAAGTGGCACTTGTGGCTCAGGTGAGTGGACGCAGGTGTGACAGGGACTGTCATCTAGTGTGAGATAGGAAGGACAGCGAGGTAGGTGGATATGGCACAATAATAGTCACATGGGATAAACTGATGGTTATTATCCATGCTTGATATATGCGGTGTGCTTGCATAAAAATACATTTATTTATTATTTATTATTTATTTTTTAGAGGCTAGACCAGTTATAGCTGACTTTGGGATGTCAGAAGTTGTGAACTTCGTTACTAGTGATTCTTGGCCGAGGTTTATGGGGAATGTAGTTCACCATAACTGGAGTGTCAAAGGTTAAACATCACTGAGCCAAAAGAAAAATAAATGTTAAAGTGGTACCCTAGACGTAAAGTGCACATAGCAACCTAGTAGAATGAAGTAAAAAGTAAATTGGGAAGCTGTATTAAACACTCTGTAGTAGGTGTCTGTTTGCATAGTTGATATTTGGGTGTTTTGTTTTTTTTTGGTGCAGTTGAGTCTAAAAATATACGTATCTGTTAATATATGTATATATGTCATCTCTACCTTAGTTACGAAATGGCTGCTCTGTGGGAAGACATCTTCAGCAACAAAGAGGTGCTTGAAGAAATAGCACCCATTGCCGTTGATAAAGCTCTGTTAATGGGAGTTCTAATTAGGACGAAGGATAACCCAAATTCGTCTGACGTAAGTACTGAAAGAAAACCAATCGTTGGTAATTGCTAGACATATATACACACAAGACGCTGACTGCACATAAAATATGTATTAAAAAAATAATAATCTTCACCTTCTGTACCAGGGGTGTTCAAAAGGTAGATGCCCAGATATTTTAAAACTGCAACTTCCATGATGCATTGTCATTCTAAAGGCAGGCAATGCATCATGGGAATGGTAGTTCTAGAACATGTGGGGATCTATCTCTTGGACACCCCTAGATTCTATACTGTGGACAAATATCTATCGATCTGCATACAAATTAAACAGATTTGCTACTCTAGGAGGGTGACAGTGCACTTCTGGCATCATACCCACTTCATGCTGTAGTGTGTATGGTGCTTGGAGTGTTCCTTTAAGTTTTATGGTGTATTGAGTGCTTATTACTGTTTTGTATATCTGTAATTGTATTATTACTAGTTTACGTATATAGGTTTAAAGAGTCAATGGGCAGGCTGTATTGGGAACATAACTAGTAACCATCAGGAATAACCAGAAGAATTCCCTTAAAGGACCACTATAGGCACCCAGACCACTTAAGCTTAATGAAGTGGTCTGGGTGCCTGGTCCATCTAGGGTTAACCCTTTTTTCTATAAACATAGCAGTTTCAGAGAAACTGCTATGTTTATGTTAGGGTTAATCCAGCCTCTAGTGGCTGTCTCATTGACAGCCGCTAGAGGGCTACCGCGTTTCTCACTGTGAAAATCATTGATGCGCATTCGCATTCAGCCGAAGAGGGAGGAGAGCTCCCCGCCTGGCGCTGGAGAAAGAGGTAAGTTTAACCCCTTCCTCTCCATCCAGCCCGGTGGGAGGGGGACCCTGAGGGTGGGGGCACCCTCAGGGCACTATAGTGCCAGGAAAACAAATTTGTTTTCCTGGCACTATAGTGGTCCTTTAATGTTGTGTTGCAACTATGGCACTATAGCTTCCACTTCTGTCAAGGCTCCCTCCCACGGCACTAAAGGGGTTAATAACCCCTTCAGTCACTTACCTGGTTTCAGCGCCGATGTCCCTTGGCGTTGGCTCAGCTCCACCCATGATCTTCCCTTTGCCGTTGGCTGCTGGCTGGGGAGACCTAATGCGCATGGATTATTATTTAATGCTTTCCTCTGGGGATTCCGGCAACGCTCGACGTCCTCATGAAGAGCGTGGGGACGTTGAACGTTATTTAAAACACTTTTCGTGCTCTAAGAACATGGAAGCACCATCTAGCGGCTGTCTGAGAGACAGCAACTAGAGGTTGGATTAGCCCTGTAATCAAAACACTGTGGTTTCTCCAAACCGCAGTGTTTTGACTAACAGGGCTAAGGGGAGAGGGGCAAGGCACCCAGACCACTCCAATGGGCAGAAGTGGTCTGGATGTCTACAGTGTCCCTTTAAGCAATATTATGGCACAAGGACACAGAAAGTATATATATTCTAAAGGTATTCTGTCATCGAGTTACTCCAAGCATCATAACCACAACAGCCTTGAAGTATCTCCTGTGCTACTGGGCGAATGACATTCTGATCTCATGCTCACTCACTGGTTGGGAGTGTCAGCTGATTGCTCTTGGCCAATGAATGACATTCTGTGCTTAGAAATATTTACAGAATTGACATTAGACATCCTGGAATTCCTTGTTCTGGGCTGGCTAATGACGCTGTCAGAAGGGAAGTTACACCTCTACCAGCAAAGGAGTGTAAATGTTGTATGTGCTGATTTCATAGCAAAGCACTGCACATAGAGATTCCAGGGATCATAACCACTTCAAATTACTGAAGTGGTCATGGTATTGAAGTAACTGTTTAACCATGTGATAACATATACCAATTAAACAAACATGCTCTTTTTATAGAAATTGGCCATCTAAGAAATCATGTTCCCATTTACTGTTCTGTTTACTGTCCAGACATTGTTATGCCACAAAATAAGCTCAGGAGGAGTGTTTATTTAAAAAAAACACTTAAAGCGCACTGTAGTGGTTACGGTGCCTGGAGTATCCTGGTGCTCTCCCACAATTAGTAGTCAAACCATTTAAAGGACTACTGTAACTTCAAACATATATAAATGTGAGCACTGCACTCAAAGTATTTCCCCTTCGTGTATTTGCCTCGGAGCCAAATTCTTTGCCAAAACCCAGAATCCAAGAATGAGCTCACCCAAGGTCTTTGTGAATAACCTTCTGCTCTATTTTGTAGTAAAATACACCAATGTGTTGATGTTTCAGTACATCTCCGGATACTTTTCAAAACAAATAAAAACTGCCAAAATGAAAACACTACTCTGTGACATGTTTGGTGACGTGATAAATTATCCCGAACCCCATTTTGACAGAAAGCAAGTTTCAATTTCAAGTGATCATGAAAATGTATTATATACCTTATACACACCATAGGAAAGTGGTTACAGTGAAGGTATAGAGAGATACATGTAACATTATTTATTAGATCAAAATAAGAAATTATTAGTGTTACCATATTATACTTAACCCCAGAGAAAAGGGGAGGATCGCCTAAAGTACTGAAAAAGTAACAAGCAAACAATGAAAAAGTTTTGAATAGGGAAAAATACCCAAATAGAATAGATATTCATTATTGAGATGATAGCAAGTTTATTTTTTTGTAATCTTTTTATTGAGATGATAGCAAGTTACAAATGACTAACATCAGCAACATGCAACTACATCACAGTAAGAATTGTACACCAAATATATCATAAGCTGAGCTGGCACATAGAGAACATCTGTGGCAGAATGCACAGGTGAGTAATCTTATACAAAAACTAGAACGGTCTGTCAAAGGGTAATTATCCAGCTTGGATGGTCAGTCAACCTATGCCCAAATTGGGTAATGCCAGGGGCACTGAACAAGTACCACTTAGAGGTACACCACAGCTGCATGGAGCCCCAGAACCAAGCCAGCTCCTGGTCTTTATGCATAAGTAATGTCCAGGGCATGAGTCCCTGAGTCCTGGGAGCGGTAGCAACAAAGGACATTGATGCCTTTTCCGCAAAACCCTCTAGGGATGTGGGCAGTGAGAGGGGTACATTCCCCTAGGGGCTCCCGGCTCAGGAACTCACATCTGCGGGAAAGTAACTGACGCTCTCCGATAGGCAGGTAAGATGAAGATGGTCGCTGTATTGCTTGTTGATCCATCCGAGCCAAGAATCTTCTGAACAGCTGGTCCTATTTAGCCAAGATATCATCCAATTGCTGGCATGGTTCCATGCCACGTTCAACTGAGACTACACAAAACCACATGCAAGTCCCTTAAAGACAAATACTCATTTGACTGGAAAACCAATAATATCACATACTTGGGGATTAAGTTAATGACATCCACAGCTAAACTAATTCAAGAAAACCATGTCAAACTATTACACGAGATTGGAGATTCTATGACTTAATCACAATGCTGATTCTACCCAAGATTCTCTATCAATTTAGAACTCTATAGCAGTGTTTCCCAACCCAGTCCTCAAGGCACACCTACCAGTCCAGGATTTAGGGATTACCCAGTTGTGTCTAAGGTGTTTTTTTCTTCTTTGTAAAAACACCTTAGACACAACTGGGTAATCCCTAAATCCTGGACTGGTAGGTGTGCCTTGAGGACTGGGTTGGGAAACACTGCTCTATAGAACCTATAACGCTAACATCATCCATACTAAAATGATTCCAGTTCCTTCTAAACACCCACATCTGGAAGAGACACCCACCTCGGGTGGCAGCTAGTACTATTCAGGCCCTGGTTGAAAAGTGGAGATTGGGAGGGCCAGATGTGTTCTATTACGTCGTGTGTATTTTGGTGCATGTGGTGTCAATACTTGACCAACCAGATCCTCCCTTGTTGCTAAAATTTGAGGAAGAATTCACTTCACCATACCCGCTAACACACTTACTGTGGTTGCCAAAATCAAGATTACTGAAACTACCAAATGGAACTCCTCTACTAAAGTTTACACTTCATGTATGGAAAATTCATATGCCAAAGCTCATATCACCGAACCCAGTTATAGCATTCGCACCCTTTTTAAAAATTTTAAGTTGCCACCTAGAAAATTCTTTCAATATCTAAGGATAAAACATATACTGATATCCCAGTCTCTCCAACATTTTGACCAAAAACACTCCATGGAGGTGATTTATGCACAAACCCAGACACTGAGATTAAACCACTATCAGTGGCCTACAAATGATCTTTTAACTCTAGTCCCCACAAGCACACATGCATGAATAAATATACAAATACAATAGTGAATAGGCTTACAGCAGGCACGTAAAGGTATCTTTATAGAACGTAACCTTCTGTCCTTTTCTTTTATTCCATAGACCATATGTGAAAGAAAGGGTGAAAAACGAACATAGTGTACCACTTAAAAAAGTTAAACACCTTTTATTCTGAATTGCACTCACAAGGTGGATTATTTAGGCTTGCATATCATGATATGTGTATCTTGACTCAGGATATGATGTTTCAGCAGTCCTCTGTAGTCAGTAACAGGATAGCAGCTTACAATCCACACAAATAAAATCAAACATAAACTCTAAATTATATACAAATAAATGAATAAAAATTAAGGTCACTATGTTATTCTCCCAGCTCTACGCGTTTCGTCCTTCAAACGGACTTCCTCAGGGGAATCCAAATAGTGACATCACTACAAGGGTCAGTGTGTTTTTGTTTTGTTAGTGTCTTTCTTTAATCCCTCTGTTATTCCCTCCTTGTCCCTTTTAGTTTATATTTTATATAAAACAGTGGAGAGTAGCAGACAGCAGTACTGCAATTTATACTTCTTGGGTTAACGTGCCTCGGTATCTTCTTTTTAAAACCTTGCACTGGTTGTGGAGAGGTTAAGCCCGGTGGCTGTTTGTACAGTCTCTTTTGTGAGGCAGTTATGTCCTTCCAACTTAAAAACCAAGTTTTCATACCAGAACTATTCTTCCATTTTTGTAAATAGTTACTTATCACAGCTCAGCACCATGTTGACACTGTATTATACAGTGTGTGAAATATAGTCAAATCTAACTATTGTTCAAGTCTGCAGCTGCTGGCTCTGCCCCTGATCTGCCTGCTTGGCTGACATCATCAGAAGTGATTCACTGAGCCAATCACAATGCTTTCCCATAGGATTGGCTGAGACTGTCAAGGAGGCAGATCAGGGGCAGAACCAACACAAGCCAAACACAAACCTGGCCAATCTGCATCTCCTCATAGAGATGCATTGAATCAGTGCATCTCTATGAGGAAAGTCCAGTGTCTCCATGCAGTGTGCCGCACTGCCCAAGAAAACACCTAGAGTAGCCATCTTAGGAGTCGCCAGTGAAGGTAACCTTAGGTTCTTAAAAGACCGTGTTTACTGCAAAAAGCCTGAACCGAATTATTCTACTCACCAGAACACATACAATAAGCTGTAGTTGTTCTGGTGACTATAGTGTCCCTTTTTAAGATACAAAAAAAGCATGTTCTGACTTGCTCATGTGGTGTATGATGTCTGCTGCATCGTTGTTTTTGTTATTTCTACCTATATATCTTTCAAAGTGTAAACATGGGGAAAAAAACCTGGGTTTGATAACTTACCTGTGATTTCCTGGAGGTCCGCCGCTGCCTTCTCTGAAGTCAGAAGTGCAGGTTTGCGCCGGTTTGCCTAACTGATGCTCTAAGCCAGTGATTTGACGCCAGGCTCACTGGAGCAAAGTAGGGGTTGATCGCATGGCAGATGCCATGTGAGTTCTCAAATTGTTCTTGTATGGTTTGACTACTGTGAGAGGGCATCCCTGGAACCATAACCACCACATGATTTTGCATGTTTGTTTAATCTACCGAGAATTGTGTCTGGGAAAAAAAATTTGGTATGCGGCATATAAAATCATTATTTTAATTTAGAGTGCACAATAGTTTTATTTATATCCTGAACTACATATCTCATGAACCCATAACGGTGTATGGTCCCCTATGGGAGGGCTAATATTGGCTGTAAATTCTCAACCACTTACTGTTTCCTGGAGAAGCTGCACATGCGAACAGCTATTGAGGGAACTTCAGAGGGCCATTTTCTCCTTTTTGCTCCCTTAGGTTTGCTATTTAATTAATCTTTGTTCAGGAGCAGAGCTTATCCAAGAGATCACTCTGCTTTTTCCTGTAGCATGTACGAAGGAGCTAGCGAAGTGTGTGCACCTGCTAATGATGGCATTGAAATGTCAATGAGCTGGCAGACAAGGCAGAGTGATATTTTGTCTGGTAAGTGCTCATAACGGTACTAATGGTTTATTTCAGGAAGACTCCATTTATATGCTTTGTATATGGTTGGGAACAAAAGAGCCTTTTTAATTTAAGACTTTATGGCCATTCGTGACTTGTTTTTTTCGTTCGGTAGCTGAAACTACCGAACACTGACCACCCCCCCGGCTCATTATCTAGAAAGGGAACTGTCAATTGAGCCCTCTCTGTGTGGCCGCCGTTCGTATAGCCAAACACCACGTGTGAGAGAAAACGGCGGCCATCTTGTTTGCACGAAAGGAGGCAGCGGGACTTGGTCGTCGAGTGTCTGGAACTAAAATGGGACACTCGACTTCCTGAACACCGGTCAAAACATATGAACACCTGCTTCCTTTTCCCGAACAGCCTGGAAAGCGCTGTTCGGTAGTTTTATTCCCACGAACAAGGGGAACAATTGCTTCTATGAGCCAGGGGGCTCCGTTCGTGCGTTTATTCATTTTTTTTTGACATTTTCGAAATGGACCGACCGCACAGCCTAAACTCATGGAACTGTTTTGGGCAGGAGCCTCGTGTGCGGTCAGGAAAATGGGACTTCCATAGAATTTGAAAACCCCTGGACTGATCTGGGTGATTTATGGATATGTTGGTCACCCAGATCAGGGCTATCAGGGGATATTACATTTATGGGGACACTGTTTTAGGGTACTTTCTATGTTTTGTGGAAAATGTTTTTTCTGCCTGGAGATAATTGGGTTATCTTTTAGCTGACTCAATTATCTCACATGCAGAGAGGAGGGTATTGTCTGTTTGCAGTGGGAGTGTTCATCTTTGTCACTGAACTATTATTGGTTGTAACCCTTGTGTCCCTGTCCCCCACAAGGTCCATGTGGGAGGTCCCCTTGTATAGGGACTTGCATAAAAGCCAGTGTGGCATCAATAAAGATTCATTCCTGTTGTACCCTTCATGAAGTCTAGGCTCATGTTTGGGTAGCTATCTACTTGCTGGGGAGAAACCACGTGGATGCTGCATTCGTTTGGAACTATTCGTATCTACACCAGAACTGCAACTATAATCACTGAGGCTTAGCAGTTCGGGAGGAATAAGCAAACAAGGTACTTAAGATACCAGTGTTTGTAACAATGTTTTTTTTATAGGCAATTCCCATAAAACCTTCTGTATATTATAATATTGCTAAATGAGTTGTAGTTTACTTATAATTTTAGTAGTAACTGTGAACAAAAACAACGTGATAATGTTAGCTGACTGTTTTTTTTGGGGGGGTGGCGGGGATAAAAATTTCAGAAAAGCTGTTTTTTTATGGTGGGATGTGTGCTTCTCTGATTACAGAGCAGTTATAGTCACCAGGACTCCTTTGGTTATTTACATTCAGAATGTTGTCAGAAAGGCCTGTCTTGTACGATTTACTCATAGTAACGGGTCTGTTTTCTTTTTTGTTGCCCTAACAGGTGGTGAATTTTACCCCCTTTACTCTACTTCCATCCCCTGTACCAAAAGCTCTCTTTGAACAAGCGAAGTCTGTCCAAGAAGATTTCAACTTGCTGGTCGATCGTATCAGCCAGAATCCCTCGTTCTTGGAACAAGTCCTTTCCAGGTATGTCACCCAGGCAGTTATATCGGATAGAAGCACAGTACTGACCTGATCTATGTTTCTACAATGAGCTAAATCAATGATTTTGTATCCCTTTAATGCTGTAGATCACTTTTGCTACCCTGATACTCTTGTTATCCAATACCTGGAGGAGATTTATCAAGGCGAAACAGATGCTGTTCTAAGTTCATCATGCTAAATGTTGAGACATATTCTTGCTTTCCACGATGGTCGCTCCTTATTTACCACTTTGCTTAAGAAAAGCACATGTTCGCAGTGATAAATCTCCCCGCAGCTTTCACGTATCAAGATGTTGTGTAATAAGGCAATTCCTTTATAATTAAAGTTTGCTCCAGTGAGTGGATTGATAATGAAAAAAGCCACATGAGATGCCAATGCTAATGTATTTACTGACAACAATGTGTAATGTAAATAGAAAAACAATATGTGTGGAACAATAACTGCTATAACTTTTATTTCATAATAAATATGTGGGGAAGTGGTATAGTCACGTAGGATAATTCCTAATTTATTGGTATTAATTGAAACTGTATGTATAATGATAATCAAATCCCCTGTCAGTGATGGCCTCTGATAATCTGGAGAAGTGGACCGAGTTCCCTTACTCCCATATAGATAATATATTAAAATAGTAATTCAGGATCACAGTAATTTTAATATTCCCATAAACAAAACAAAAAAAATACCAGCTGCAATATAAACTGTGCATTAATATACAAAAAGCCAAATGCAGAGATATTCTAGAATGATGCTTGTAATACTTGTCTATGGTCTGAAGAGGTCGCCAGAACTCACATTCCAGAATGATTTCCTATTAGTGTATCACTGTATTATCCTCTTCTAGTCACTAGGGGTCACTATTTAAAACATCTAAAATATACATAATAGGATCAATTCTATATTTTTTTTGTTGTCAATCTTTGTTTTTATTTGTGGTATAGATTATACATAACATGCATTAAAACTTATGTGACATTTTCATTATTCATCAATATTGGGAGAGAAGCATAAAGCCTTATCAAGGAACATGTGGGATACGTAGATAAGGTCACTGAATAGACAACCACTTCTATATGAAGGGGAACTAGTTAGATATGCAGGATACACTTGCTAGAGACGTGGTTTATCAGGCGAGATAGATTCAGAATATGCAATATAAGAGGTTTGCTTGATGGAGTATCAGGTTTGAATTGCTAGGGTGGCGTATAATAGGATATACAAGATAGGCTATTTTTACAGACGTTTCCACTAAGATACGATATGCATGTGTCAAATCAACCAATATATCCAAGAGAAGCAATTTGTTACCCATTTCTGAACCTATTATAAATCAGACGCCTGGTTCGCATGCCTCGCTTAACACACGCTATGTACGATTAGGCTATGGCGCTAGCAGGGGTATGAGCTTGTAATAGAGCAGGCGGTTTTGTATTATACCAGTGAGGCTTTTGAGAGTACCAGACCAGCTCGGGTTATTAAGTACAGGCCGGTGGCTGCGGTACTTAGCTTCGCTAGGAGGGGGGTGATTTATTCTCCTAAGGGCGTCATAGCTTATGTTAACTAAGCGAAAATGCAACAGCCCAAAAGACAACATTAAAACAGGCTTATTTAGTGATTTGTGTGTGCAGGTGCCTCTGGAGTCCAGCTAGTCAATGTCCCCTTGTGCCTGCCGGGCGTTCAGCCAATTTTCCCATAAGTAGCAGGTCTGGCTTTTTTTTTTTTTTTTGGATTTATTTGGAGATTCCCATCATACAAAGATTGATGTTTCAGCCAATTTAAGGCCTTTTATTGAGAGAAAATAATTCAAAAAAGTTGGTTATATTTATATCAAAAAAATGTACTTACCTGTGATCCTTGTGTGAGTGATTATTTGGAAACCAGTCCTGTAAGTGAATACTAAACGTGACCTCCTTGTGCCTAACCAACGTTAGATGTGGTTGCTATCAAAGAACCAATGAGGTCATAAGGAAATTGGTGTTCTAAATAAGATTTCTTAACCAAGTGAGTAAATTAATGGAAAGAAAATCCATGTATACCTCTAAATGAAGGACCTCAACACTATGAAGTACCCATAGATACTGGAAAGGGAAGGTGATCACTACATGTAACCGTGAATGAAGAGTTGTGCCTTGAATGAAACGTTTTGCCTGGAATGAGACAAATGTGATCTGATATAGTGAAATTGAATTGTTGATATGCTGAATAAGCTGAATATACTCACTTGGTGTAGAAGTCTTATTTATAATGCCGATTTTGTTATGATCTCATCGGTTTTTCGTTCCCTAGCAACCCGCGTCTCACGTTGGTTAGGCACCGGGAAGGGGGGTGGTATCGTTTAGCATTCATTTACGGGACTGGTTTTCGATTAACCACTCACTCATGAGTCACAGGTAAGTGATTTTGTTTTTTCCACTTTATTTTCACACATAAGTATAACCCACTCTTATTGTTTATTTGATCTTGATAAAGTGACCAATACGTTGATCTCTGTATGATGTGGATCACCAAATAAATCCACAAAAAGAAAAAGAAGAATCTGAGCCAATCACAATGCTTTGCCATAGGATTTGCGAAGACTGTCAAGGAGGCAGATCGAGGCAGAGTCAGCATTAGGAGTGCCAAAATCAAGATAGTACTAGTATCTACCAGTCAAATTAGAGAGAGACGTGTATGTGTAGGAGGAACCGTAGGTGTGGGATGGACAGTAGGCCAAACCAGAGAGGAGGAGTGGCAGATGTTCAATCATCCAATCAGATCATTCGTAGAGCCACAGGAACGTGGAGCCCAAATGCATATCGTGAATATATACAATTGGAGTATAACGCCTATATTGATCAACCAGATAGTCAATGCTCAAAGATCAGATACTGTGATATAGCTTAAATAAATAGTAACTGAGAAAATATATATATGCTGGAAAAATACTGATAATTCCACGTTCATAATGATAGATAACTAATAGTCCCTTAGAGAGAAATATATTTACTGAGTTAGTTGCTAAAACAACTATACAACAAAATACTGCACATAGTTTGCATGGATAATTCTACCGCTTTTGGATACAGTCTTTATGGAAATAAAGTGATCTCTCAATATTCTGGATATAATATGAATGGATGAATATACGGTGAGGAGAAAAAAGTATTTGATCCCCTGCTGATTTTGAAAGTTTGCCCATTGACAAAGAAATGATCAGTCTTTAATTTTATGGTAGGTGTATTTTAACAGGGAGAGACAGAATAACAGAAAAACGCATGTCAAAAAAATTAAAAATTGATTTGCATGTCAATGACATACTTACTTCTTGTTACTGGACACATAATCACATGCATGTCAGTGCACTTGTAAAAGAACAAGTTCTTTGAAAATAAATCCTGTGAAACTGCCATGTGCTGTCCTCCTAATCCCTTGATGACGTGTGATGTCTGAATGGGTTGTGACCTCATAAACCACTCTGTGAATACTCCTCCCAGTACTAGTGGCTAGAATTCTGCATAGTCGGGACTTGTCAATTAATTTTTTTCAGTGTATTTTTATGTGTATTTTACAGTTGTAAACAAAGATACAAAATAAGCAATGTTTATTTTAGTGGCAGATTAAAGGGACACCGTAGGCATCCAGACCACTTCAGCTAATTGAAGTGGTCTGGGTGCCAACTCCCATTACCCTTAACCCTTGAGTGGTAATTATTGCAGTTTTTATAAACTGCAATAATTATCTGCTATGGTTAACTCCTCCTCTAGTGGCTGTCTACCAGACAGCCACTAGAGGGACTTCCGGGTTCTTAAACGACTTTTGGTCGTCTAAGCAACACTTGACGTTTTCACACTATGCATGAGGACTTCTAGCATCACCGGAATCCCCATAGGAAAGCATTGAATAATGCTTTCCTATGGAGAGATCCTAATGCAGCGCATTCGTGTTCGGCCTCCCCGCCAGCGGACGTCGGCGGAAGTGGAGCTGAGCCAGCGACGAGGGACATCCACGCTAGACCCAGGTAATTGACTGAAGGGTTATTAACCCCTTCAGTTCTGCGGGAGGGGGTAACTATAATGCTATAGTTTCCCTTTAAGTGTCTCATATTCCACACGATAGCCACTAGGGGTCAGTAAAATGTATACTTTTTGTATACTTCTATCCAGGCTAGGATGATTGGGTATAATACAATACACAAAAATAGAGTGTGCCGCTTCTCCAAACTTCATCCAATAAGTTTGACTGTACTCACACATTCACTTTATTTATACAGCCCTAGTCACACCTCCATGCACGTGACTTGCACAGCTTTCCTGAACAATCCCTGAAAATGAACCTAGATATTCTAGGTTTCTGTATTGCACAGTCTGTTTAATCTAAAAATTTTATCTCATGCTCTGCTAATAGTTTGCTAGACCTTGCAGGAGCCTCTTCTGTGTAATTAAAGTTCAATTTATGTAGCACACAAGATTAAAAACTTCTAAAGCAAGTTAAAGTCTGTTTGGAAAAAAAAATCCCATGCAGACTGTGTTTATCACAGCCAGGGAACGTGTGGCTAGGGCTGCATGGACAGAAACAAAAGTCATTTATAACTATTAAATGGCAGAAAATTCATGCTGAGGGCATGATCTATAAAACCAAAACTGCTTAATTTAAAGTTGTTTTAATACCTATTGTATCCTTTGTTTCATAGAAAGACCTGGTCAAACATGGACAAGCCTTCCAGCAGAGCTGGTAGGAAATTGCACAGTTCAAAATGACTTGACATAGTCAAACATATGTCCAAAGCAGGAAATAAAATGCAAGAACAAAATGTGCTTTTAGGAAGCACATGTACAGAACCGATGCACTGATAGGCTATTATCAGCCATTGTAGTCCATTTTTATATAGATTTGTCTCTATGGCCAACGTTGCCATTTTTCTTCTCAAGTCTCCTTTAGGGTGGTCGGGGCGGTGTGCATTATTTTCATTTCCTAATGGGTATCTGTGTTGGTATCTTGTTTTCTATTGTATTTCCCAAAATGTGCAGAATCTTTCTAGGGAAAAAAATGCTTTAAATGACTCCAGTCACTGGCAAAATAATTAGATGCGCGTTTTGAAGTTCTTCTTGCCTTTTGAACGAAATCGGCGGGATAATAACTTCCAGATCAATAACAGAGCAATTAACCAGCCGCTCACCATGATGAAGTTCCTAGAAACCTGCGTGCACAGTTTGACCCATACATTTATTTCTTTTGACAGCTCTTTATCTGAAAAAGAAAGATAACATTTTTAAAATGCACAACTGACCATTATTGGATACACAATGTTTGTTTGTAGTGTTCTGGTGTATAGATGCAATCTAATTTTATGAATTTCAGATGGCTTAAATGCCAAGTTGACCTTTTTGAATATATATTGATCCATACATAGGTGTATTATTAAAATTTGTATTTACACTCCAGGCACTGTAACACCGCATCTCATTGAGGTGGGTATGGTGCATGTAGCTCTGCCTCTACCGGAAGGTTTTGTTAATGTGGAGGCTATTCCACTTCAGCCATATCAGCTATAAACTGAGAGTGCTCAGCTGATGATTATTATTTATTATGATGTTATTTTTATAGCACCATCAAATTCCGTGGCGCTTTACAATGGGTGGACGAACGGACATGTAGTTGTAACCAGACAAGTTGGACACACAGGAACAGAGGGGTTGAGGGCCCTGCTCAATGATCTTACATGCTAGAGGGAGTGGGGTAAAATGACACAAAAGGTAAGGATAGTATTAGACTAGTGACAGTTGTAGAAAAGGAATCAGTTGGGAGCTATTAACAGTTTAATTGATAGACTTTTATGAAGAAGTGTGTTTTTAATGATTTTTTGAAGAAGTGGAGACTGGGTGAACATCTAACGGAGTAGTGAAGTGAGTTCCACAGGAACAGTGCATCCCTCGAGAAGTCTTGAAGGCGAGCATCAGAGGTGGGAGTACGGACAGAAGATAGACGTAAATCTTCAGCAGAGCGTAAGGCCCTAGACGGGACATACTTGTGTATTAGGGAGGATAGATAGGTGGGAGCAGCATTATGTAGGTGCTCTCAGACTTGCTGCTCAGGCTAATGTGGGCCAGGCTGTGGGTACCCAGAGACCCTCAATCAGTGTTAATAAAATCAAAAATAGTTTAACACTAAAAAGTGGGATGGCGCAAGGATTATTCAGGCACCATAATCACTTCTGAAATGAGGGGGCTATAACCCCTAGAGTGTCATTTTAAAACTTTCACTGAATAAGCTCAGGATACTTGTATCTATAAAAGTTTGTGTGTGGTGTCCCCTCCCCCACAAATTATGTTGGCGGCAAAACCAGTTTCTACAGATGCTGGTAAACACTTTTTTTTCTTTTCTAATTCATTCATTTTTTTGTTCCGCATAGACTTTGCTGCACATTGTCTAATCTGAGGTTTTTACAATCCTTTATGTTTGGTTGTTGGCTTTTTACTTATGTGCATGACTGGCCAATCATACACTGAAGGAGAAGTGCTTTCGGCGCTTGGAATTATCCTTTAACAGTACAACTTAAAGGACCAAACAGGCACCAAAACAATTTAATTGGACAACTTAATTGGATTAAACCGGTAGTGAATGGTTTGAGCCAAAGTCTATAAGGTAATGCCCGTTTGCTCCCCCTCTCCACTATTTATGCAGATCCAAACCTTTAATCAGGCAGCCTCAGACCAGCACCAGTGATAGGCTAAAAGCATCAGCTGACACTCTCAGCTTATCAGTAGCCCTTTTCACTCTATTTTCTGAACGGGGAGCTACTGATAGGCAGATAATGTCAGCTGATACTCTAAACCTATCAGATGGTGCAGCTCTGGGGCTTCCTGATTAGAACATCGGCCCACATAGCATTCTAACTATCTATCATGGCATAATAACAATCATATGTTCCTTAGCAGGTCTTAAAATTAGGTAAATACAGTAATGTGACCTATTACACTGTGTCCTGATTTATTTAACAAAAATAAAGCTGAAATGGAGAAGCCATGTGTGGAAAAACAAAAGTACACCCTTACTGCTTCCATCGGAATTCTCTCGTTAGGTCACTCCTACCAACTACAGAGGAGGAGATTTTGACACTTTGTTTGTGAGTTGCGTTTACTCTGAGCTACAATAACCCTGGTTCTCAAGTTAAAGGGACACTACAGTAGGGATCGACCGATTATTGGTTTTACCGATATAAATCGGCCGATATTCAGTATTCTCAGCAATATCGGTATCGGCCAATTCAGATACCGATATTGCCGATAATACCTCCTAGGACCGCCGGGCTCATTACAAGCGGTCCCGGCGGTCCTGGGGGGGGGCGGGCAGCAAGCGCTTACTCACCTCCCAGCAGCTCCTCCAGCTCCCAGTGTAACTCATGCGAGACCCGCGGCCGTCCGAGCGTTGCCATGGGTTACCGCGAGAGTTACACTGAGGAGCTGCTGGGAGGTGAGCCAATACCACTGGACCACCAGGGACTGCTATATCCCCCCTCCCTGGCCAGGTATGAAACAGGGAGGAGGGACAACAAAAATAAATAATTAAATATATATATATATATATATAATTTAATAAAAAATGCCCCCCCCTCACACACACACACACACTCCATTATATACACTACACAAACACAGTGTATATAATGCAGTGTGTGTATATAATGCAGTGTGTGTATAGTGTGTGTATATAATGCAGTGTTTGTGTAGTGTGTGTATATAATGCACACTACACACACACTGCATTATATACACACTATACAAACACACACACTTTGCATTTAGAATATACACTGCATTCACTTTACGCACACTACCCACACACTACACAAACACTCTGCTTTCATTATATACACACTACACTAATACACACTGCATCCACTACACACTAGACAAATACACACTGCATCCACTACACACACTACACAAACACACTGCATCCACACACACTACACAAACACACACTACACAAACACACACTGCTTCCACTACACACACTACACAAACACACACTGCTTCCACTACACACACTACACAAACACACACTGCATCCACTACACACACTACACACTACACAAACACACTGCATCCACTACACACACTACACAAACACACACTGCATCCACTACACACACTACACAAACACATACAGCTCCCCTGTCTAAACACACTGCATCCACTACACGTGACATGTATATTTTGTGCATTTACCTTTAGAAATAGTTTTTATTTTCCAAAATGGTAAATGTACAGAATATCAGCAAATTATATTGGCTATCGGTCTGAAAGTTCACAGAATATCGGTATCGGCTCTAAAAAATCAATATCGGTCGATCCCTACACTACAGGCACCCAGAACACTTCAGCTCATTGAAGTGGTCTGGGTGCAATGTCCCATGTCCCTTAGGGGGTCATAATGATAATGGGGGGGGGCTACTGCCCCCACTGCCCCAACCCCTGGGCGGCGGGTGGGGGCCATAAAGATAATGAGGGGGGGCTACTGGCCACCCCCCCTCCGGCCCCCACCCCTGCGCGGCGGGTGGGGACCATAAAGATAATGAGGGGGGGGACCTACTGGCCACCCCCCCTCCGGCCCCCACCCCTGCGCGGCGGGTGGGGGCCATAAAGATAATGAGGGGGGGGGACCTACTGTCCTCACCCCCCCGGCCCCCACCCCTGGGCGGCGGGTGGGGGCCATAATGATAACGAGGGGGGGGGACCTACTGTCCACCCCCCCTCCGGCCCCCACCCCTGGGCGGCGGGTGGGGGCCAAATGATAATTGGGGGGGGGACCTACTGTCCTCCCTCCCCCCCAGCCCGCCCCCCGGCCCCCATCACAGTGCTCTGTGTCATTTTACACAGCGTGGGAAAATTCAAAAGAACTTTCCCACGCTGTGTAAAATGACAAAGAGCACTCTGATTGGCTTAAACCCACCAATCAGAGTGTTCTTAGCCTAATTGCAGGGTGGGGCAAGGCTTTATAAACCTTGCCCCGCCCTGCGGAGCTCAGTCTGCGCGGAGCCCTCCATGGGTGAAGATGGATTATTATTTTTTGTTTTTTCGCCTTTTTCGCTCGATTTTTATTTGATTTTCAATCGACGTTATGTTGGTTTTTTATTTGGCCTTTTTTGGGGCTGAAAAATGAAGATTTGAGAAAAAGAAGACGTCAAATGGTAAGTTTAATTTTATTTTACAGGTTAGTTATTTTATTCCCCCCTCACTATTTTTTAGGGTGAGGGGGGTAGGTAGGGACTTTTTATTTGGGTGGGGGGGTGGGTGACTAGGGGCTTGGGGACCCCTAGTCACCTTATGGGGGGGGGAATTGACTTAGGGGCCCCCACCTGCCGCCCAGGGGGGGGAAGACAGTAGGACCCCCCCCCCCCATTATCAGTTTATTCCCCACCTGCCAGGGTGGGGGCAAGCAGGGGGGAGGATAGTAGGTGTCCCCTCATTATTTTATGGCTCCCACCACGCCTAGGCCTGAGGGGTGGATATAGGTTCCCCCACATCATTATTGTCACCCAGGGGTGGGGGCTGGGGCAGGTAGTCCCCCTCTCATTCTGTTATGGTTTCCACCCGGCCGTACCAGGGTAAAGCCGTGGGGGGACATTAGGTCTCCCCTCTTATTTACTTAGGTCCCAACGGCCATTTCGGGGTGGGGCCAATAGTTTTTAGTTTTTTGCATGAAAGAGCACATAGGTCCGAGGGCCCGGCCGGGGGGGGGGCCCGCCGCCAGGGCCGCCATCAGGGGGCCCGGCGGCAGGGCTGGATTGGGGGCGGCATCTGGGGACTTCAGTGGAAAGTGCCACCGGGTGGCCGGTCCGGTGGCACACTGTGAGGGGGCCGGCCGCGTTTCATGCTGGAGCCGCCGGACCGGGTAGCAGCCTCGCCGGTCCGGAGGCATTCCTCTCACTAACGCTGAAGGAGGAGGAGCATGTCTCTCTGTCATGCTCCTTTGCGGTTCCCACAATTCCCAGCACAGGATGGGGGGAGAAAGAAGGGGGAACAGAGAGATGAGGAGGGGGGGGGAGAGGGGGAATAGAGAGATGGGAGGGGGAACAGAGAGATGAGGAGGGGAGAAAGAGGGGGAACAGAGAGATGGGAGGGGAACAGATGGGGAGGGGGGAGAAAGAGGGAGGAACAGAGAGATGGGGAGGTGGGAGTAAGAGGGGGGAATAGAGAGATGGGGAGGGGGGGAAGAAAGAGGGGGGAACAGAGAGATGGGGAGGGGGGAGTAGAGAGATGGGGAGGGGGGAGACAGAGAGGGAAGAATGAGACACAGGGGGAGAAAGAGGGGGAATAGAGAGATGGGGAGGGGAGAAAGAGACAGAGAGGGAAGAATGAGACACAGGGGGAAAAAGGGGGGGATTAGAGAGATAGGGAGGGGGGAGAAAGAGCCATCCCACAGGCCTACAGCAAGCCACAGGCTTACAGCCAGCAAGCCCACAGCCTGCCAGTCGCATCCAGCAAGTCACAGCCTGCCAGCCGCAGGCAGCAAGCCGCAGCCTGCCAGCTGCAGTCAGCAAGCCCACAGCCTGCCGGCAGTAGCCAGCAAGCCCACAACCTGCCAGCCAGCAACAGTAATTAAGGTAAGAGGAGCCAACTTGGCCTAGGTATCAGCGAGCTATGTTGTGTTGCTATATTGTGAATAGGAACCAGAGTGTTGGAGAGACCACCCTCCAGGCCTCATTAGACTCCATTGTAGTCTCTAATGAGGCCTGGAGGAGGATTTATGGGTGGGCATTGTAGGCATACTCACGGTCAAGCCCTGTGGGCCCAGACCTTGAGCTGTGTAAGGGGCCCTAAAAAATGGAGCTGCTTCCTGTTCATTAATTGTTGTGAGCACTGTTAAAAACAGTCTTCAGAGAGCCTCTTCTACATCAGCCTCTTGTCCTCATCTGGTGGTAAGCAGTGGCGGATCCAGAGCCTGATCTCGGGAGGGGCACTTGTAGATTATTTAAATAAATAATCCAGGCACAATAACTACTACAGCTCAGTGTAGTAGTTATGGTGTCAGTAGTGCCAGGATTCCACCCCAGAGTAAGTAGTCATACTGTTTAAGAACAGTTTGACAACTTACCTGGGGTCTGCTGGGATATAGGGTATAGGAGCAGTGGTGTGTGTTAAGGGTGAAGTGTGTGAGTGCGGCAGTGTATTTCAGGCACAGTGTTTGTGGGGCAGTGTGCGTATGGGGGCAGTGTGTGTATTGGGACAGTGGTTGTGCGGCAGTGTGTGTATGGGGGGCGGTGTGTGTATGGGGATAGTGTTTGTGGGGTAGTGTGTGTATGGGGACAGTGTGTGTATGGGGGACAGTGTCAGGGGTGTGTGTAAGGGAATGTTTGTGGGGCAGTGTGTGTATAAGCAGTGTGTAGTAGTATCGCGTTTCAGGCAGTGTGTATGGGGGGCAATGCACGTGATGTGGGGACAGTGTGTGTGTGTGTGTATGGGGACAGTGTGTGTATGGGGACAGTGTGTGTTTGTGGGGCAGTGTGTGTATTGGGACAGTGTGTGTATGGGGATAGTGTTTGTGGGTCAGTGTGTGTATGGGGGACAGTGTGTGTATGGGGGACAGTGTTTGTGGGGAAGTGTGTGTATGGGGACAATGTTTGTGGGGAAGTGTAAAAGGGGCAGTGTGTGTATGGGGACAGTGTTTGTGGGGCAGTGTGTGTATGGGTGGCAGTGTGTGTATGGGGAGAGTGTTTGTGGGGCAGAATATTTATTTTAAAAATGTATTATAAAAAAACCTCCTCCCCCCCCCCCATTACACATACTGCCCCACAAACACTATCCCCATACACACACACTGCCCCCCTGTAATGGGGCAGTGTGTGTAATGGGGGGGCAGTGTGTGGTATGGGGGGCAGTGTGTGTAATGGGGGCAGTGTGTGTAATGGGGGGGCAGTGTGTGGTAATGGGGGGGAAGGAGGCTTTTAAATAATATTTTTTTTTATTTTATTTAATAAAATAAATATCCTATGTCCCCCCTCCCTTCTTACCTTTACTGGGGAGGAGGGGGGACATATTTCTATCCCTGGTGGTCCCAGTGGTGATTCATTGGTGGTCCCAGTGGGACAGTGAACTCTAGCCCGCGCTCCCGGGCTAGAGTTCACTCTCGCGAGATTTGGAGCGTTGCTGTGGTAACCGCGGCAACGCTCCAAATCTCGAGAGAGGAGGACCCGGAGGAGCTGCAGACTGAGCTCCGGGTCCTCTCTCTCACTCCCTCCCTCCCCTGCCGGCCAGCACAGTGCCTGCGGACCGGGGAGGGAGAGCTCTGATCTCCCCTCCGGTCCGCAGGCACATTGCAGGGCTGGCAGGGGAGGGAGACCGGCGGATTTCTCGGGGGGGGCAATTGCCCCGTTGCCCCCCCCCTGGATCCGCCAATGGTGGTAAGTAGGCAATCCGATATATTATTAGTGGCACTAATCTCTAATTTACCTCACATTAAATGGATACTATAGTCACCAGAAACACTACAGCATAATGTAGTGGTTCTGGTGTCTATAGCCTGTGCCTGTAGGCTTTTTAATGTAAACACACTGTTTTCCGATAAAAGACACTTTGTGAAGACTGGCGTTGGCGCATATGGGCGGGCATTGTGATGTCACATGGTGGGTAGGACATATGGGGGAGGGGGGCGGCAAAACTCCTTGCACCGGCCCTGATCACTGTGAGGTCATTACAACACTTTTTGGTGCCGCAGGGATAATGTGGACCTTTAACTTCTGGTTTTAGTCCCCTGGTTTTTGCCCTGCCGTGGTTTCCACACACAGACACCAATTCAAACTGCCCCAATATACAGCCAGACATCCACCCCACTGCCAGGCATACACACAGCCACATACATATGCCACACAAATTCACAATAATGCTATTTTAGCCATCCTCCTTGGCGATAGCAACAATATTAAAGCAACAGTGGGCAAGCTGAGGAAAAGGGGCAAAATGCTGCCCTTCTTCAAGTTCCCCATCAATGCCACTGGAATTCCTATCACATTGGCTCTGTGAAGATTCGCTGATCTCCCCAGTCAACCTGTTTGTTCTGACATACAAAGGCATCTTGCGTGACAAAGGTTGCTGGCCTTTGAACTAGACAGACCGGAATGGCAAATTTGTATTCAGAGCAAAAGACTTCTTATAGACAATTGTAGCTTACATGTCCAATTTAGACAAAAATGATGATCAAAGTACTGAAGGGATTAGGATGAAAAAAAAATAATTACGAGTTTTAGAACTTATCAGGGAGGAGAGGATTAACTAGGGTAACAGATGTAATTACGACTAGTTATTTACTAAAGTGTGAGTTGTCAGTAATTTGTAAAGTGAATTTCAGGCTAAAATAGCTGCATTGAAAACATAGTTGACAGGGGGCCAAGAGAGAACACTAAGGGACAGAAGGGGAGAACACAAAATACGATGAAATTATGAGGATCTGCTCAACTTCTGTACAAAGAAAAAATTTCTGCCGATCAGACTCACCCATAACCAATTTGCAGGTAAAATATTTACATGCTAAATGTGTGCAGATATACAGCTAATTAAAGGAACACTATAAACAACAAAAAGCCTGTTAGCTGCTAAAGTTCATTATGTGTGAAGAGTGTGTCCTCTCTTTTTAAGTTTACAAAAAATGTGCAGATTTCATAAAACCTGGCACTCAGTGGAGCTAAACAAAAGATCCAGGCAAGTTCCCAGAGCAGCGCCATCCTTGCAAAGTCTTCTCATTGAGCTGCATTGGGAAGTCCATGATTAGACAGCCACAGAAAGTCTGAATACAATATGTAGGGGAGGCCTTGCAATGGCAGCAGGCGAGATCTACAGCTATATTTACATACCCATACAATTGGTATTCTGTGATTTATTTATTTTTAAAGTACAACAAAGCTTAACCCTTTAAGGACACCACTTCTGGAATAAAAGGGAATTATGACAGAATATTTCCATCATGTGTCCTTAAAGGATCACTATAGGGTCAGGAACACAAACATGTATTCCTGACCCTATAGTGTTAACACCACTATCTAGCCCCTCTGGGCCCCTCATGCCTCCATAAATATAGTAAAAATCTTAATGTATTCAAGCCAGAAACTGTAACTCTGCATGCTGTTAGACTCAGAAAAACAAGCAGTCTGCTGACATCATCAGAAGTGGTAGCCTGATCCAATCACAGTGCTGCCCCATAGGATTGGCTGAGACTGACAAAGAGGCAGATCAGGGACAGACCAGCATGATTCAAACACAGTCCTGACCAGTCAGCATCTCCTCATAGAGATTAATTGAATCAATGAATCTCTAGGAGGAAAGTTCAGTGTCTGCATGCAGAAAGAGGAGACACTGAATGTTAGGATGCATTTTAGGCAGCCTTGACCCAGGAAGGATCTCTAACAGCCATCTGAGGAGTGGCCAGTGAAGTTATCACTAGGCTGTAATGTAAACACAGCATTTTCTCTGAGAAGACCGTGTTTACAGCAAAAAGCCTGAAGGTAATGATTCTACTCACCAGAACAAATTTAATAAGCTGTAGTTGTTCTGGTGACTATAGTGTTAATGAAGTTGCTTTGGTGTATAGATCATGCCCCTGCAGTCTCACTGCTCAGTTCCACACACAGGTTATCTATACACCAATACAATTTCAGTAATCTAAATGTTGTTTTGGTGCTTCGTCTCCCTTTGGGGGATTCAATTTAAGTTTATGCTTATTTAACCAGATCTGTAAAAAATATTTAAAGGGACACTATAGGGTCAGGAACACAAACGTGTATTCCTGAGCCTATAGTGTTAAAACCACCAATTAGGTGGCTTTCCCTCCGCCCCTCCCAATTAGCCCTCTTTGAAAAAGCGTTAAAACTTATTTCAAGCGCCATGCGATGGCCACACCTCTCTATGAGGAAAGTTCAGCATCTGCATGGAGACGCTGAACGTGTGCAGCACTGACCCAGAAAGAACCTCTAGTGGCCATCTGAGGAGTGGCAATTAGAGGTGTCCCTAGGCTGTTATGTAAACACTGCATTTTCTTAAAAAAAAAAAAAAAGACAGTGTTTGTATGAAAATGACTGCAGGTACTGACTATACTCACCAGAACAACTACAATGAGCTGAAGTTGTTCTGGTGACTATAGTGTCCCTTTAAGGAGAAGGGTTCAAGTGAATAATGCTCAAAAGAGCATTATAAAAAAAAAAAAGTTGGATTAACCCTTTAATGCCATTTTACTGTCAGAATGAGAATGGTAGAGTAGCAGAGTAGAAGGTAATCTCTAATGCATTTGAAAATTGTAATTATAAATAAAACTCTCCCAACGTGTAATTTAAAACCAGTTTTTCCTCTAACAGGAAAAAAAAGGAAAAGGTCCTGGCTATAGACCAAAATGTGCTCTAGACTTTATCAACTATAAAATGAGGGTTCACAGACAGTCTTACCCTATGTTGTCTGTAAATGGCGTTCTTTCAATAATTTAGTGAAGATATTTTATTAATCACCCACATTGCTGCGTTTATGCAGTTTTCTGCAATTGGAGGTTCTCCGTCTTTTACTTTGTAGTCTGAGCTCCGTGTCTATTCTGACGTAGCCCTCCGGAAAGATGACCCAACACTGGTACATGCCAATATCAGACTCCTGGAGTTTGAGAATTCTCAGTGCAGCGTTGCCATAGAAAGGGTTCGATGCCAGGCGTGTTCTGTAATAATTAGAAGAGTTCTCGCAAATTTGTTTCTCATTCTTCCCAACCTTGCAGTCCAGTAGCTTGTCTGTAAAGTTTCTGAACCACATGATATGGATTTCACTGAGGTTCCAGTTCACTGGGACATTGAAAGAGCACTTTAGAGTAACAGGCTGATTCAACAGCGCGTGCACCACCTCTGCTTGTGTGCCTTGACTGACATCTGAGACAAGAGAAATGTTTAAACAGCAGGTCCACGAGGATACAGAAAGATAATAAATAGTACAAGAAGCTATTCCGTTAGATCAGGGTATTTCTTAACTCGAACTGGGGTCACATATGAATGCTTTGTACTGATGCAATATGCTATACTTCTATTTATATAGGCTAACATAGCATACAAGGGTTTATTTACTAAACAGTGAATAGTAAACGAAACTACATTTTTGCAAATCCCTTTTTCAATTCTATAAAATGTATTCAGTGAATGAACCCCACCTTGTATAGATTACGTAGGTAGAAATCACTCACCCAGTCTAACGAAGAAACACAGGATAAGTTGCAGCTGTGTGCAGATTGCAGTCATTGTTTGAACTTGAACAAATTAGTTCTGTGAGTGGTTCCGGTTGGCATAAATAATTACAAAGTTGAGTGAGCTACAGAATTAAAAATGACAAGGACCGAAATGTGAAGGAGAGACGAGTAGAGGTTACGGCAGAATGAGCAAGCAAGAAATGGGAAGTTGTGTTGGCTAGCAGGCAAATAGTCTGAGAGAGCATTGCAAGTAGAGATGGCAAGTGAGCATGATAATAAAACTAATTAGGTAAAGACGGACATACACTCCAATGCTTCTTGCTTCCACCCATACAATCCAATGCTTCCTGCTTGCACTGCTGCTCTATAGAAGATACTGCATTGTCTTTGTAACTCGTAAAGCAACATTCAAAGTTTACTCCTGAGATTCATCGGCAACCAATAGCTTCAGACTTATTCACCCTGGGGCATAATGAATCATTGTCACTTTTAAAAAGTAAATATTAATATTGTATTTTCTGTTTAACATATCACAGGTTTGGAACACTCAAGCTGCAAATTAAAGGGCACAGATTTTGCTCAGCCAGAAACATCATTTTATTACTGGCACGGTCTCCCCCTGAAAATTTTTTTTTTTTTATATTTACATTTTTTACATTTTTTTTTTTTTTAAAGAAATAAAGGGAAGAACTCCCCTTCGATCCTGCACCAAGCCAAGTTCTCCCTGCAGTCCCATTTTCGACTGGTGATGTCATTGGCCCTCACTGCTTGTGGTTGGCGTACGGCCAGCATTAAACGTTTGTTGACGACAGATGTCCAGTATGCACAGAATTAACATTTGCCAACCCAGCACTCTGGCCAGTGAAGCTGCCAGAGGTGGAGTTATGCTTGGCATATACATACTCAGAGCACCATGACCACTTCAAATCAGTGAAGATATTATGGTGATTGGAGTAACCCTTTAATATATAATATAATGTTGCATCTATATATTTTAATGCAGGGGTGCTCAAAAACTAGCTGTTGAACCTCAACATCCATAATGCTTTGTCATACTGCTTGGGTGTTTCAGTTCTTCTAGAGCTGGAGGTCTACATTTTAGCCCTGTATATGTGAGTTCTATAAAGCGATATGCAAACCACGCACAGTATCTTAACCAGAAATATATAGCACTCTAAACTTGAAACATATTTCTTTTTCCTTATGTATGGGATCCATTTTAGCGGGACTAAAAAGCCAATTTTCAACAGTACACCAAACCATTGATATTTACTTTGGCAGTGCAATGTAATCCTGCATACATATTTGAGAGAAACTTACAAGATGAGCCAGATCCTCACAATATAATACACTGCCTAATGCTCTAAATCCACCGGAAAATAGCAAGGTCCTTAGTCCGATGTAGAGAGGTTACAGGTCACCTCTCCAGATTCTTCCTTCTAGATTTTCATATATTATTATTATTATTATTATTGCCATTTATATAGCGCCAACGGATTCCGTAGCGCTTTACAATATTTCGAGAGGGGGGGTGTAACAATAAATAGGACAATTACAAGAAAACTTACAGGAACGATAGGTTGAAGAGGACCCTGCTCAAACGAGCTTACAGACTATATACAAGCAAGGGGTGTATCCAGCTTGTTGGCTATTTCATAAAAGGTCCAAAAAGAGTTGCTAACTTTAAGGGATACGTACTCAAAATACCATAACAACTTTAGCTTAATGTAGCCGTTTTGGTGAATATATAATGCTCATTTCTCTGCCATTTATTAGTTAAATCACTTTTATATTTATTATCTTTTCTACCTTATGTCGAATTTTTTAAATACCTGGGTTCAGCCATTTTGTTCTCCTTTTCCCATGATTCTGTTGGATTCCTTTGACTGATGGATTCTGGGTAAATTAGCTTAGCAACGGAAATGGAGCTTTTCCTGAGCTCCGCCCAGTGCCATACGTTGCCAAAGATCGCCTTTCCCATATGAAAAAAGTAGTTCCCTACTTATACTTTTGTATAAGTAAAAAAAAAAAAAATAATAACCCAGTGAATTTCCACCCAAAAAAAGAGCGAGAGTGAGAAATAAAAAGACAAAAAAGGATAAATTTAAAAATAAAACCTGAAAAAGTAAAGAACCTCTTAAACTCCTAAATGGCAGAGAATTGAGCAATTAGACTGCAGTGTTATGCTCTATACACCAAAACGACTTCATTAAAAGTAAAATAGTTTTGGACATTATGGATGTATCCATTGAGATAATGGTATTCCTTGCTTTTATGTACCAAAACTACAACACCATTTTTCACATGGGCCGAGGAAACAATGCTAAAGAAAAGAGATAATAACATATAGCATATTCTCTCAATTATAAAGATAATGGTATAGAAAAATTCACTTAGTTCTAAGGGGATTTCTAAACCAACTCCTGTGCTCTGAGCACGAAACCCGAATTAAAATAGTAAATATGCAGAGTAGAATCTTACAGTAATTTAAAAACAATTACTAAAGTTTTCGCAACTTTTTAAAATCAAACTCATGTTATCCTTGACAAAGTAAAGCATATCAATAAAAACAGTCAGGTAATTATTTCTAGGAGAGTTAATTTCTAGAGAGTTAATTGGGAGCCAATAAAGAGTCTTATTGTGGGCCTGCAATCCAAAAGCTATTGTAGGGTTAAACGTTGCTCAAACTTGCAAACATTCCTTGTTGTGATTTATGAGGTAATAGTACCTGGCCATAGAAATACTGTGGTAGCAACTTCAGTAGGAAAGGTGCCCAGCCAGTTTCAGTAACACCATAATTGCTTATCCTGAAACACACGTTTGGGTGGATAATGCACCCATAATGCAAAGGCAACAAGCAGCATGTTTCTCGTATCTTCTTAATTTCGAAAACTGATGTAGACAACCCACAATTTGAAATAGGAGCTTACACAATGCAAGAGGACATTTGATGTGTTCTAACACTATAGTGCCCTATGGTCCTTTCCCTCCTCCCCCCTACTTTCCTTCCGGCAGTTAAAGAGTTAAAAAAATATGTATTTTCGCACCCAATTCCTGAGCTGATGTCCCTAAATCAGCAATCCATTTCCTCTGACGTAATCAGATTTCTTCTGATGTCATCTGGCGGAGAGACCTGATGCGCATGAGCAGCAAGTGCCACAAGCGCATTAGGCCGTCACCTGTAGGAAGTCATTGACTCAATGCTTTCCTATGGGGATCTCACTGACACCGGATGTCCTCATGCAGAGAGGTCCCAGGAAGCACCTCTATATAAACATTGCAGTTTCTCAAAATCTGCCATGTTTCACATTGCTGGAATAAGTGCAGAAATATTGCACCCAGACTTTGCATTTCTCTACGTTAAATTTCATCTGCCATTTCAGTGCCCAGTCCCCCAATCTATCCAAATCCCTCTGCAGCAAAGCAATATCCTGCTCACATTTTATTACTTTACAAAGTTTTGTGTCATCATCAAACACTGAAACATGGCTTTCAATGCCCATTTCAAGATCATTTATAAATATGTTAAATAGAAGCGGTCCCAAAACAGAACCCTGAGGGACACCACTTACCACGTTTGTCCACCACCTATTGTGAGGAACCGTATCAAATGCCTTGGCAAAATCCAAGTAGATCACATCCACTGCAACACCCTGATCTACACGTCTACTTACTTCTTCGTAGAATGCATTTAGGTTATATATTTGTATAATGTTATCATATCCCCTCTCAGGTAATGTTTTTCTAAACTAAATAGGTTTAAATTTTTTAACCTTTCTTCATAGCTGATATGTTCCATTCCTTTTATTAATTTTGTAGCCCGCCTCTGCACTTTTTCTAGTGCCATAATATCCTTCTTTAGAACAGATGCCCAAAATTGCCCAGCATATTCATTATGTCAAGCATGTCAACCACGTGGCCCACAGGCCGCATGCGGCCCACAAGAACCATCTTTGCGAGCCGCGAGTACATTCTCAGTGTTATAGCAGAGTAGGCACCTGCTTTCCCCACATTGCAGGTGCCTACTCTGCTAACACTTACCCGGCCGGGGAGGAGGGCCGCGAGGGAGCTCAGTGTTCCAGCTCCCCACTGCTCCCTCGCACGCCGACTGAAGTGAAGCCCGGCATCAGTAAACAGCGCGCGGGACCAGTATGAAAAGTATGTGTGTGTGTCTGTCAGTGTGTGTCTGTGTCAGTGTGTGTGTCTGTGTCAGTGTGTGTGTCTGTGTCAGTGTGTGTCAGTGAGTATGTGTGTGTCTGTCTGCCTGTTTGTGTATCTGTCAGTGTGTCTGTATGTGTCTGTCTGTGAGTATGTATGTGTGTGTGTCTGTCTGTCAGTGAGTGTGTGTGTGCGCGCGCGGCCCATATAAACGTAAACCTTGTTTATGTAGCCCGTGCCACACTTTGAGTTTGTCATGCTTGCATTATGTGGTCTTACAAGTGATTTATAAAGAGGCAAAATTAAATTCTAATCCGGACAATGAATGCCCTTTTTCATGCATGACAATACCTTACTGGCCTTAGCCACTGCTGATTGACATTGCACATTGTTGCATAGTTTGTTGTCTATAACAATTCCCAAGTCCTTTTCGTGTGTTGTTATCCTTAATTTGCTTCCATTAAGGGTATACGTTGCTTGTGTATTCTTTACGCCGAAGTGCATAACTTTGCATTTTTCAACATTATATTTAATCTGCCATTTGATTGCCCAGTCTCCCAGTCTATCTAAATCCCTCTGCAGCAAAGTACTATCTTGCTCACATTGTATTATTTTACAGAGTTTTGTGTCATCTGCAAACACTGAAACATGACTTTCAATGCTTTTTTCAAGATCATTTATAAACATGTTAAATAGAAGGGTTCCCAGAACAGAACCCTGAGGGACACCACTTGCCACCTCCGTCCAGCTTAAAAATTTACCATTAATGACAACTCTTTGTACTCTATTTTTAAGCCAATGTCCTACCCAAGAACAAGCATTTGCATCTAGACCGATTTCCTTGAGTTTGAACACTAATCTATTGTGTGGAACTGTATCAATTGCCTTGGCAAAATCCAAATGTGATCAAGTCTGTTGGCTCCCAAGCTTTACTATTGGCAGAGTCCCATTTAATTTCTTAGTAAAGTTAGGACATGAATATGTGCACTGTCTATGCTGATTGTTTGCAAATAAATAATTCATGTTGGCAGTACAGTGACATTTAATTTAATATCACACTCAGTAATGACACAACAATGCATTAACTGTATTTGGATTTTGATTTTAGTGTGAGCTATACAATTCCTATCAGTCTTAAAGCGAGTTTTCTTTCTCCTAAGCTTTATGTTTTCCCATGCCGAGCTACCTGGAGTGCTCTTCATTAGTAATCCAGAATAATTCAGACTAATAATCTAGACCTTAAAGTAATAGTATAGGCATCAAAACAAATTTAGCTTAATGAAGCAGTTTTGGTGTATAGATCATGCCCCTGCAGTCTCACTGCTCAATTCTCTGCCATTTATTTTGTATCTTCTGCTGTGTAAATGAACTGTTAATCACACAGGAGGCTCCTGAAAAGTTTAAAATGCTATTAACAGAGCAGGAAGAGAAGACATTCTAAATTAAACAGACTGGCTGTTGGTGCTCTAGCCATAATGCTGACCTGTGATGGTGCTGGTGCTGGCGTCTGTTCTCCAGGTGTTCCCAAAATTGCCTGCATCAAATCTTGCCTGGAAGGCTGCTGCCCAGTTGCTGGCTGCTGTATGTGGGAAGTAGTGCCATCGGCCATCTTGATCTGGCCTTGTGTCTCCCACCTGCCAAATTTGTGCCCTGGAGCAATTTGAAGGTGAGTGCTCTCTTTCCGGTAGTAGATCGGGATAACCCCCGCCGGTCCAAAGAGAGGGGAACGAGGGCCCTTGTGCAGAGACTCGGGCTGTCTTGGCAGTGGGAAAGCGGCCGTCTCTCCAGCGCCCGCCATGCTTGTAGGCCTCATTCTCTTTCGGGTGAGCATTGCTCGTAGTGCCGCTTAGGTTGGATCATCTCGTGCAGCTTAATGTCACCCCTCTTTTGGTAGCCTTTCTGCATCGATAAATTGCCGTTTGGGCAATGAAATTCTGCTTAAATCGCTGTTTGCTGTAGGAATTGCTGATGTTTACTTCCTCTTAGCTCTGCAGTCAGGGCCTGCCCCCAATTTATAACTTTTTTGACATGCGTTTTTCTGGATTTTTATTTTTTGTTATTCTGTCTCTCACTGTTAAAATACACCTACCATTAAAATTATAGACTGATCATTTCTTTGTCATTGGGCAAATGTTCAAAATCAGCAGGGGATCAAATACTTTTTTCCCCTCACTGTGTGTGTGTATGTGTGTGTGTGTGTGTGTGTGTGTGTATGTGTATATATATATATATATTTATTATTATTATTTTTACCATTTCAGTGCTGTTTATAGCATTAACCATGTGAACAGTCTGATTAGGGTAATTAGTAGTACCTTGGTACTACTATTATTATTATTATTATTATTAATATATGTATTTATTTTTTACTTACCTGAAAAGACATGGAAAAAAAAAATGGGGGCGGTGTTATATTTGTGGGACAATGTTAAAAATTTTTTTAAAAAATTGAGGCTTTGTTGCATTCACACACATCAGAATTATAAAATTTCCTGTGAAAATGGAATTAATCTATGTGTGTGAAAAAACACAAATGGAAATATGACCACTAAATGACCAACTCAAATTACACCATTTGGAATACCATGGGTGGCCTGCTTTCAAAAAGGTTAAGTCATCATGTGTGGAATATTCTTTCCTAGGCTGTCACACGGCCTCAAAAGTGACATAGGGCCAGAAAATCACTTTGTCAACTTTCCATGTTGAAAAGGGCATTTAATATATTAGGCACTGTGACTTTTACCCCAAAAAAGTGGAAAACTAGTACTTTAGGGTACTCATATCCGTGAGGCAATGCTAAGAAAATTATTGAGGCTTTATATAGGTTAGGTTACATAGGTGAAAAGAGACTCGTGTCCATCAAGTTCAGCCTTCCTCACATTTGTTTTTGCTGTTGATCTAAAAGAAGACAAAAAACCAGTTTGAAGCACTTCCAATTTTGCAAACTAGGAAAAAAAATTCCATCTTGACCCCAGAATGGCAGTCAGATTTATCCTTGGATCAAGCAGCTATTACCCTACATTGAAAGATTATATCCTTGAATATTCTGTTTTTGCAAGTATGCATCTAGTAGCTGTTTGGACATATGTATTTATTCTGATAAAACCACTTCTTCAGGCAGAGAATTCCACATCCTTATTGTTCTTACAGTAAAAAAACCTTTCCTTTGCCTTAGACGAAATCTTCTTTCTTCCAGTCTAAACACATGACCTCGTGTCCTATGTAAAGTCCTATTTGTGAATAGATTTCCACACAATGGTTTGTATTGGCCCCGAATATATTTGTATAATGTTATCATATCCCCTCTCAGGCGACGTTTTTCTAAACTAAAGAGGTTTACATTTGTTAACCTTTCTTCATAGCCGATATGTTCCATTCCTTTTATTAATTTTGTAGCCCGCCTCTGCACTTTTTCTAGTGCCATAATATCCTTCTTTAGAACAGGTGCCCAAAATTGCACAGCATATTCAATATGTGGTCTTACCAGTGATTTATAGAGGCAAAATTATATTCTCATCCCGAGAATGAATGCCCTTTTTCATGCATGACAATACCTTACTGGCCTTAGCCACTGCTGATTGACATTGCACATTTTTGCATAATTTGTTGTCTATAACAATTCCCAAGTCCTTTTCGTGTGTTGTTATCCCTAATTCGCTTCCATTAAGGGTATACATAGCTTGTGCAGGGGCAGACTGATCGGTCGTGGCACTTCGGACATGGTCCGAGGGTCCGGCCGAGAAAGAGGGACTGCCGCCCACACACACACTACAACTTTTACACCGGCCACTCAAGTCTGACGCGCAATAACTGCGACATCCTCGAGCCCAGAAGGGCAGCAGTACTTACCAGAAGTACAGGTGGGGCCCGGGGGAGGAGATAGTCAAACTGGGCCCAGTGCAAGGAGGCACAGGCCGCAACGATGGAAGAAAAATGATCAGGGGTCTCTATATCAGTGCGTCCGGGCCCCTGATCTATGTACTGCTGCTCTGCTGGGAGGAAGTCTCCTCCCTTCTTACCAACAAGCTGCTGGGAGAAAGAGAGCGAGGGAGATCAAGAGGCAGCACCAGAGGAAGGAAAGCCTGACTCCCATCACATTCAGCCAGATGACACTGGGCACCAAGAAAAAAACCCTCCTGCGTCAAAAAGGTATGAAAGCAGGAGGGGTGGTTACTATGTAATGTTATCTGTGTGTCTATCTATATCTGTGTGTCTATGTGTTAGGATGTGTATTTGTATTATTAGTGTGTCTATCTATTTGTGTGTGTTTGTGTATTGGTATATGTGTTATTGTGTATCTATGTGTGTCTGTATCTGCATGACTGTACCTGTGTATCAGTGTGTGCAAATGCATGTGTGTCTGTGTATCTGTGTCAGTGTGTGTTGTTTTATATATATATATATATATGTGTGTGTGTGTCAGTGTATGTGTATATGAGTGTACATCTCAGCATTCACACGCCAACCCTACAGACAAATACACCCCTGCATTCAAACGTCAACACTACACACACACACACACCCCTACATTCAAAACCAAACACTACACAGTACATAAAAATGCACACCACCACACTATACACAAATACAACTCTAAATTCACACACACATACTCCATACAAGAAAATACTTACAATCCAACATACAAACACTGCTTAGTGCTAAATACAACCCTGCAATGGTAGATCCCCAGCTGACAAAGCATTGCGCTACTTGTACAACAGATGGGAATCTACCTTTTTGTCCATCCTTACAATTGGGGGGGAGGAGGGGAATAATAAAAATAAATAATAGCCCAGAGTAATAGAGTAAACAAAATAAAGACCGCAAACAAATAGCCCTGTCAGAGTGGTTTGCTGTCTGACAGGGCTATTTGTTTGCTGTCTTTATTTCGTTTACTCTATTACTCTGGGCTATTATCTCTTTTTATTATTTTTCCGGTTATGTGTTCAGGTCAGGCAGTAGACAAAGATGCACCTTAAAGGCAGCGTTTAGACATTAAGTGCCGCCCAGGCGTTAGATTAAGTCAGGCTCTGCACTAACCTTGCAACTACTATTGTCTGTTAGATCATCACTATACATTTGGACAGATACGTTATTTAATCGCATGCACCATTATGCTCTGGCTCTGCTGATTATTGTTAAATTTACCAGTATTAATTCTACTTTATTCCAGCCAGTTAAACTTATTCTGTGATCTCGTTATTTAGTCACTGATATCAGCAATCAGACATTTTAGTCTCTCAGATAGACGGCCTAATTTGTTTCTTTGCTTTCTCTATGACTTTACAGTGAAACTGTTATGATGTTTAACTTTCTACTTTAGCAACAAGAACTTATACTGTAGCAGGATTAAAAGAGTTAAGCCTCTCTGTCTCCATCTAATAGTGTAGCTGATACTATACCAGTCTTGATTGATTCTATATGTATATTTTATTTCTGTACCCTATATGTCTCTCCCTTCTTTTACTGTTTTGGTTAATGTAGTGTTATATACTTTTTAAGAGCTAGGCACTTTTCTAGCCCTTTTTAATCCTTGAAACATTAAAAGTTAAATTTTAACTACTATTTTGTTGCTATTTATTTCTAAGGGTTATCCCCTATCATTTCTTTCTTTTTTTTTTTTTTTGACAATCTTTATTTAGTATTTTTTCATTCGAAGAAACAAGTAACAGTCGGTTGTTGTACATTGTATCTGTATCAGTATCAACATTTGAATAATGCATAGAAAGGGGGAAAGGGGAAGGGGAACTGTGCTGCTAACCCACACCATTCAAACAGTTGGCTCTAGCCATTGTACCAGCTAGTGTTCAGGTCTGCGGCCGTAGCCTCGTCATGTAGCTAGAGAGGGTATAGCCTGACCTCTGCTGTGTTGGGGATTTTTGGTCGTCTCCCCACTGTAGTGTTCACGGTTGTGCCCTGGTCAGCAGTGGTAAGTCCCTATCATTTCTGTCCAGTATTTTTCTCTAATTGCTTCATTAAGTTTCTCTTTTTTTTGTCCCTTGAAACTCCAACACTTCACACAAATATATCCCTGCATTCAAACATCAACACTACATACAGACAGACCCCTACATTCAAAAGCAAATACAACACACAAGTAAACCACTGCTTTAAAATGGTAACAGTACATAACACACTACACACAAATACACTCCTACATTCACACACACATCCTGCATTCAAAAACATGCTCACATATAAACATACCCAGTGCTAAGTGCAACCTTGCAATGATGGGCAAATGGTAGATGCCCAGCTGGCAAAGCATTGTGGGAGATGTACCCTTTTTTCCATCCTTGCGATAGGGGGGTCTCAATAATTATTGGACCAGGGCCCTTTCTATTTTAGTTCCACCAATGAGCGCAATGCAGATAGTCACCAGAACAAATATAGTGCTCCATTTGCACTAAAGCTTTCATTTTATAATCTTATCCCTCTACTACAGCCCCTATCTCACATGAAGCCCCAAACCACCCAACCTCCACACTACAGTCTCTATCCCCAATTACATTCCCTATACCCACTACAGCCTTTCTTTCCATACTACATCCCCTATATCATTACTTCGGCCCCTACCACTTCACTACAGCTCCTGTTCCCCGATTAGAGTCCTTGTCTCCCCACTACAGCCCCTATTCCCCCATGACAGCCCTTAACGTCGACACTACAGACTCTATGCCCAATTACAACCCCTATACCCCACTACAGCTTTTCTCCACCCACTACATCCCCTATGGCACCACTACAGCCCCTATCCCTCATGACAGCCCATAACCACCCAAGCCCCACACTACAGTCTCTATCCCCAATTACAACCCCTATAATCCCACTACAGCGCCTATTCCCCCATTAGAGCCCTTGTCGCCCATAAGAGCCCTTATCTGTAACACAAGGATGAACATGTGGGTTGTGGGTGTGATGTATATTTGTGTAGTTTGCAAGTTGGTTTGTTCAAGGGGGACCCATGACCTTCTATTGCCCAGGGGCCCCATGAGTTGTCAGTCCGTCCCTGAGCTTGTGCATTCTTTACGCCGAAGTGCGTAAATTTCATCTGCCATTTGAGTGCCCAGTCCCCCAGTCTATCTAACTCCCTCTGCAACAAAGTACTATCTTGCTCACATTGTTACATAGTTACATAGCTGAAAAGAGACTTGCGTCCATCAAGTTCAGCCTACCTCACATTTGTTTTTTGCTGTTGATCCAAAAGAAGGCAAAAAAAAACAGTTTGAAGCACAATTTTGCAACAAGCTAGGAAAAAAATTCCTTCTTGATCCCAGAATGGCAGTGAGATTTATCCTTGGATCAAGCAGTTATTACCCTACATTGAAAGATTATATCCTATTGTATTATTTTACAGAGTTGTGTGTCATCTGCAAACACTGAAACATGACTTTCAATGCTTTTTTCAAGATCATTTATAAACATGTTAAATAGAAGAGGTCCCGGAACAGAACCCTTCTGTCCAGCTTGAAAATTTACCATTAATGACAACTCTTTTTAAGCCAATGTTCTACTCAAGAACAAGCATTTTCATCTAGACCGATTTCCTTGAGTTTGAACACTAATCTATTGTGTGGAACTGTATCAAGTTTAATACACTAACGCACATGGAGTTAAAGGACCACTATAGGCACCCAGACCACTTCAGCTCAATGAAGTGATCTGGGTGCCAGGTCCATCTAGTGTTAAACCTGCAGATGTAAACCTAGCAGTTTCAGAGTTTACACTAGGGTTAATCCAGCCTCTGTGGCTGTCTCCCTGAAAGCCGTTAGAGGTGCTTCCGTGATTCCGTGAAAATCACACAGTATCCCCCATGTACAGGTTTTAAGTTTCGAAAACCCCCATAAAACCTGTACATGGGGGATACTGTTGAACTCGTGTGACATTGCTGAACACAGATCTGAGTGTTTTTTTTCAGAGCAGTAATCGTGCAGTGATGATATCAGTGAAAGGTGAAAGAAACCAATATAAACACTAACCTTGGCCAGGATTTGTAACGAAGTGACTACTAATAAAATACTGGACATACATTGTTTTGAATACTCTGTTTTCTTTTGGAAATGGTATTCTGTGATGGGGTAAGTCGCCCCCATATGATCTTACAAGTAACAAAATCCAAGCAAACCAATCTGGCAAATTTCAACTTGTAAAAACTGATATGGGCAAGCCCTAAATTTGACCATGCTAAGTTTTCAAAACTCAATAAAACATGTATATGGGGGATATCATGTGTATTTTATTGCAGTAAAAGCTAACAGTATTATGACATTCACAGTTAAAATGCAGTGCAGAAGTTGGAATAACATTTCTTAATTTCTCTTACTTTTTCTTTTATTCATATTAAATTCTGTTTTATATATATATATATATATATATATATATATATATATATAAAGAAAAAAGCACTGTACCTTGCACTCAAACTCCATGTATCCAAACCGGGTGCACTCCCAGGGCTCCAAATATCCAAATAGCTGAATCAAAGGTTGCACTCACGGATTCTTAAAACATAGCTTTTATTGTGTACTCCTAAAAAAATCGACGTTTCAGTCCTATTCAAGGACTTTCATCAGGATCATAGAAACATAACATAACAATTCAACCATATATAGGATGCAGTAAATTACAATAACTCACCACAGGTGCCATAAGACAACCGGCGTCCCGGTCGGGAATGTGCGCATGTGCCGAGTAGCCCCTCCCCCCGGCGTAACGTGTGACGCCGCCGTTGCTATAGTGACGCGGCCAGCGTATACTATATTAAAGCCGGCATCTAAACCGGGACTGTGCAGTGATGCGGAGAGGTTCCGCCCCCAATGTGACATCATGTGTGCGCCGCCGTCGTTACCATAGTAACGCGGCTGTGAATGAGAAAACACATCGATATGGAAACAAGCTTATCAAAAAATGATGATAACCTAGTTGTGAACAACTAGGCTACTATGGAACATTGACATACCAAATATGGTTAAGCCAAGTGTGAATGTGATCTATGTATATTAATAAAGTGCAAAAGGGTCATTGAAAGTGCAACGAAAATTATCTCTTAAAGTGCCATATAGGTGCATAATATTTAAAGTGCCACAGTGCAAATGTAAACATGTTGTGACCCACTATAATTAATATGAATGTTTATATTAAATAACCCCAATGATTAGAGATTAATGTTAGTAGATTAATTAATAAAAAAAAAAAAAAGTATATACATATGGTTATATAAGGCTTTTTTACATGACTTTTTTTCACTTATTTTCTCTTTCTTGTTTCTGCTCCTCTGACACTCAACAAAAATGTATGTTCAAACAATTGTTACGACAGCACTATTGTGTTCTGCATCAAAGACTGTTGAACACATTTCAAAGCAATAACTATTAATGCTTGCAAAACATAAATAATTAATTATATAATAAGCGGGCGGTCGCAGGATAGTCATGAAAAATGCACATAGAAAAACCTAAAATACACACAAATATAAAATCACACATAAAAGAACATTAAGGGGCATTCAGGCCAAAAAAGAATGTAGCGACAAAGCTTCATTTAATCCTTTTGGAGACACAGTGTCCAACTCATGGATCCAATAGGCTTCTCTATTAGGTAGCATCCTCCCCCTATCACCCCCTCTTCTAGGGTTAGGGATGTGGTCAATAGCCACAAATTTCAATGTAACCAATGAGTGCTTTAGTTCAAAGAAGTGTTTTGCAACCGGTTTATCTGTAAAACCATCCCGATATGCCAGTCTAATAGAAGATCTATGTCCCCTAATTCGTTCGCAGATGGCCGTCTCCGTTTTCCCAATGTAACATAAGCCACACGGACAAGACAGTTTGTATATTACATGTGTCGTCTTGCAAGTAATAGTATATCGAATAGTATATTTTCTATTATTGTGAGGGTGAAAAAAAGTTCTTGCAGGTGTCATGTGGCTACAGGTCACACAGCCAAGGCAGCGAACAGATCCTCTTATTTGTTCCTTCGCTATATTCAAATAGCTTTGGGAGGGATCCGTATGTACTAGCATATCTTTTAGGTTTCTATTTCTCTTATAACAGATTAATGGCTTTTCTTTAAACACTTTCGGGAGCGTGTCATCACTCGACACAATCCTCCAATTCTTCCTAATGACCGATGCCACTTGAGAAGTAGACTGGTTGTATACCATAGGGAAGACCAAATTAAGAGGTTTCTTCTTTGTTTCAATGGCGCGTGCATTCAATGCTTCTTGTAGCGCTGTTTCCAACATGAATTCGTCATAACCTCTTTGAAGAAATTTGTTTTTCATTTCAAGAATCTGGACATCCCTAATTGCTGCTTCCGAATTGTTCCTGATTACTCTTAGGAATTGAGCCTTTGGTAGTGAGTTCTTCAGAGCCCTGGGATGTGCACTCTGATAGTGAAGGAGTGTATTCCTATCTGTAGGTTTTGTATAGAGGGAATATTGAAAATGTGTTGCTCCCAATGAAATTTCCAAATCCAAATAATGCACCTTCTCTGTGCTAATATCCGCCGTGAATCTTACTGGGGTTGGTAAGAGATTAAGATCTTGAACCATTTCGTGGGCTGATTCACAAGTTCCACTCCATATGATGAACAGGTCGTCAATAAATCTATAGTACGCTATTATATTACTTTGGTACCTCTCCAATATATGTTCCTTCTCATACACATACATGTATGCATTAGCATACATCGGCGCCATAGATGCGCCCATTGATGTGCCAGCCACTTGTAGATACCAGTTATTTTCAAAACGAAAATAATTATTCTGTAGAGTTAAAGAAAGTAGTTCCAAAACATATTCTATAGGGGGGCCATGGTAGACAGGAGATTGAATCAAGACTTGCCGCATAGCTTCTACCCCAGCATCATGTGGTATCACTGTGTATAGACTATGTACATCCATTGTTATTAGGACTGGTCTATAATTACCATAAGATAATTCATTGATATTGGTGATGAGAGTTTGAGAATCTTTAATACAGGTAGACAGTTCTCCAACTGGACCTTGGAACAAATAATCAAGCCATTTTGCAATAGGTTCTAAAACGCCATCAATGGCTGACACTATAGGGCGTCCTGGCGGTGATTTTGGATTTTTATGGATTTTTGGAATCGAATATATGATAGGCGTGCGGGGGCATGCTTTAATAAGATAATGATGTAATTTGGAGTCAATATAGCCCGATCTCAGGCCCATTGATAAAACATCTTCAATCTTATTCTGAATATTGATAGTGGGATCTCCATCTAACAATATGTAGGTGGTTCTATCTGATAGTTGCACATTCAGATCTTTAGCATAGTTCATGTAGTCCATAATGACGATTCCACCTCCCTTGTCAGCCGAACGGATGACTATTGATGGATCTGTTGCTAATCCCTTTATAATTTTCCTTTGTTGTTTCGTGATGTTGTGTTTCACTTTACACTCGCGTTGCATAAGGGTTTGAACTTCTTTATTGGTCATGGAGAGAAAAGTCTTAATGGACGCCCTATTAGATATAGGATCAAAAGTGGATTTAGCCCGAAAAACATCTGTATCTGCTGTATTACACTCCACTGTATTTGAGAAAAATTCTTTCAATCTCATAGTTCGCCCGAACTTGTGCAGTTCAATCTTCCACTTGAAAACATCAGCCTTGGATGTAGGCACAAATGAAAGGCCTTTACTAAGGAGTTCTATCTCAGTTGTATCAAGGGGCCTTTGAGAGAGATTGAATATAGGGATTACCTCCTGCGTGGGGGTTTCCCCTGTACAGGTGTTCTTTCCTTTACGGCCTCGCCTTGTTCTTGGTCTACGTCGACCCTGAACCGGCTCCTGGTTATTGTGCCTGCTTCGTCTGTGGCTAAAAAAAGTGCTTTTGAAGCTTCCATGATGTTTCTGGTATCTGAATCAGAGGCTGACTCTCCTGAGGTTACGTCCACTGTTGGGACCCTAGGTCGCTGTATCCTTCTGCGTTGTTTCCTGGGTCTATTGGCTCTAATGTTGCCAGTGAGCCAACCATAGACTCTGTGTTCCAAATAGTCTTGTGTGACTTTCTCAAATTTCTGTTTTTTAAATCTCACTAATTCCATCTTATATTTCAAGACTTCCTCTTTAAGTTTTTGTATGGTCTTTAATCCTTCAGGTGTAGCCAATAATGTTGCGCATTCAGTCTCTAATTCAGTGATTTTTAAGTTAGTGTCCATCAGATCTGCCTTCACATCTCTAATAATAATGAGCATTAGGTCAAGTGATGCTCTATTCAACACTTGCGTCCATTCTCTGCAAACCGTGGCTTTAGACCTTCCTATAGTTGGAACATTTAAAATTCTGAATCCCCTAGGGATCCGTTTAACTCTGTAGTAATCCGAAAGGAAAAGGCCGTGTAGGTCTAGATCTATTTGTTTCCTACGTAAGCGTAGTAGCTTAAAGTATATATCTTTTGTAGTAAGCTGATATGGAAGTTCTGAGCTAGACTGATGCCATAGTATGTCATCCGCTTCTTCTTTGGAGAAATACAATGTCTCTGCCTGTTCTGAATATGCCCCCGCCTGTACCAAAAATTCATCCATAATGAAAAAAGCTTGCTGAATAAATTGTATGAAATTGGCTACTGTGGCTTTAAATTGCTGGAATTCTCAATACAGCAATATATAAATACAAAAATTTTTTTTAAATTTTTCAAATATTGGTTGGTGCATAGGTTGGGGTGAAATGAGCCCACACCCCTACATACAAAGAAAAAAGCACTGTACCTTGCACTCAAACTCCATGTATCCAAACCGGGTGCACTCCCAGGGCTCCAAATATCCAAATAGCTGAATCAAAGGTTGCACTCACGGATTCTTAAAACATAGCTTTTATTGTGTACTCCTAAAAAAATCGACGTTTCAGTCCTATTCAAGGACTTTCATCAGGATCATAGAAACATAACATAACAATTCAACCATATATAGGATGCAGTAAATTACAATAACTCACCACAGGTGCCATAAGACAACCGGCGTCCCGGTCGGGAATGTGCGCATGTGCCGAGTAGCCCCCCCCCCCCCGGCGTAACGTGTGACGCCGCCGTTGCTATAGTGACGCGGCCAGCGTATACTATATTAAAGCCGGCATCTAAACCGGGACTGTGCAGTGATGCGGAGAGGTTCCGCCCCCAATGTGACATCATGTGTGCGCCGCCGTCGTTACCATAGTAACGCGGCTGTGAATGAGAAAACACATCGATATGGAAACAAGCTTATCAAAAAATGATGATAACCTAGTTGTGAACAACTAGGCTACTATGGAACATTGACATACCAAATATGGTTAAGCCAAGTGTGAATGTGATCTATGTATATTAATAAAGTGCAAAAGGGTCATTGAAAGTGCAACGAAAATTATCTCTTAAAGTGCCATATAGGTGCATAATATTTAAAGTGCCACAGTGCAAATGTAAACATGTTGTGACCCACTATAATTAATATGAATGTTTATATTAAATAACCCCAATGATTAGAGATTAATGTTAGTAGATTAATTAATCAAAAAAAAAAAAAAAAGTATATACATATGGTTATATAAGGCTTTTTTTTTTTGATTAATTAATCTAGAGCAGCTACTTCGTACACGTCATTAGAGATAGCGCGAAGGGAATCTGGACGCCTAAGAGGACCAGAGAATCGATTACAGAGCAGGGGCTTCAAAAGGGAGGTGTGGAAAGTGTTAGGTATACGCATGGAAGGAGGCAAGGCTAGAGAGTAGGACACAGGATTGACCCTACGCAATACCTTATAGGGGCCAAGGAACCTGGGCGCGAATTTCATTGAGGGGACCCTGAGGCGGAGATTCTTAGAGGACAACCAAACCCTATCACCCGGGACATAAGAGGGAGCAGCACCCCTACGACGATCAGCAAATTTCTTCTGAGTAGCAGTCGCACGAGAAAGAGTAGCATGGACCTGATCCCACATCTTCCGTAAGGAGGTGAGGTGCTCGTCCAAAGCGGGTATTCCCTTGTCGGAGAATACGCCGGGAAGGACAGAGGGTTGGAACCCATAAGCAACCATAAAAGGACTTAAGCCAGTGGATGAATGAGTCACAGTGTTCCTGGCGAATTCAGCCCAAGGAAGGAGGTGAGACCAGTTGTCCTGGTGTGCATTCGTGAAGCAACGTAAATATAACTCCACAGATTGATTCGCCCGTTCGGCCGCTCCATTAGATTGTGGATGATAGGAGGAAGTAAACGACAAGGAAATCCCCATCTCAGCACAAAAGCCCCTCCAAAACCGAGAGACAAATTGAGGGCCCCTGTCAGATACGATATCCTGTGGTATACCATGCAAGCGGAAAACCTCTTTGGCAAATACCTGAGCCAACTGAACCGCAGAAGGTAGTTTCTTAAGTGGAATAAAGTGTGCCATTTTAGAGAATCTATCAGTCACAGTCAAAATTACTGTCATTCCATCGGATGAAGGAAGATCCACAATAAAGTCCATGGATAAGTGGGTCCATGGTTTCTTGGGTACGGATAAAGGCATTAGGAGTCCCGGGGGTTTGACATTAGGAGACTTACACTGTGCACAAACACGACAAGCCTGTACATAATCCACCACGTCTTGCTTAAGTGAAGGCCACCAAAACTGTTGAAGGAGACTCTTGTATGTTTTGGTAACCCCTGGGTGGCCAGCCGTTTTGGCGGTGTGAAATAAAGCTAACAGTTTCTTTCTATCTTTCTCTTTCACGTATAATCTACCAACAGGTGTCTCAGAGGGTGCTTGGGTTTGGTATGCCTTGATACCATCAAGGAAAAGAGATGAAATAACTAAACGGGTAGCAGCTATTATCTTAGACGTGGGTACAATGGGTTCAGGAGTGGGGGCGATAGACTCCAAAGGTTCGTATTGTCGGGAGATAGCATCAGCCTTGACATTACGGTACCCAGGCCTATATGTGATAATGAACTGAAAACGTGAAAGAAATAAGGACCATCTGGCTTGACGAGAGGATAACCTTTTAGCAGCAGCTATATAGGAGAGATTCTTATGATCAGTTATAACCAGGATTTTGTGTCTAGCTCCTTCTAATAAGTATCTCCACTCTTTTTAAATGCCATCACAATAGCTAATAGTTCCCTATTCCCAATGTCGTAATTCTTTTCCGCATCAGACAGTTTCCTTGAAAAGTAACAACAGGGATGAAGGGGTTCGTTATAAGATAATCTTTGTGATAATACAGCTCCTATACCTGATTCTGAAGCGTCTACTTCCATTACAAAGGGAAGGGAAGGGAAGGATCAGGATGGTGTAGCACAGGAGCAGTGGCAAATGCCTTTTTGAGGGTTTCGAAGGCCTTGACGGCTTCAGGAGTCCAAACCCTGGGGTGCAAACTCTTTTTAGTTAGTTTCGTGATAGGAGAAATGACCGATGAAAAGTTTTTAATAAACCTGCGATAATAATTGGCAAAGCCTATAAATCGCTGTATTGCCTTAAGACCTTGAGGAAGAGGCCAAGACAATATGGCTTCTAATTTAGAAGGATCCATACTGAACCCCTGTTCATAAATGACGTACCCTAGGAATTGTACTGATTTCTGGTCAAATAAACATTTCTCCAATTTACAATAAAGACCGTTCTGTAGCAATCTCTTCAGTACCTTCCTCACATGGTTATGATGTGACTCCAAATCAGGAGAGAATATGAGTATATCATCGAGATAAACCACAGCACAGACATGCAGTAGATCTCTAAGGACATCATTTCTGAAGTCCTGAAAGACAGCAGGAGCATTACACAGTCCAAAAGGCATGACTAGATACTCGTAATGCCCACTGCGTGTATTGAACGCTGTCTTCCATTCATCATTTTCTTTTATCCGAACCAAGTTGTAAGCCCCCCTGAGGTCTAGTTTAGTAAAATATCTAGAACCTTTAACACGGTCAAACAACTCAGTAATGAGAGGGATAGGATAAGCATTTTTAATTGTTATATTATTCAGACCCCTATAATCTATACATGGTCTCAAATCGCCCTCCTTCTTGGCAACAAAAAAGAAACCAGCACCAGCAGGAGAGGAGGACCTTCTGATAAAACCTTTACGTAAGGATTCCTGTATGTACTCCTCCATGACCTGGTTTTCTTTCTCAGAAAGCGGGTAGACCTTACCCCTAGGAGGCATCGTTCCAGGTAACAAATTTATGGCACAATCATAATCCCGGTGTGGAGGTAGTTTATCAGCTTCACTCTTTTCAAAGACCAATGCGAGGTCTGCATACACAGGAGGGACAGAAACAGAAAGTGGTTTAGCTGTAGGCAAATTAATTAAACAAACGGGATGTAAACGGGCCATACAATCCTGTTGACAAGATACCCCCCAGGATAGTATATCTAGAGAATCCCAATCAAGTACTGGGTTATGCTTCACTAACCAGGGAAAACCCAGAATGATGGAAGCTGTAGGGGAGTCAATTATTTGGAAGGCTATCCTTTCTTTGTGTAAGGCACCCACGACCATAACCATTTCTTGGGTTTCATGGGTTACCAGAGGTTTATCAAGTGGTCTACCATCTATGGCCTCAATGGCCAAGGGTGTGGCCTTTTGGATCAGATTCATGGCTGCGGTTTTAGCAAAGTTCTCATCCATAAAACTGTCTGCAGCACCTGAATCGATCAAGGCTTTAGTTGTTATCGTGGTTTTATTGACCAAAAGAGAAACCGTTATAAATGGTCTAGAGATGGACATATGAGGGGAAAAAACCATAACACCCGAGGCCGACCCCTCTCTAGGCCTTAGGTGCTGGAGTTTCCCTGCAAACTAGGACAGTTTCTTCGGAGATGCCCCCTCTTACCACAATAAAGGCACAAACCCTCCCTTCTGCGGTACATTCTTTCAGCTTCAGATAAGCCTACAGCACCTAATTGCATGGGTTCGGGAGGTGGTTGATTAGGGGAAGGTAATGCTAGCAATGCAGTACTGGGTAAAGCAGGTAACCCCTGTGTATTCAACCTCCTTTGACTACGTCTCTCTCTGATACGGTTGTCAATTAGAATGACATAATCTATTAGATCATCCAGAAGAACAGGCATTTCCCTGGATGCTATCTCATCTAATATGTAAGCAGCCAAACCCTCCTGAAAAGCTGTTACGAGAGCGTCGTTATTCCAGACCACTTCAGCTGCCAAAGTACGGAATTCAATGGTATAATCCGCTACTGATCTATTACCCTGTCGAACCCTAAGCAGAGCTTTGCCAGCAGAAGCAACCCGGCCGGGTTGGTCAAACGTACGTTTAAAAGCTGTTAAGAGCCACCCCCTCATCCATAACACACTCCGGACATGGAGGAGACATAGAGAGGACTGGGGACTATCCCCCGGTCTGTCCCAGTTTTTCCCTCTGGCCAACAACCCAGACTTCCAAAATGGTCAGGGAAGCACCACTCTAACTCGGGTCACTGGAGAGGCCTGCCCAGAAGTAGCGACGGTCTTAACAGGAGACGACCCTCCTAAAATAAAGACCTTCCTCACACCAGGTAACAGAGGAACATTACTAGACATTATGGCCAAAGCCCAGCTAACCCACTTCTTGACCCAATCGGTCCTCCCGTTGTGGAGGAAAAGGGACAAGACGCTCTTCGAATCCCTATGCTCCCAGGCAATAAAACAAAACGGCCCCTATCGGCCATCTACCGCCTCCTCCAAATGGAAGCAGTGGATACACCCAGACCCCCATACCAACGAAAATGGATGAGGGAACTCCACATTCACATGACGAATAGTGACTGGGCACACATCATGACCTCAGGGATGAAATCCCCACTAAGCATCGCCCGCAAAGAAACATTTTACAAAAGGGTTACCAGATGGTATAGAACACCAGCCCTTCTCCACACCTACTGGCCCACAGTAAGCGACCAGTGCTGGAGGTGCGAGAGAGCAGTGGGCAACATGGAACACATATGGTGGAGCTGCGAGAACATAGCACCATTCTGGGACATGATACTCACGGACATTAAGAAACTCCTATCCATGAGGGCACACATATCCCCCTCCCAAGTACTACTAGGGTGGCCACGGGCACTGATAGACGCGTATAAACAGCAACTTCTAAACATCCTCCTAAGCGAGGCCAATGCACTTATACCCATGCTCTGGCGACAAATGCAAACGCCCTCTAGAGACCAATGGGTCCAAAGGGTAGAGTGGACCAGAGAGCTAGAGGAGATCCACTGGTCGACACAGGGCAAGAGAGCTAAATATCTCAAAATCTGGAAACCCTGGCTCACCTACTGGGAAAGCCCCCCCGCAGGAAACGCGCTCATAACTAGCCGTAGCGAGAGTACTTGAATCAGTCTTATACGGAAATCAAAAACACCTTACCACAAAGAGCCGGAAAACTCTAGACTCCAGAATCTAAACTTCTATACAGGCAGGTAGCGACAGGATCCCCCACTCCCCAACCACCGCCTCCCCCCGTTCACTTCACCTCCCCCTGCCCCATCCCCATCACCACATTCCGTTAACATAGGACAGGTTTACGTATACGAAAAAACTTTGTTTTAATCATTTTGTATAACTCTACAGGATCCCCACTATGTTATATTTTTGTCAACCCCTTCTCTATTCTGTACCCCATGCAATGATTTTACGTACTGAAAACACAATAAAAATGATATTAAACAAAAAAAATAAAAGCTGTTAAGAAGTCTGAAAAGGACATTGGGGACGTATTCTCCCACATGGGATTAGCCCATGCTAGTGCTTTCCCGGACAAATGGTTAATCAAAAAAGCAATTTTGGTTCTGTCAGTGGGGTAGGAACGAGGATTCATCACCAAATGAATATCAATTTGGTTGAGGAAACCACGGCACAATGCTGGATCACCACTATAGCGCTGAGGTGGCGTCATGTGAACCACGTGAGCAGGAGCGGGTACTGGATCAGGAATGGGTTCTGGCACAGCAGCAACAGCTTCTTGGACAGCAGGTTGCAAGTGGGCAGTACGAGCCAGTATGGTTTGTAAAGCCTGGGCAAACTGATCCATACGGTGGTCTAAACCGTCCATTCTAGCCTCCTGATTAACTAACAGCTGTGGAATGTCAGCAGGTTCCATGGTGGCCCTGTTGTAATGTCACGATTCGGGGAACCTAACACGCTGACACACACACACACACAGAAAAGGTGCCGTACCGGACCTTAGAGTGGCCGGGCTAAGCACGCTAAGAATAGTCAGGAGACAAGCCAGGTAAAGGGAGCCAGAAAACGGGAGAACGAGAAACAAGCCGAGGTCAAAGGAGTGGAGAAGACAGGATAATCGGAATAACGAGCCAAGTAATCGGTAACCAGAGAGCAAGACGAGAACACTACGCTACAGGTATCACAAGACCACAACAGGGCACTGAGGGACAGGAAAGGTAAGTATAAATACCCTAGGCTTAATTCTGATTGGATAACTTCCAATCAGAATTAACAATCACACGTGGGGGATATCTATACCCCCCACTGTGATTGTGGTACTGTTTCTTTAACGCCGGGTCACACACGTGACCCCGGCGTTTACTTAACTCCTGGACCTCCCAGCGTGCAGCGTTATACATGCTGCCGCTGGGGGGCGTGGAGGACGCTGGCGGCGAGCGGCACAGAGGAGACGCTGCTCGCCGACAGGTAAGCAGAGAGGAGACCGCGGGCGGCGATGGACTGAGTGCTGCAAGTGGCGTCATGGGCAGGGTGCAGTACCAGGTAATAGGGTGAGTTGGTAGGCGTACTGACCCAGGCAAGATTGATGCAGCATTCATATGATGTGGTAGCTCTTTCGGTATCCCTTGCTCTCCTCTCCCTGTTGTATCCTTCTTGACACTCCAACTGCTGTCTCTATAGGCACCCCTTTCTGATGCAGGCCTGCACATCCCACCTCTTGTGCTCCGCTGATCCGGTCTTCTCCGTCGTTTTCACACTCTCCTTGTGCCACGACAAGTTTTAGGCTGCCGGGGAGCAGGATTAGGTGGGTGATCCCGCGAGGGTTGTAGGGCAGGTACAGATTGTCAGAGGGACAGCATCCCCCAATAGTCGGCAAGAAGTTTGTCCAGGATGGATAGCGTTCTGGACATCACACCTCCATAGTCAGGCTTGGGGCCTGCGTCATCCGCCATGTTGGATATGCCATGTTGGTTATCACCGCTGTTTGAGGCAGGATCGCACAGCCCTGGTGATGTGAATGAGCCTTCAGGGTGGAGACCGGGATCTCCCCCACCGGTCCAAAGGGGCCATCAAGATTTGGACGAAGGTCCACCTAAGCTTGGTTGGGAGAGCGGCCGCCTCTCCCCTCCACAGTGCTTGCTAGGCCTCACTCCAGCCCATTGAGGTCTTAGTCTGGACGGCTGCTACTGACCTTACAAAGCTGGATTTACACCAGACATTCAAGCTTTGCAGCCTGACCCAGAAAGAGCGCCGGGAATACGGGTAAGTGGCTTGAAATCAATGATTTATGCGGAGCTCTCTGAAAAGGCGTCCAGCCACCATCACAGTTCATAGTCAGGCCCCACCCCCTCTTATATAAATATTTTATGTGATAATTGAAAACCCGATTTCCCCTGAACAAAATTATATATATATAAGTATGGGTACATTTAATATGAAAGAGGTAGATTAGGGTTGAACAAACATACAGATCAAATTCCTTTTGGTTCAGAACTTGTAGAAACTAAAGAACTATACTTATTTTTGTTCGATGTACTCCGGCATAATCTCACATCCTTACATTTGCCAATGTTTACGTTTGGTTCATTCCACTGTCCTAAATCTCAGTACTTGTGTATACACAATTATCCAGATTTAAATTTCCTCATTGAAAAACAAACATGGTGAATCCTCATGCTGAACTGTTGAATTTCGGAGTTATTTAGAGGAAAGCTACGAGCTAATGTGGTGATATCCTTCTCAACGCATGTTCTTAAGTGTTTCGTTCTTTTATTTCCAGCACCATTAAAGTGGACGATTTCATAGAACGCCTTTTCAAAATTCACAAGCATGTCCAGGATGAAGGATTGGCACAGGTAGGTATTATTCAGTTTATAAATATATATTCATAAACAATATATTGTGAAAGCCATATAGAGTGCAGAACCATGGTCTCAAAGGCTTGCAATCTAGGACATTGTTATTCAACTGGTGGCCAGTGAATGGCACCTAGCCATCAATTATTGTAGGGATAGACCGATTTGCAATTCTGATGATTTTATTAGAGGTGATATTCTGCATATTTACGATATTATCAATAACTTACTCTGGTCTCTACCAGTTATCGCACGCCATCTTCCACATTGGGAAACTCCAGCTGCCAGCCAATGAGGCACCACATTGTAACCTCATGTCACCCCTCCTTGTGAGTTTCCGCACGTGGAGCTCAGCTGAAGGCAGGGAAAATTCAGTGAATGTAGTACTGGGATGGCTGTCTGAGAGTAATAGGAGTGTGGTGGCGGTCAGTAATCACACTTCTATCAGAAACAGCACCGTACATGCTGGGGTCTTGGTAATCCCACCATGAACCGACTGCCTGAGAGTTATAGGAGTGTGATTGCTCTCAGCATGCTTAGGCCAGAGTTGTGTAAAAATTTTAACTCTAAATATATACACTATCAGCACCAGTTATTGGCAATCTGCCCGAAATGCCACTGATAATCTGTATCTGCATTGGCTCTGATTTTTTTGTATTGAGTAATAGATTTAATGGTGTCTGGCTGCAAGCCTTTTCTTTCTAAATGTTATTGTATGGCCTTTCCCATTCCAAAGCGGAATATCACTGTTTAATGAAGTTATTACCTACTTATTTTCCCCGAAAAGAAGACAACCCCCAAAAATAAACCGTAGCTTATTTTTGGGGGATGCTTCTAATATAAGCCCTACCCTGAAAATAAGCCCTAGTCGTTTTCCCCGAACATAGATTTGCTGAATTCCATTTGGAAGTAAGCTTATCTACCGTATGTCCGGGGAAGTTTCCCCGAACATAGATTTGTGGTATTCTATTAGTGAGTAGGCTAATCTATGTTCGGGAAAGTTTCCCTGAACATAGATATGCAGGATTCCATGCCCTTGTAAATTGGTCTCTGTTTGGGGGAATTCCATCATTGTGACTATCCATACACTGCTTGTGAAACAAGGACTATACTAACTTTATTTTCTTAAATGGGTAACCTGTATACATTGGTACAGTGGTGACCAGTTGCGTTGAACACTTTAAAAGGATCTGGGCTTCCTTGGTTTTTGCACAACCAAATGGCTAATCTGGAGTTGGCATACATGTACATTGCAGAATGTGTAATTTATACATCTGAATTTAGTCCATTTTATATATTTGAAATCTACACATAATACAATTAAACTTTGTATTTTTTTATCTTTGTGCCAGTCTGTCTTTTTAGGTATCAATCGCTCAGATTACATGTTTGACTTCAGCGAGGATGGGACAACATCTCTGAAACAAATTGAGATTAACACCATCGCGGCCAGCTTTGGGGGGCTGTCATCACGGACACCTGCAGTGCATCAGTAAGAGACGCAGTATTGTGAGGATATTTATGGGGTGATAAATATTAAAAATAATATTTTCATAAAAATTATCAAAAACAAATTTTATATTTTTTATTAAATCAAAAATTTATATATTGGCACTGTTCCCTTTAATTGATTTAAAGCGAAGAGCTACCCACTATTTTAACTCTTATAGACCCTGGAGTACGTTTTATTAGAGAATTTGTATTTCACACATTAATCACAAACTAATTATAAAAATATAATTTATTGTGACAATAATTAATAATATTTAACATGCGTAACAATAGTCAGTGAATATTTAGGTATAACATAAGTATACAATATGGCAGCAGTTTAACACAGTTTCATATAGCAATAGCAACATTTCCATATAGATACAAATTTCAACAGATTTACAACAGGACACTTCCCTTTGAAATTAGCTTGACATTCCTTAAAACAGAACTAAGCATCTCAGCTTGGAAATTCCTTTACACACAATGTTTTGCCTCATCACCACAGCAGGAAAACTTTAAAGTAATAAATAAACAACAACTTCGGCTGACAGTTTATATCACATTGAGTTAACTCACTCACTGCTGGCTACAATTCTCACAGGAAAAATACCTTTTTTTTTTTTTGTAGCAATGTGCATGTTTGATTCACATTTTCTTGACCACATCCTCATAAGCAGGTATTAGCTCATTTACAAACTTCATGTCACAATCAGGCATGGCAGTCAATTTGTGTGTACTTTTTCAAATAAGGCGGTCTGTTTGGTTGTATTGAGGTGACCCTTTTATGTGACAATAACCTCCACCCTAGGCGTGGTGTAGTGGCCCTGCGTGTCCGTGGTGTCCGCTAGGGTATGCTCTCTTGGCCTGGTGAAGTTATGGTGGCGTGGTGTAGGCCTGTGAGTGTAGGTTGCACTTGCGAACTGGGAGACTCGGTAAGTCATGGTAGGGCCTAATTGAGATGCCCAGAGTGGTGTCTGTAGGCTGGCTATTGTGCAACATGCAGTCAAGGTTGGTTAACCAGTGTTAGAGCCTCTTCTAGCCGTGAAGGTATTACTCCTTGGTGGCACCCTGGGTCTCGTCTCTGGCGGTTGTTTGTCCAGGGAGCTATTAGGTGGGCTGTGTGGTAAGGGCTATGGTGGTGTGGGGCTTCGCGGTTATAGCTAGGGATGTGTATAGTGATCTGAGGGTCTATGTTCGGGTGTTAACCCCTTCGCGCCCCAGCAGCTTCTACCCCTTTACACTGGGGAGTTGGAGGGTGGGGGGAGGGAGGGAGGAAGGTGGAAAAATACCTTTTATATTGCAATGGCAAATACAATAATTCTCATACCAGATTAACCATTCCTTCTCATCCAATAACCAATAAGAATAATTCTAACCAGATTTGACGTTTGCAGAAGATTCACCTTTCCTGATTAAAGATTACTATGGAAGTAGAAAAAGGACAAAGGGTATTAGCGCTTTTACAAAGGTATTAAATTTATTTTTTTAAAGAGTACAATGTCCAAACAGTATATGTAATAATAGCAGCTGACACCAAGAAGTGCGACTTCTCCACAAACACCAGCAAGATATAAAAAATTCAGAAGTGTAGCGCTACACTTCTGAATCTTTTAAAGATTACTATCCCTAAATTCAGATAAGTCAATATTTCTGGATAATAGACTGTATGCTAAGCTTGGCAGATTACCAGTAAATATATTGTCATTTATTCCTTGTGCAGTAAGGAACTTATAACTATATATTTCATTAGTTAATTATGCTTTCATAATAGTTGAAATCTGACCAGCCTTTATCCAGATATATTTCTGCTTTTAGTAAAACTTAATTAATTTAAATTAAATAAAACCAGCATATTTGCCAGCTTACTTAGTATAATTTCTTTTAGGCTTGGATATATATCCCAGGAATTGTGAATGCAAGTATGGGAGGAGAATTGTGAAAAATAGGAAAGTTTTCAGAGTTCTGATTAAGAATTTAAAGTTTCAGTTGGAAAAAGACAAAAGAAGTGTTACATTTTTCAAAGTCTCAAAATTAATTGGTTGAGATACAGAATGTTAGGCGTGTCCAGCTCCTGCTCCTGATCTCAGATCTCAGACCCCCTCTTCAGCTATCCTCGCTCAATTTTTTTTTAAAGGAGAAGCTCCCTACCCTTTCCTTACGTCACTAGTTTAAAGTGACCAATAGAATAAGGTGGGCGCGTCTTCCCTACAGGCTATCTTCTAGACTTTGATCAATAGATGGTGTAGTAACACTACAAGAAATTCTCGTCAGGAATTCCAACCACTACTTTGTATAAGGGGTTAACTGAATTTCGTGATGCGTTTGACGTCATTCTAGCTATCTTTATGGATGACCATCAAAAACCTGTCATTCGTCAAATAATTTTCTTTAGACTGACCTGTCTGGGTTTTGGGTCATAAAATTGGATATTGACATGTCTAGCCTTGGTTTCACCTTCTTTAACACAATGGAATTTTGCTTTTCTTTTAATATTTAAAAAGTAAAGTTAATTACTTTTAGGCTTATATGCTTCTTGTAATCCTGTGTCTGGTTTCTGTTCAATGTTTACGCTAGCCGCATTAATTTGCACAGGGCTCAGTGTATAGAGTAAAAAAAAAGTGTCTTTTTGTATTCTGTTTATGCTGATTTACAGTATACATTTTTGATTTCTATCGTACACAAAAATGTCTGCCAGTGGAGATACCCTGACAGTATATGTATAGCTGTATGGTTACAATTTAGGGTGTGAACTGTAACAAATCACAGTACTAAAACAGCTTAATTCACTTAAAGGGAGCTTTTTGTGGAAAGATGATATGCTCTTAATTAGGACAGTTAATTGCATTTTTCTTTCTTTTATGTATAAATAAATAAAATATATCCTTTATAGTATTATGTGGACTATTTTTTTTCATGATTTTATCCCACTGTGATATTTCTTAGAGAATTATCAGGTCTATACACTAAACAGGAGATTGTTTGTTTGTTATTGACCAGAGAATTTCAAAATTTTGGTCTATATTAACCCCTTAAGGGCTGAGCCAAATGTACACGTTGTGAACAAAACAAAACCTGGCATTTGCGCTACATGTCTGTCCAACCTTTACCTCTTTTATAGTAAATGCACCCACCGTTATTATATATCATTTTATTCAGGGGAAACAGGGGTTTCATTTAAAATTAAATATTTTGCTATGAAACATAATTTAATATGAAAAAAATGGGAGAAAAAATAATAAATTATTTTTTTAGTTCTACATGACATTTTAACTGTCAATTTCATAATACTGTTTGCTTTTACTGCAATAAAATACACATATTTGTATTCAGCGAAGTCTCACGTATAAAACAGTACCCCCTATGCACAGGTTTTATGGTGTTTTGGGAAGTTACAGGGTCAAATATAGCACGTTACATTTGAAATTGAAATTCGCCAGATTGGTTACGTTGCCTTTGAGACTGTTTAGTAGCCCAGGAATGAAATTTACACCCATAATGGCATACCATTTGCAATAGTAGACAACCCAAGGTATTGCAAATGGGGATGTCCAGTCTTTTTTAGTAGCCATTTGGTCACAAATACTGGCCAAAGTTAGCGTTAATATTTGTTTGTGTGTGAAAAATGCAAATTTTGGCCAGTGTTTTTGACTAAGTGGCTACTAAAAAAGACTGGACATACACCATTTGCAATACCTTGGGTTGTCTACTATTGCAAATGGTATGCCATCATAGGGGTAATTTTCATTCTTGGGCTACCATAGGGTCTCAAAAGCAACGTAACCAATCTGGCGAGTTTTAATGTGAAAAAAATGAAACGCAAGCCTTATATTTGACGCTGTAACTTTTGAAAACACCATAAAACCTGTACATGAGGGGTACTATTGTAATCAGGAGACTTCGCTGAACACAAGTGTTTGTGTTTCAAAACAGTAAAAAGTATCACAGCAATAATATTGTCCGTGTAAATGCTGTTTGTGTGTGAAAAATGCACTTTTACTGGCGATATCATCGTTGTAATACATTTTACTAATATTTGTGTTCAGCGAAGTCTCCCAAGTAAAACAGTACCCACCATGTACAGGTTTTATGGTGTCTTGATAAGTTATAGAGTTAAATATAGTGCTAGCAAATAAAATATCCTATACTTTTGGCATGGGTTGTCAGGCAGGTCCCACTAATTGTAATTCATTAAAATACCTAATTATGTAAAAATATTACATAAATATAGATGTAGAATTATATATATATATACGGATGTGTGTATATATATCTAATTTTTTTTAAATATTTTTATTTATATATAGGTATGTATATAGTGATATATACGTATATATTTATATATAAAACACAAGATCCAGCGCACTCACCCGCACTCAGTAAGTGGTTAATCTCATAAGAGCAGACATTAGGCTGTTAGTGTAGGACCTGCCAAAGATGGGGTACATTGACGTTGTGGCAGGCTTATGCAATGTATGATCATATAATGTAACTAAACCCCCATTATTTTTGCCTAGATTAGGTGTTTTTAAAAAAACTAATAAAATCTTTCAACATTGAAGTTGCTGTTTAGTGGATAGGTGAGTGCGCTGGATCTTGTGTTTTGTATTATTTGGCCCCCAGCAGCACCCCCATTTATGCATGTTCAGGTGAGTGCAGCCAACCCCCCCTTGTTTCATATGTATATATTTGGGAGTCTAGCCAACTCCTTGGTTTTGCACCCCTCCCTGTCACAGGTGCCTCATCCCAGGGCCCTATTTAGCCTTGTACTGCAGAGAGCCCCAGATGGAATTTTTTCCTCAAGTAAGTGGTTAATCTCATAAGAGCAGACATTAGGCTGTTAGTGTAGGACCTGCCAAAGATGGGGTACATTGACGTTGTGGCAGGCTTATGCAATGTATGATCATATAATGTAACTAAACCCCCATTATTTTTGCCTAGATTAGGTGTTTTTAAAAAAACAAATAAAATCTTTCAACATTGAAGTTGCTGTTTAGTGGATAGGTGAGTGCGCTGGATCTTGTGTTTTGTATTATTTGGCCCCCAGCAGCACCCCCATTTATGCATGTTCAGGTGAGTGCAGCCAACCCCCCCTTGTTTCATATGTATATATTTATATATATATATATTATTTCGTTCTACGTGTATTTTGATATAAATATATATTAATATCACAATACAGTTAGAACGAAATAACACACATCTATATATTTTTTAATTATTTATTTTTAATTATTTTTACAATTTTATTTTTTAACGTATTTACATATTTTTTTATATTATATATAAATATATAACTATATATATATATATATATATATATATATTTAATCAGTATCAGTCTACGTGTAATTTGATATTAATATATATATATATTAATAGTAAAATACACCTAGACAGTGTATGAGTGTGTGTGTGTATAGATATATATATTTTTACACTGATTTTAACTATTGTTTATTTGAATTCAGCCAGCAGGGGGAATAACTGTCATTACAGGCAGTCCCCCTGCTGGCAATGCAGCAGCCAGCTAACCCGGCCATGTGATTGTGAGGTCCTCGCTAGGACCTCACTCTCACATGGCCGGGGGGGGACGGAGGAGGCAGGATCCGCCGCGGGGGACTCCCTGGAAGCCCACGCGAGTCTCCCCAACCGTGATCACCGGGTAAGTAAGAAAAAACGGAGGGAGTACTATTAGGCCCTGCGGTGTTTAGAGCCGCTTAGAATAGGGCGTAATAGTACGCACTCCGGTTTTAAGGGGTTAATGTCACAATCTCTTACCTCTCTCCATCGCGCCCATGTGGTGCGGCACCCGACGCTGACTCCTCTCACAGCTCGATCCGCATGTCCTATGCCAGACGCTGTAATCATGACCCTTTTGATGATGCGACTCATATGCGCCAACGTCATAACGTCGATGACGCAGTCCCGCGTCATCTGTACTGGCCCAGAACGTTTTGGCGGCGTGGCGTTAAAGCAAAAGACGCTCCCTTATAAAAAGGGTGCCTTTTGCTTTGTTCTTTGCCCTATTGGTTCCTTGTTTGCCCTATAGTGCTACTTGATATTATCTGTGATTTCTTGGTTTATTGTGACTTGACTCGGCTTGGCTTTTGACTCTTCTGTTCTCTGTTTTCCTGGCTTGGTTTGTATCTTGACTTTTCTCCTTTCTGGTATCCTGACCGGGTTATTCCTGTATCGCTCTACTGATCTCTGGTATCCTGACCTTTGGCCGTTCCCTGACTACTCTTTTCTGCCTACGTTAAACCTGGTCATTTTAAGGTTCGGTAATACGTTCTTGGATTTTCTGTGGGTTTACATACTTTGATGTGCGGTTTGAAGAAATGGACCAATTTGCCTTCGCTCTGCAGACTTTGCTAGCTTGTACGGCACATCTGCATACAGAAGCAGAAGCTACTTCTAACATGGAGGTAGCTATGGTTGGAACGCCTACCCATATGAGGTCCCCTTTACGTTATGGCGGTGATCCTAGCGCAGGTGAAGATTTTTAAACCAGATCAGCAAACATTTCGAATTGCAACCCAGAGCGTATCCTACTGACAGGGCTAAAGTGGGTTTTATGATCAACCTACTCGTTGATAGGGCATTGGTATGGACAAACCCTTTATGGGAAAATAACAACCCCTTGGTGTACAGCTATGCTAAGTTTGTAGCTGCATTCAGACGAACCTGTGATGCCACAGGAAGAAAAATGAATGCCGCTAAAACTCTTCTTAGGATGAAACAAGGGTGTCGCACTTATGCTGCAGAAGTGCAAAGGAACAACCAGACATTCGTAGATGTCTTTATGAATGGTCTCTGAATAGCTAAGAAGTTGCCAGGTGATCTAGAGGAGCTTCTAACGTATCTGTCTTGTATATAGACGATCGTCTCAGGCATAGACATAATACCCGAGATAGACCAAGAAGAAATCCAGTATGCATGGCCTTGACATTTCCAGCATCAGAAACAACCACTGTTGCTATTCCTGAACCCATGCGGTTGGGGCTCACTAGATGATTATACAACGGTGAAAAATCATATAGGAGTCTTTGTTTGTATTGTGGAAAGAAGGGTAATTTATGTTCGACTTATCCCAATAGGCCCGAAAACTCCCGCCCTAAGCCAGGCCTAGAGTGTTTTACACATGTCTTCCTTTGAACCTAGAAAAGATCTTTGGCTTCTACTCCCTATAACCTTAAAGTAGGAGAGTAAAACTGTCCACACGCATGCCCTTATCGATTCTGGGGCTACAGAGAATTTTGTCGATGCCTTTTTTGTAAAAACATATTCTCTCCCTCTAAGATTATGATCCACACCCTTGACTATAGAGGCCACAGATGGTAGACAACTTAGTGATCCTATTCTCACAAAATAAACCATACCCTTTTTAATGCTAGTAGGATTATTGCATCAAGAAATGATAATCCTACAACAGATATCCTCTCCATCCTTCCCTATCGTTTTAGGATTTCATATGGCTTGTTAAACACAATCCTATAATAGATTGGGGGAAAAAAGAAAGCGTTGGACGGATTTACGTATGGAGGGATGTGTTTTTAAAGTTAAACCAGTGTGCCTCATAAACATTCCTACTGTAACCGACTGGATGGCTCCGTTGATGGAGGCACCTAGCGCTTCCTGAGGGCTTCAAGAGCTCCAGCAGACACCATAACCACCGTAAGGCAGGAACGAGCTCTTACAAGAGCTTAGTAGTGATTTAGCAAGGGAGTTTGACAAGCATAGAAATCCATTGTAGCAGATTCCCCCAATAAGAGACGGCACTCCAAACTGAGGGTGAAGTAGAACTGAAGCTTTTAATCAAACACTCTGCTTTTATGCCCATTTTACAAACATAGTACCGCCCACAGGGTTTTGCAGAACAGCCAATCAATACGTACAATACCCACAGACACTCCCACATAAAATCCTCCCCTCTGCCTGTGATATAATTACTGAACACAATGGGTTAATGTAATTATCACAGGCTGAGAAATACAGTTTTTACACATGTACTATAACTTTAAAACTATACATTCAATCTTCATACACAACATATTATTATTCAGCACACTTTAATTATAAACATAGTCCAAATTCAGCCAATTCCATCCAGGGGTTAAAAAGTTAGCTGGAAGTCCTTTTATGACCGACCGCAAGCACATTTTCATGCCCAAACAGTTCCAGAGAATCAGGCTGTGCGGCCGGTCTATTTCCCATGTTAAAGTCAGTTCAAACAGACAAACAACAACCATTCGAATTGTCGAATGAACTGTCGAATGCATTAGTTCCAGGGAAGGTAAAACTTCAGCGGTGTTCGTGCCGTTCTGTAGCCGATTTTAGTTCCATGAGTTTTACGACACACACCGCTGACTGCATTCGAATGAATCAAAATGGCCGCCGCCACGTGTTCGGTTTTCTAATGGCCGCCACTTCGACTACTTCGGCTGCATCCGAAGTGCCATGCCAAAACCGCAAGTCCTTTCCCAAAGTACTTAAAGGGCCAGAAACAGCACAATAAAATACAATATGCCCAAATACTGTATTTAAAGGGCCAGATCTTCCAGCGACCATAATCACATGGCAAGAGCCTGGCAATCAGTCTTCTCCAATGCCCAGTGGCGAGGTCGGTTTCGCCACACCTACTATGGAACCTTTATCCACTGAGATACCAGAACCTTATAAAGAGATAAAGGCTGTGTTTGAAAAGAAAGATGCCGATAAACTACCCCCACATCGCCCTTACAATTGCGCAATCAATTTACTCCCTGGGACTATGCCACCCAAGATTACTGTTTATCCCTTATAATAAAAGGAAAATGTAGTACTAGAGGAGTATATTAAGGAGAATTTAAGGAAAGGAATTATAACCAAACCTTCCTCTCCAGTGTTTTTTTGTGTGTTTGTTTCTTAGAAAAAATGGGACCTTAGACCCTGTATTGACTTTCGAAGACTCCACAAAATAATCATACATAATGCATAACCTATTCCATTGATATCGGAGTTGTTCGATAGGTTAAAGGGGACATTTATTTTTATTAAGCTTGATCTGCGAGAGGTTTACAATCAGAGGAGGGATGAGTGGAAAACAACGTTTAACACATGATATGGGCATTATGAATACTCCGTCATGCCATTCGGTTTATGTAATGCCCCAGCTGTTTTCCAAGATTTCATAAACAATGTATTAAGGGACTATTGTTTTGGTGCTTAATGTATCCTTTTCAGTCTGTCTCTAGTGGCTGTCTTCCTGACAACCATTAGAGGCGCTCCTGTGACACAGAATCCCTGAGGAAAGCATTGATTCATATGACCAAATCATTGTGCTCATCGCACAAACCTCTTTGTGGTACTTGCTCCCACTTTCTAGAACATACATTTGGTTCATATTGTGATGACTGTGTCTTGCCAAGTTTCTTTGAGTTATGAGGCTTGGTGTGGAACAGGTGCTCTAGGATGCTTCAGAAGTCATTGTCTGCAATTTCAAACAATGTATGGGGTATATTTACAATGTACAAGGTGTAAGTTCATTGTTAATGACCCGGACCTTTGCATCTAAGGTGTGACTTGGCAAAAACAAGTTTAACTCATTACACTGAAGTTTTACCGAGATGCTTGTCCAAATTGTCATCATGAGTTGGGGAGGGATGCCCAGCAGACCTCGATTAAAAAGGCAAACCGCTCAAAAATGGGTGGGGGTTTGGGGAGGAGGGAAACTTACATATGCTCACCCCATATGTATTGTTATTTGAACCACACCTGTGGCTGGCTCCAACCCTATTATTAAATCCCTCTCCGGTTATCATCTGAGAAGCATGAACTGCGTTTGGTACTGGTCATTCTCACATTAGTGAATAACCCATCTGTAAGCAAACAAAAATACAAAAAAAATAAAGATCAATGACTCAAAAAAGTAGTTTGGGAAAAAAGTTATATACACTAGTGAAAGACTTTAAAGGACATCCTTTAGTTTCACAAAATTTGCACCCCTATTAATACATTATTTATTTAAAGGGATACTATAGTGCCAGGAATACAAAACCTTGCACCCTCTCCCTGCCGCGGTGGATCTCCGTGATCTTTCTGCACAGGTCGCTCATGCGCCCAGTAGTGATGCCGATGCCAGGTTAACGTCATATCCTGGCTGTCGGCTTATTGCAGGACGCGCGAGGGAGCTGTGCAGGAAAACAGTATGTAAAGGGCTTCTTGCCTCCCTTGGTGCCTGGCAGTCCAAATGGCAACCAGGCCACATTACTAGCGGTTATGGGGGTGGGCTGGACATGCCTGCCTTAAGGGACAGCCCTTAATTAAAGTGTTGGACCAACTTCTGCCATTACTTTATTACACAACAAATTCCATAAAAATTAAGAAACACTTTAGTAATAAAAAGATACCATCCGGATAAAAGGACCTATAGATGTCAAACTTCAGGTGGGACGTTAGTCCACTTCTGAGGTGTAAGATTTTACAGGAAGTGATGGAAGTTCTCTAGGGTGAAGACCACATAGTCAAAGGGTCATGTTGGAGTTCCTGCATACTGCCACTCCAGAGGTACTCTTGGTGGAGATGCGCGGGATTTTGATGGTAGCATCGACAATGGCATTAGATTACATTCCACAAGTTGCTACAACAGGAGGAAATTGTGTGAAGGGCTTCGTTGCACCAAATGAGCAATTTAGTATGGTATCCCCAGCGGTAGGGTTTCTTGTTGTTGCAAAGTGTCTTAGTGATAATAATAAATTTGCGCCTGACAAATCTGCATTTAGAGAAATCTCTTGATATGGGGCTGGAAAGGCCTGTAGTTTATTCGCCGTTGACATCAGCAATTGTTTGGTACCAAAGTACTGCTTCATTATACTAAATTAGTTTTAGTGCCTATAGTATTCCTAATACAATAACCTTACCCAGTGGTTATACATTATTAAATTAGCATTGCCTATATTAATAACAGAAACATTGTAATTAAGGGTTATTAACCCGTTAAGGACACATGACATGTGTGACATGTCATGATTCCCTTTTATTCCAGAAGTTTGGTCCTTAAGGGGTTAAGTAAGCATCCAATTAAATGACAAATTCAACCTTAATCTATACCTACTTGATAGCTGCTCTTATGAAATGAGGAAACCACCATCCGCCCTTATATAATGCAAAATATGAAGGACATAATTCTAAACTTTCGTAATAATTAATGAAATAATAATTACAATGGTCATCATACCCAATAGTTATACATCAATAAATTAACATTGCCTACAATAATAACAGAAGCATTACTTAATTGCACTAATTAATGCAAAATATAAAGGAAAGAATTATAAACATAGTTCTCAAAGAGAATATTTTCATATTTACAAAGAAAACTATTAATAGGTCTATTCCTAGTCGCATATTATGGCTTGAAAAAGTTGTTTAGAATCTAGGAGCCAGCTAAAAAAGTTAGAAGTCTGTTTAAAAAAAAAAAAAAGTTTTAAAAGGGACACTATAGTCACCGGAACCACTACAGCTTAATGTAGTTGTTCTGGTGTCTATAACCTGTTCCTGCAGGCTTTTCAAGGTAAATCGAAAAGGCAGTGTTTGCATTGCTGCCAAGTAACACCTCTAGTGACAGTCACTCAGACGGCCACCTGAGAGAGTCCTGGGTCAGTGCTGCACATTGTACAGCACCTACTTTCACAGTCTCCACGCTCTGCATGGAGGCACTAAATATTCTAGATAGAGATGTGTTGATTCAATGCATCTCTACAAGCAGATGCTTATTGGCCCAGCTTGGTGTTTTGCTGCGCAAATGCACAATATCCTCCCAATGCTTTCCTACGGGAAAGCATTGGTTTAGCTGAGATCATAAAGATTGATGGTCAAGGTAGACCTCTTAGGCCAACTGAACAAACCCCGAGGCCAATACATACGTCCCGCTAGAAAAATAGAGGCACAGAAGGTGTTTGGGTAGAACTGTTGGAGGGTTACTGTCGCTTGGGGGAGGGATGCAGGGAAAGACTCTCTGGATGGAGGCGGGGATGGTGGTATCCCCGCCCTTTATTGGAGACCCACTGATTGGCACTGCTCCACAACGTATGAACAATGCGACTGGAATTGGTTACAGTTAATGTTCTTGTTATTATGTGTTTTGTATAACATCTAAGAAGCTTTGATGGACATGTTTGTTTTAGTTTAAGTCCACCTAGCCTCCCTACTTTTGGGGCCTGCTCTAATCATCTTCCTGTCGTTCCTCTCTTCTCCCCTGTGCGCTCTCTGCAGTGGTGCCGGGGCCGGAGTGAAGTCACATTCCGTCTCTCGGCATCACTAAACAATGCGCGAGGGATCAGAGAGGAATGGCCGAGCAGCCGCCTTAGCTAAAGAGCTTAAGTTGCCAGTTTCTTGTCGCTATGGCCATTCTGGCGTCTGGGATTTGTCAAGCCCTGTCACATATTATCTAGAGAGGTTTAAATCCCCATACCCAAGCAAGCATATCCAAAGCATAATATTTGTTGCTTTAAATGGGAACTGTCACTTCTTTGAATTTTTAAAGGAACACTATAGTAACCTAAATTACTTTAGCTAAATAAAGCAGTTTTAGTGTATAGATCATTCCCCTGCAATTTCACTGCTCAATTCACTGTCATTTAGGAGTTAAATCACTTTGTTTCTGTTTATGCAGCCCTAGCCACACCTCCCCTGGCTATGATTGACAGAGCCTGCATGAAAAAAAAACTGGTTTCACTTTCAAACAGATGTAATTTACCTTAAATAATTGTATCTCAATCTCTAAATTGAACTTGAATCACATACAGGAGGCTCTTGCAGGGTCTAGCAAGCTATTAACATAGCAGGGGATAAGAAAATCTTAATTAAACAGAACTTGCAATAAAGAAAGCCTAAATAGGGCTCTCTTTACAGGAAGTGTTTATGGAAGGCTGTGCAAGTCACATGCAGGGAGGTGTGACTAGGGTTCATAAACAAAGGGATTTAACTCCTGAATGGCAGAGGATTGAGCAGTGAGGCTGCAGGGGCATTTTCTATACACCAAAAGTTCATGAAGCTAAAGTTGTTTAATATTATGTTTAACTTATAGGGTGCTTATTGAATGTTTTATTCAATGTTATCCTATCGTATTTATTTAACAGTTCTTGCATAGCGCTGTTATCCAGTGCGCTTTAAAATGTATGCAAAAAGAACATTGGTAGGAGGACAGGGCCTGACTGGCAGGCTGAGTGGACACATGCAGGGCGAGCTCCTGACTAAAGCCTGCATCCTAAGCCTTTTTCTGCATGGCAACTCACCTGTATCACCGCAAAACCAGCCTGACTGGGGACTCGAATGGTACCAGCTTTGGCACTGTCCCGACCCAGAACACCTGTCCTCAACTTCTTGCGGCCCAAAAGCCTGACTGGCATCAGAGGGACAGATGCTCTCCAGACGCCACATTTTGTAACCCATAGCTGCCCCCCTCATCCAGATTCCAGGAGCATACACACCGCTTCAAGCTGCTGCACGCCGAGACACCAAATGGCTCTCAAAATGGCGGCGCTCACAGACGGAGTTCGTCCAGTCGAGGCCTACTTTACAACAACTATGAGCAAACTGGACAGCATATTTTCCAAATTCTGGGTGAAACTTGAAGTTAGGCAACAGCATGCTCAGCTGAAACACTCACAGACCTCAGAGGCTCCAACTCCACAAACGCGCACACGAGCCCATCTCGCCCTCCAGAATCCAAAGAAAGCTAATTAAGCTGAGAATCCCACTTCCTGCACGGCGGATGCCAAGGAAGCACGGCTCAACACCGCACCCAGGGCCCAAGAACCCGAAAGCAAAACCCGCAGCCAATCAGGGCTAGTCAGCATGTGGAGACTGGGAACTTTGAATCGTTTATCCCCTCAAAATGGCGCATGTTGCACCGGAGATCCATGGAGACACAAGCGCACAAGCCCTCCATCGGGACGCTCACGCAATACCTGCCTTCCTGCGGGGGATATATAACCGACTATCCAGCTTCCTTGTAAATCGGAATCGAATAAAGGGGCACGAAACTCACAGAGGCAATCCCGCCAGCATAAGTCTGGTTTGCTCACCAAGCGGTGGACTCCTGTATTTTATATCATCTTTGTTTACTAGTGATGAAGCCAGTTCTTTTTATTTTTGCCTAGCGTAGCATGTTTAAAACTAATAGCTTGGATCAGATCCACTGTATCAACCACATAAGCATGTGCAGTCAGGTACTAAGACAGATATGCTCAGTTCAGTATCGTAATGCAATGTCCTAGCCTGACCTCTATTCCTCCTTTGACTAAAAATATGATGCCAAGCTAAAGTTTCCCTTTGTTTTTCTTTCTTTTATTCTGAAGCTTAAGCTATGCTCCTATTTACTTGTCTACATAAAACAAAACATTACAATGATTTAAATGCCATGTGAGTATATGTGAATAAAAAACCTGGATGCACCAGTTGTCGTGCCAGTGCAAATCCATATGTTCAATATCTGCATGAACAAAATAAAGAATAAAAAAAAACATTGGTAATATAGTAGCTTTGGTAAAAGAAAGGGAGATATGGTACTTCAGAGAAGTGACTGTTTCCTTTTAAAGTGACAGTCTGTGCAATTTTTTTTATCTTTTGTAGAAGTTGGAACCAGAGTTGGGATTTGAAATGTCCATCTCTAGTTAGTGCCTGGTTAGTGGCTGTTGTATCTTTGTATTTCATACATGACTAATCTGGACTGCCATTGGTTGGTATGTCTGACCCATATACAGATTTTTGGGTATGGAAATGTAAGCTTCAAGATAGTGGTGGTGGTCATGAGACCGTTTTAATTTATTGACATCCACCTACTCTCTAGGGTAACAGTAGTTGTTTTATTAAGTGTTTGAGTATATGAGTGTATCATACATCCATCTGATGGTGGTAGACAGGCTGTTCCACTGGAAAGGAGCCACTCATGAGAAGTCCTGCAGGCGCAAATTAGCGGAGAGACCAAGAAGCGGCATAACTACTGTAGTGGACCACAGGTAACCCGACTGGTTACCTCCGCAAATTCCTTCCCTCAACCACTCTGGAACCACTTAAAGTATAAAGACACCCATTCCCCCAGTAACTGGACAACACACAGCTCTGGGAATACACCCTGAAATGCTTTATTGGTACAGCCAATTTATGCACAGATCCCACAGGGGGTCTCCATTCTATTCAGCACAAGCCCCTCAGTCTCAGGCTTGAGGGGGATGGTTTACAGATGGCCATCTCCCACTCTTGGAGATACAAACAGTAAAACTATTGCATACAGTAATACACATAACATACACTTGTGGAAACTCAGGGTGCCCCGCTCCCCAGGAAGGGAAGTGGGCACACACATAAAACATACATCACCGGATAGCTCCTGGTCCCAGCTAGAGATGTCGCGAACCGTTCGCGAACTTCCCGCGAACGGCTCGCCGCGAACCGTTCGCGGCGAGCTCCGGTCAGCTGACACATCCCGGCCAATCTCCAGCAGACCCTCCCTCCCAGACCTTCCCACCTCCTGGACAGCATCCATGTTGAAGGCAGCTTGTTGGCAAATTGTTATGTAAAGTCTGGGCTTGGGGCTCTGTACATACCCGAAAACAGTTCCATGGAATCACTTGGTTTAAGCCGGTAGATTTAAACTTTGCACTTAAACCATGCGGCGACCAATCAGGAGAAAGGGAGTGAAACTAACTTGCACCAAACGGTGCTCGGGGAGGTGTTTCGCCAGCCAATCGGGAAGGAGGGCACAATACCAGTTTGAATGGTAGCCCTTTTCCTATTGGCTGGCACGGACTTCCAGGCGACCAGCGGGACTATGTGGCTGTGCCAACTCATAGTTCCAGGGAGTCTGCTAGGGCTCGCACCTCTCTCAGGTAGATATCTTCACTTAGGTAGCACAACAGAGAATGCGCTTTGGACTCGTAGCTCCTGGGTAGTAAACCCCTGAAGTAATAGTTTGCCTCGCTGACAGTCCGGCTGCAGGCAGGAGGCCCTTTGATCTCCTCAGAAAAACAGTGCTTATAGCTTAGGAGCAGGTAGGGCGATCCCCAGCATGAGGACCGGAAAACAGTAGCAGGCAAGCAAGTTGGTACATGTGGGCATGGTACTCCGTGACGGCGTTTGGTCACACCTACCACTCGGTGAAGAAATGTAAGAGGGGCTAGAGTTGCTTAGAGCTTCATAGGTAAGGGTTAGTATTTTGAAGTGACACCTGTAGGACACAAGAAGCCAATGTAAGGATCAACAGAGGGGAGGTGTGAGAAGGGCAACAGGAGAGAAAGATCAGTATAAAAAACCTATGAGCCGCAGCAACAAAATAAATGACAGAGATGTATTCCACCGAGTGGAACTGGCAACGTTTCGACCCAACCTCAGGGTCTTTATCAAGCCTCAGGCATTTGCCGGTTCCACACAGTTGGAATAAATCTCTTTGTCATTTACATTGGTGTTGCAGATCCTTATTGTTTTTGAAGTAATTGGAAGAAAAACTTGGAGATTTGCACCCGAATTTCAATTGGCATGCTGGCCCTCCCTATCTGCTTTGTAGGAGAGAAAGATCAGCCTTCATTATAGACTCTAGCGAGGCAGTACAGCTTCTGGGGAGACTGATTAGGAGAGAATTACAGTAATCAATGCAAGAAATTACTATAGCATGGACAGCTACTTTCCCACCTTGTTTGTTTGCTGTCCCACTTGATGCCTTTCTTATTGTACCCAGTGCTCCTCAATGCACACCTAAGAGTCCAGGATTTGTGGATTACCCAGGTGTTTTTTTTTTTGTTTGTTTGTTTGTTTGTTTGTTTTTTAAACACCTTTGACACACCTGGGTAATCCCTAAATCCTGGACTGGTAGATGTTCCTTCAGGAGAGGGTTAAGGAGCACTGCTGGAGACTGTAAGCTCATCTGAGCAGTGTCCTCATCAACCTCATGTAACATCATGTAACATTTTGTAATTGTTTCATTTATTGATACATTTACCTCTGTATTTACCTCTGTATAAATCCCAATAAGAAGAATAATCCCAACATAGCGCCACAATTTTGAAATATACAGTGATAAATACAGTATGTATTATAGAGTAGATAAACAAATATATAGTTAAAAGTCCAAGAGATAATGTAGAGATGCACTTATCAGAAGTGTTTTTCTACCAAGTGACTGTGTAATTCCTCAATGGGCGTAGCAGAGTGGGTTCAGCAGTGGAGTCTGTATGAAACAACAGAAAGGAATAATAGGGTAGTATGTTCTTAGGGGATAATAAAAGGAAGACTATATAGTCCTACTCACATTTTTTTGGAGCTGTAACTAGCTCCAGTATGAATGGCATACAGTGGTACAATCCCCACTGGAATATTGAAAAAGTATGTTTTGTAAAAATTTAAAGAAAATTAAAAAGGTCAAAATCAACATTTAAATTTAATCCATTTGGGGCAAGGGTTTTTAAAAGTTAGAACAAACAAAAGAATGGAGTGGGAAAACCATTCACAGGCAGTGGATGGAACCCACTCGCATTCAAAAATACCACCTTGAATTAAAAGTTACATAAACATGGGATATACCTTTTATTGAGCCGACAAACAAAGAAAAATGATAAATTATAAATCAAAGAAAAATAATAGTAAACTAACACATCTACACACCCAAAACCGTGTCTAAAAGGTGATAAGGTGAACAACTCTAACCCATTAAAAACCTGGGTGGGTGGTCCTGAGTATCACATACAGGTATATAGGGTCCAAAGTGGCTAGCAGTAGAAGATCCTAGATGGGATCATATTAAAGTGCTAAGAGCTTCCCTATATAAGTGGTAATATGTATAAATATATCTGAATCTTGACAATCCAATATTGGGTTACAATATAAGTATACTACCCGTGGATGTATAGCAAGTAGAAATATGTATATATGGAATATTGAGTGCCTTGTGAGTAAATTAGGAGGAGTAGAAGTGGTTTTAGAGACAATGCCAAAAAGAGTCCCAATCACTTAGAGTCCCCCAAAGCACAGTGAACTCACAGGGCAACCTCTAGAGTATTATTGGTCCACGTAGATCTCCCAGAATGATTGGGGGAGATCAAAAGTAACAGATAAGTATAATACTTGTGTTAATCAACTGGTATCCTCAAAAGGATCCCTGGTAGTGACTGAGGAGAGATAGCGAAGACAGGCAAAGGGTCCCATCTAACTTAACCCATAGAGATCTGCTTCTAATGGATCTACCCCCTATCCTCACAGACAGAAAAATAGGAAGGCTCGACCGATAGAGCAGTCAGTGACCATCAGAGTCTAGAACTGCTCTAAGCCAATAACCTCCCAATCTGGAACTAAAGGAGCTGATAGAGACGATGTCGGGGTATATATCACACTGTGAGTGATGACGCAGCCATGTGGCACTAACAAGAAAACGTTCTGGTAGACTCCTAAGCTATCTATCTAGCCCGAAGGCATGGCAGGAATCCCTCACTGCTGCTTCGAGGCAGCCTGGTCTAATCCCAGAGTATCCCAATATAGCTAATAAATATATTAAATCCACATAACAGATATAGCAGGAACCTAGGTGATTAAAATAACAAATAAAGAAAAAACTATCACAAAGGATGCATCGGCACACGATAGCTCAGAGCTATTATCGTAGGGTTAAGTCCCTGAATACCCCCTGCAACCTTTTTTTTTTGGGAGGTATCGGTGCTATTTTTTTATCCAACACCATTCCTTCCTTATCGTTTTTAAAAGTTAGACCCAATACATTTTTTTTGACCTATGATCTTTTTAAAATTCTTTATTTTTTTAAAGTAGAATCAACATTCTAACTGCGTTCAAGAATTGAATATGTAGGTGAAACTTTTTCTTTTTTAGTAGATATGCTAAGTGATATACAGGTGGTTGTCTGTTGTCACATGTGAGTTCAGATCCGACTATGGCAGGATACATGCTGGACACACAAGTGGCATCTGGTGGCTTAACGTTGCTAACAGGCACATTTGTAATAAGTGTTGCGGTATCAGAGTTTGCCTAACTAAGTGTGCTAATGTAGCTCAGGCCATGGAGGCAAGGCTGGCTAATGGTGATGTGGATAGAGTCCTCTTTGGCAGCACGGACGTAGTGGTGTGGTAGCAGTCCTAGCCGCCACGCGGCCATAAGAGTCAGCCGTCTCCTGTGGTCGGCACCGGCAAAGCACATATTGGAAAGTCCCATGGGGCCTCGGCATTGCAGGTCAGGTAGGCTGGATGGATTCTGCCATTGCTTCCCAGTCTTTCGTGAGTACCGTGGGTGGTGGGGATGTTACCTTGGTGACGCGGTAGTTTCTCCGCTCCCCGTGTTGGTTTTCGGGCATGTTTCCCTGTGGTATGGAGGCATAGCCCTTCTGGGCGCTGTTTGCGGCTTTGTGTAGCTGCAGCTGGGTGACGCGCCAGTAGGCCCCCCGAGTGAGCCGTTTTAGTTTGTATGGTGGCGGACTGCGTTTGGAGGCTATCCAAGTCTGTCGGTACCCGGGACGGCGGTGTCGGGTGTGCGGTCTGTGATTTGTGAGTCTGGGCAGAGCCTTCGTTGCCCCCTGCTGCCTCGTGCCGGTCGGTAGCTGAGCTGTGCATGTCAGAGCCGGTCTCCGTGCAGATAAGGTAGTGGTAGTGGGTTGTTGGGGGACTGCTGTGGTTGCTTGGGTCTGCACCAGTATGGCCCGCCACCACGTCCAGAAAAGGTTGAAGGCTGCCACTCTGCGGTCGCTTGCCTGCTGCGCTATTAGTGGTAGGTAGGGTGGAGGCCCAGGGGCCCGATCGGAGGCCGCCATCTTGGCTTCTGGGTGTAGGTGGCTTGTGATCTCTGTGGCTTGTAGGGTCCTATAGCCCTGTGGAGTTTGGACCGGGATGACCCCTGCCGGTCTGTGGGGGGGGGAGGGGAAACAAGGGCCCTTGGTCAATGAGGTAACTAGTCTTGGCGGTGGGAGAGCGTCCGTCCCTCCAGCGCTCGCCATGTGAGTAGGCCTCGAACGCCTGACCAGTGAAGGTAGCTTGTTGTGCCGCTTGTGGGGTATCATTCTACTTTGCTTCATGTCCCCTTTTGGTTGCTGGCTGTTGTGGCACGTTTAGTTGCTTTTTGAGTCGTGAAATTCGATTTTTAACATAGCTTGGTGCAGGAGCTCTTGAGGTTCACGTCCTCATGGCTCTGTGGTCAGGCCCCGTCCCCATGATCATTTTTACATCTCCACCTCTCCAGGAAAATTTACATTTCTGGATACCAATGCATTTTAGATGTTTAGGGTTCTTATCGTGGATTAGAAAGTGCTTGGATACTGTGATTTGGGTATCCTCTGATATTTCGACAGTGTTCAGCTAGTCTGGTTTTTAAACATCTAGTTGTCATTCCAACTTCCAAACATATCAAAGACCTTATATGCTGCAATACCAAAAATGTTATATATCTACCCGAGTGCCCATGTGGTCTCTAGTACGTTGGAATGACAACTAGATGTTTAAAAACCAGATTAGCTGAACACTGGCAAAATATTATCAGAGGATACCCAAATCATTCCGTATCCAAACACTTTCTAATAAAGTGAGAATTTTTTGGAACTAATAAAAAATTCAATGTGACTTCTTTTAAATTTAAGGTCAAAATAGCTGTGATGGAATTCTTCCAGTTTAACTGTTTTGGCCTTAAAGTGGCTGTGTCACCATCTGGGGTCTTTGAAAAGTTTGTAAAGTCCTCAACGTTGACCCTTGTGCTGGGGTCCGGTAGTGGCCGTGGGTGGCAGGAAAAGGTAGGTTACACTTTAGCTACAGGAGCCAATGTCAGCACTGTACATTCTTGCATTCAAGACAGTGGGATCTTATGTAGGAATAACATTGCTTTCGTTTTTTTCCTTACAGCCATCACTGGTGCAGTGTTAATATTGGCGGCAAATTTCAATTTAGTTTAAGTCATAGTCTTTTGACTGAAAAGCCATTTTAGTTATAGTCGTATTTTAGTCATCTGAATTGTTTTAGTTGTAGTCGACTAAATCTCAAAAATTTTAGTCGACTAAAATTGTTAGTCAACAAAGTTTACACTGCACTGTGACACCTGGGGGAAATTACAAAATTGACAAAAGGGAACTCCTCCTTTTGTCAAGAGGACATAGTCCCTACTTTGTCTCAGATATCTTTTGAAATCTCAACACAGTTTATGTGTGTATTTCTTAAAGGGCCACTCTAGGCACCCAGACCACTTCAGCTTAATGAAGTGGTCTGGGTGCCAGGTCCTTCTAGGGTTAACCCATTTTTTAATAAACATAGCAGTTTCAGAGAAACTGCTATGTTTATGAATGGGTTAAGCCTTCCCCCTAATCCTCTAGTGGCTGTCTCATTGACAGCCACTAGAAGCGCTTGCGTGCTTCTCACTGTGATTTTCACAGTGAGAGCACGCCAGCGTCCATAGGAAAGCATTATGAATGCTTTCCTATGTGACCGGCTGAATGCGCGCGCAGCTCTTGCCGCGCGTGCGCATTCAGCCGACAGGGAGGAGAAGAGGAGGATCGGAGGAGGAGAGCTCTCCACCCAGCGCTGGAAAAAGGTAAGTTTTAACCCCTTTCCCCTTTCCAGAGCCGGGCGGGAGGGGGTCCCTGAGGGTGGGGGCACCCTCAGGGCACTATAGTGCCAGGAAAACGAGTATGTTTTCCTGGCACTATAGTGGTCCTTTAAAGATTATTATCTTTCTGAAATACTCATTTTTGATCAAGGGTAAATTTGAAACTCACTTTTCAGACAATTCCAGAATTCTTACTTTTTAAAATATCCCTGAATCATCTTACTGCTCTAGAATGCTCTTTCTTCTTCATTGGCCTATCTTTCTTTGAGTTCTGCAGTCTGACCAATCACCCTTATCCAAAGTAGGAAAGTAATTTAGAGAAAAATACTCGATAGATGTGAAATATATAATGGATATCTGTTTTAAGATTAGTGAGTGACCAGGAGATAGCAGAAACTTCTGCACAAGATCACCTTAAGCACGCGCAGAGCGATAACAACATCGTGGCTGTCACTGGAGGACCCGACTTTCTCTGATCAAGTATAGCAAACTTATGGATGACCTGATGGCTAGAGTAAAAGGGACCATGGTAGCATTCCAAAGAATATGGGAACCCTGGGATAAAAGCATAATAGGATTGGGAAGGTATTAAGAGGTGAATCTCTTGGGGCCTGGAGGACAGCGGAGGTATAACCAGTGGTGTATCTTGGTTTTGTGCTGTCCTAGACAGGACAAGACTCAGATTCCCCCCCCCCCCACGTGCGCTACCCTCACCCAACCCTGCTCCACCTTCTAAATACACACACACATTCACTGACAGATACGCATACACTAGCTAACAGAAACAGAAACACAGACACACACAGTCAGACACACACAGTCAGACACACACAGTCAGACACACACAGTCAGACACACACAGTGAGACACACACAGTGAGACACACTCACTGTCAGACACACACAGACACACACACAGTCAGACACACACACACACTAACAGACACACACACACACACACTAACACACTCACTTTTTTTTTTAAATTTAACCCCCCCAGCCTCCTTACCTTTGGGAATGCTGGGGGGGGGGGGGTTCTCCCATTTCCTGGTGGTCCAGTGGCTGCTGGGCAGGCGGCGCTGGCGAGGGAGCACTTTTCCCTGCATGTCAGTTAGCCACAAGGCTTACAAGGCATTTGCCCTGGGCATTTGGCGGCCGCTTTTTTTGCCGCCTCCTGGTAAATGCCGCCCAAGGCAAATGCCTTGTTTGCCTCGCGGTTAAAACATCCCTGGGTATGACAGCCACCCCTATCAGAGGCCACCGAAGCGACGTGCAAGTACATGCGGATAGAGCCCGCCGCCCCTTCCCTCTGCCCTCCGTTCCTACACCCCCTTGTCTCTTTCTATATGTCTATTTTCTCTTTCTCTTCTTTCTTCTTCTTTCACTATTATTCCCTGCTCAACATTGGAATAGGCGTACGTCAGGACTGAATGGCCAAGCTAAAGGGCAGTATAAGCATTTGCGACACAGAAGGAGAGGCAATGCATACTGTTCAATGTTAGTAGTACCCTAAATGTATAATTAAAAACTCCTTGGCGGACTGTGAAAAATAAGCTGTGTGGGAAAGACCTTGTACTAGGTAGCCTATTGTATAACAAAGTTAAAATGTAAGTCATGTACGGTGGGCTTTTGCACAAGCCGGTATGCAAAATTTGTGTTCATGTTCCTGCCAAGATGAAAAAAAAAAAAGATTAGTGAGTGAACACAAGTTTACTGTCTCTTTAATATAAAGATTATTTGTTTTGAAATGTTACTGTCTCTTTGAAAATTATTATTTTTTAAAATTTTGTTTCAGACATGTGTTGAAGACACTGGGGAAGACGGAGGAGGCTAGTAAAATATTGCCTAATAATCCATCACATGGCATTGCCCGTGGCATTGCAAAGGCCTGGGAGTTGTACGGATCTGAAAAGTAGGTTTCACTGGGAATTTGTTATAAATGTAATTGTAAAAGAAAGTTAAGACCTTGAGGAATAATTGATCATTTCAACCTTTAGTGCCAAACTGAGCACCAGCCTAAGCTTAATGTATTGGTTTTGGTGTATAGACCATGCCCCTGCAGTCTCACTGTTATATTCTCTGCCATTTAGGAGTTAAATCACTGTGTTTATTCAGCCCTAGCCACACCTCCCATGGCTGAGACTCACACAGCCTCCCTACACACTTCCTGTAAAGAGAGATCTAATTTTTCAAACACCCTTATTGCACAGTGTTCTGTAATTTAGAATGTATTGTTTTCTGCTCTGTTAATTGCCTGCTAGAGCCTAAACAAAACCAACAGACAATTATCAATACGTTATATTTTGTTATGAAGGCCAACAGAATGTGTCCAACAAGTTAAATCTAGGGCTACCAGCCCTTATCATTATATTATATTATGCATTGATTTTTGTCTTGAAACAAGACCCTAAACTTTATTGTCTTGCAGGGCTGTTGTCATGTTTCTAGTCGAAACTACGCAGAGGAACATATTTGATCACCGTTATATTGAAAACGAACTGTGGGATAGGCAAGTTGAAACACGACATGATAAGCTTTTATTTTTTGTTTACCTCCTACAAACTTGGAGTGATGAAGGCAGATCGTAAACTTAAAAAAAAAAAAAACATGCTTAACCCCTTAAGGACGCATGACATGTGTGACATGTCATGATTCCCTTTTATTCCAGAAGTTTGGTCCTAAAGGGGTTAAAGAATGTGTATCTTGCAGTGAGGTGACATTTTTGGCATGTAGTCTTCTTCCAGTTTTAGATATAAGCTGATTTATGACTATATATTTCTAATATACATCAAAGTAAAATGCTTTGCGGTAGCTTTTCATTATGAAATGGTTCAGTACACATATTTTCAAGCATTTCTACTGTTTAGTTGATATATTGTGTCACTATTTGCCGTAAGTGGGGTTTATTTCTAAAAAGAAATATAAGCAAAGAGGTGCAGGAGAGATAATATAGTGTGGAAATTTGTGTAACATAATGAACATTGAAATACAAAAGTAAATCTCTCCTTATTCAGCTGAGATGATTGCAGTGCATACATAGCCAAGGGTTTCTTTTCCAATTCACAAAGTCCCTGTACAATACTAAACCTCTTTTTTTCTTGTGTGCAGTAAATGGTACTGTAATTGGAGCCCTCAGTTTATATATGCTGAGAGAATAAAGAGTAGCATAGACTGGCATTTTAACAATTTTGTTTTCTTATGTTCTAAATATTGTACCAGGATTGGTGGCATCTCATCAAGTTATGCTGGCAGCCCCACTGCAATACAGTTAAAGTGGCACTTTTCTTTTTTTACATTTTTTTTTTTTTAATGTTATTCATGCCCTCCCTCACCAATTGGTCACTTGTCATTCTGTATATTATCTATTTTTCCCTTGCACTAAATCTCAAAAGCGGGCATTGCTAGTGTGGGGGAGAGGAGGTTTGGAGGCTGAAGTCACACATATGTACAGTTGATGGAGAGGGCAGGAGAATTATTGTAGATTTTTTTTATTTTTTATTCTACAACTTTTTATACACATCTTATTCTAAAAAAATATCAGTCGTATACGGCTCCAAGGGGGAAGGGGTGGCGCCCTTATAATGACTGCCGTCAGGGTGTGCTGAGGAAGAGAACGTTGCTGCACAGCCCTCTATTAGACAGCGTGGTGAGATTGTATTTTTTTACCTGTCTGTGTAGCAGCACACTGTTCATGGGAAAAGATTGGCGTACATATGCATGACATATCTCTACCTCTCTGTTAGTGTAGGGCTTTGATGGCTAACCTTGACACCATAAATTGTTTCTGGACTGCATTTCCCATGATGCTCAACTAGCTTTTAGCTAAAAAGCTAGCTGAGCATCATGGAAAACATACATTTTCATTCAACGTAGATTTAATACAGTATTAAAAAAAAACCACAGCATCGCCCTCTACTAAATCCCAGTCCCCCCGCTCTACTAAATCCCAGTCCCCCCGCTCTACTAAATCCCAGTCACCCCCGCTCTGCTAAATCCCAGTCCCCAGCTAAATCCCAGTCCCCCTGCTCTACTAAATCCCAGTCCCCATTCTACTAAATCCCAGTCCCCCCCTCTACTAAATCCAGTCCCCCTGCTCTACTAAATCCCAGTCCCCCCTGCTCCACTAAATCCCAGTGCCCCGCCTACTAAATCCCAGTCCCCCAGGCTCTACTAAATCCCAGTCCCCCAGCTCTACTAAATCCCAGTCCCCCCGCTCTACTAAATCCCAGTCCCCCCCGCTCTACTAAATCCCAGTCCGCCCGCTCTACTAAATCCCAGTCCGCCCGCTCTACTAAATCCCAGTCCGCCCGCTCGCTAAATCCCAGTCCTCCCTGTCTGCTAAATCCCAATCCCCCCGACCCCCCATACCAAGCATGTCAAACTCAAAGGCTAGCCTGGGTCAAATCAACAAAGTCTAAGTTTATGTGGGCCACAAAAAAGCACTCACTCACTGACTGACACACACTCACTCACTGACTGACACACACTCACTCACTGACTGACACACTCACTCACTGACTGACACACACTCACTCACTGACACACACTCACTCACTCACTGACTGACTGACACACTCTCACTCACTGACCGACACACTCTCACTCACTGACTGACACACACTCACTCAATGACTGACACACACATTTACACATTCTTGCACACACTCACAAATCATTTTGTGTATTGCTGATTGCTCCCTACCTTTGGGAGCAGGTGAGGGGCCTTCTCTCTGGAGATCTCCATTGCTGCTCCTCACTTAGGTTTGCCACCTTTATTGTAAAAAAAATACCGGCCATACAAATTTGCATAATTAATTATATATGCGTGACCTCACAGGATGTGATGTAAGAGATACAATACATATGCAGGGGTAAATATGTGCACATACATACACACTGACACATGCACACACATACGCACTGATATAAAAAAACACACCATTGCACACAATCACAGTGTGTTTGCGTGTGTGGCATTGTGTATCTATGGATGTGAGATTGTGTGTCTGGCAGCGAGTATCTTTGTGCATCTGTGATTGTATATATGTGTCTATTTGTATCTGTGACTGTGACTGTTTGGAATGCACATTTGTGTATGTGAGCATGTGAATCTGTGTCTGGGAGCAAATGTGGGAGTGGGAGCTGTTGTGTGTGGGTATGGGGGGGGGGGCTGTTTGTGGTCTTGATGTGTTTGTTACATTTTTGGTGATGTTGTGATGTGTGTGTGTGATGCAACTGTGTGTATATTAGGGTGACTTTCAGTGGAGGAGTGCCTGTGCGTGACAGGGTGAGTGTGACTGGGTGATTTTTATCAAGTATATTTTATTTTTAAAAGTAAATATGGCACATGTCTGCACATGCTACCACTGTCCCAGAATAACCTACATGACGTAACACAATCCCTGCTGCCCAATAAGCCTTCTTAGTTAATGTTAGTGCATGGTGCATTTTCTGTTTCTCCCCCACACCCTGCCATATATCCTGCATGCAACCCCCCCAAACCTCCTTTCTCTCCATGTAAGGGACCAAGCTCCTGATCTCTCTCTCTATATATATATATATATATATATATATATATATATATATATATATATATATTGCAGTGTTTCAATTGTGCAATCTCAAATCTGATTGGTTAGATCAGTGTTCCCCCCAGGGTAGGCAAGAAGAAGCAGGTAAATGTGGGATTTAAATATATTTACCTGCTTTTTCTGCCTGCGGAGTGAGAGATTCTGCTCCAGGTTTGTAGCCCCTTCTGTAAACCTGAACACTTACACTGACTGAACGGTCTGCAGCAGCCAGACTCATAGGTGTGAGTGTGAGGTCAGATGTACAGTATGGATCAGTCCCAAAAACAGTTGGGATGCTTCATGATAGAAAGCAGCAACCTGCTTATTGCCAGCAATTATCGGTACCAGTCAGGCAGCCCCAAATACCGGCCAGGTGGCAACCCTATACTCACTGCTCCCTCACACGCACAGTTTAGTGAAGCATCTACTCGCGGCTCGCTGGACCGCAAAGATATTCATTGTGGGCCGCAAGTTTGACATGCTTGGTGTAGGGGTTCATCAAGTTTTCCTTTGGGCGCAAACACCAGGTGTTTCTGAAACCCAAAACAATAAACCTGGTGCCACTATTTTGTTCTCGTCTGTCAATCAAGGTGTGCGGTTTACTTCCGTGGGATTTGTTTGACTGATGGATTGTGGGTAATTGACCTTGGAAACTGAAATGGATCCTTGCAAATATACAGGTTTAGTTACTAAAGTGAGAATTCAAAGTGAATTTCAAATTTAAGGTGAGAGTATCTGAATGGAATAGGGCTAGGCAGTAGAATGGAATAGGAAATTAACTAATACGTATGACAGGAAGATTTCACTTGACTAAGTGGGGACTGCCTTAAACTCCACCCTTTGTCAAATTTGGTCAATCAGAGGAACATCAGAGGAAAATACATAAGACACAGTAGTCCCTACTTTGCCTTAAATATTTTAAAGAAAAGTTACAATTTAAAAGAGGAAATCCGCAACGGAAATAAGAGACGGGAAGAGAAGAAGAATCGATTTTAAGGAAAGGTAATTATGCCGTAATAGAGCCGCTTTAAGTAAATACATATTTTCAGTGTATCTTATGGCTTGCCCTTGCTCCTAGGGAGGCAGCCATCTTTAGATCTTCTTTGGTTGAAAGGACTATTGGTACAGCCGAGGAAAATGCAGGCAAGTGTGCGTTCGCAAGTCCTGATGTCACGTGCATGTGCTAGGTATCTCCAAAACATGCTCTAAAACCGTTTCGGCCCTTTACAGAGTGCATGGCTTTGTCAATTTCAGCCAAAGTGAACTTCAGGATTGCCACCTCTCTGGAGCATGATTAAGCTAGTGAATGTGCTGAACAGAGGTATATAATTGTGTTGCAATAATAAATACACCCAGGCTTTAATACATGTAATCTTGCTATTCAAATAATAAGACATTATGGCAGTTATCCATTAATTAATACAGATCCTTTTCACTGGTTTGTTTACTGTCTGCTTCACCTTTACATTGTAGGAAAAAATAAACAAACATTCTCACAATGCCATTAACAATATTTCTTTCTTTAAAGTCCTATTTTGACCCTGTGATCTCAACCCTATTTTTCACAATTTCCAATCTCTTAAAAGGGTGTTGAGTCATGTGTGTTTAAATCAAGACACACTCTATTGTTTAATACAATCTGGTATAAATGTAGGGATACACAAAAGAATGTTAAAAAAAAAAACCAAAAACTCTTCCGCTGTGTTAAACACCACGCTAAAAACAAAATTCTGGTTAATGAAAACGTATTTATACAATGGAAGTACGGTAGCTGCGACTATAGCCAAAATTTATAATTTCTCAGAATCCATTATTTTGGCTTCAGTTTTGCAATTCCATTTTTCAATTCATTGTTTTAGTGAATAAACCCCACAATTATTCTGATTGGGAAATTAATTAGATTCTAAAACGTGTTCCGTCTATGGAAAATGGACTTATCAGATGGGCCAGCTGGAGACGTAGAGCAGGCCCTGTGCATCTGCTGAATATACTCCGTAAGTGGTTCAATGGACTGATTTTTGCTTTGCAGGAACATCCGAGTGATCAGGAGGCGACTCAGGGATGTTTTGGAAAGGGGATCGTTGAATGCAGATAAGGCTCTCATTGTGTAAGTATAGGAACTTTTACTATTATTTATATTGCGAAAAAAATGAAAAACCAGGATGTGTTGTGCAGGCTTAGTTATTGCCATTTTATAGCACCAGCGTAATCTACATCTGTCTGTATAAAGATATTAGACTTGTCACTCAAATCCACTTATGTTTTCAACTTTGCAGATCCTAAATATACAAATATGTCGCACAAACACTAAACTGACCCTATATTGTGCACACTCACCAGCCATATCTATGCTGTGCCTTGCACGGTACGCAATACAAGTTTGCACTTTAAATTGTGGTTTCAAAAAGGGCAGTAAATTGGCTTTGTGACATACAGTAGTGTGTATTCTATAACTGACTGTCCTAAAATAATGCATTAAAATGGACAATATAATGTGTGAAGCAGAATCTATGTGGGTTTTTTGTTTGTTTTTTTACTCTCCCTTCTCCTCTCATGTCTATTTTTATTTTTCTATTTTAAAATAAAATCAAAATACTATAACACTTCTGGTGTTCGAAAAATACTTTAACCCCTTAAGGACACATGACGTGTGACATGTCATGATTCCCTTTTATTCCAGAAGTTTGGTCCTTAAGGGGTTAAACAAGAGGACATAGTCTTAAATTAGAGGGACAACGGTTTAAAAATAATATCAGGAAGTATTACTTTACTGAGAGGGTAGTGAATGCATGGAATAGCCTTCCAGCTGAAGTGGTAGAGGTTAACACAGTAAAGGAGTTTAAGCATGCGTGGGCTAGGCATAAGGCTATCCTAACTATAAGATAAGGCCAGGGACTAATGAAAGTATTTAGAAAATTGGGCAGACTAGATATATCTGCCGTCACATTCTATGTTTCTAATACTTATGCACTTTTAACTGGCAAAAAAACCCTTAGTGTAACCCATCAATCACACTCTCACAGTTGTGCCAAATTGAGTGTACAATACATATATATGTAGGTTGTGCACAGCTATCACTGCCTCCTTAAATCACCAAACCCGGTGTAAACAGGGGTGGAACCACAATGCAGTTATGTTGGCAAACATGTCTCACTTAGAATCTACTCCTTCATACATTAGTATTTAACAAAAGTATTGCTCAATCAGGCACAGATTGCCAGAAATAAAAATGACATGCAGACATTAAACGTAATCCCCGGGAGCGGAGCTTGCTACTGCACAAGAGTGGACACGTTTCCCTACAACTCTCGAAAATCTGTAGCTCTCTGACCTAAAATCACCCGTTTGGCTGCTCATCCAGAGGGGAGACTCACCAATCCTGTCTTGTGGTAACTCTCTGCACAGACTGGTGCCCTAATCCCCAAGGCTTACTTGAAATGGTGGGAACAGTTTGTCTTAAAGGGCAACGGTCCCCGCAAAGCTATTTTTAATATTATTATTACTGGTATTTATATAGCGCCAGCATATTCTGTAGCGCTTTAACAATATAACAATTCTTTCATCAACTTATAAAAAGGAAATATATCGTTTTTAAAGTGACACTCCAGGCACCCAGACCACTTCTGTCCATTGGAGTGGTCTGGGTGCCAACTCTCACTACTCTTAACCCTGCAACTGTAATTATTGCAGTTTTTAATAAACTGCACTAATTACCTTGCAGGGTTAACTCCACCTCTAGTGGCTGTCTACTAGACAGTTACTAGAGGGCACTTCCTGGATCATAGCACAGGAAACCTGTGCTAGAGCGTCGCTGGACTTCCTCACGCTGTGTGAGGACCTCCAGCATCGCTCATTTCCCCATAGGAAAGCATTGAAATGCATTTTCAATGCTTTCCTATTGGGAGCGCTAATGCGCACATAGGGTGTTGCTGCGCATGCGCATTAGCCTCTGTCCGTTCTCAGAATACTCTAGCGACCCATTTTTTGCTCTCCATTAGTTTAAAGGGTAATCCAGACGTGGACCCCTTGCTCACGGTGCCTAGAGAGATATCAGCTATGCCTCTCTGATGATGCCTAACAAGGCTGAAACGATCGTCTGGGGTTGCTGTATCTCTCGTGCAGAGAAAACTTGCTGGCATTTTGGATCTGGACTGCCCGTATGGGTGGGACCAGTCTGATATGCTTCAGATATGTTCTCTCTGTAATGGCACAAGATGAGCTAAAACCAGCTTGAGTTCTGAGCGGGGACCCACCGAAGGGCAGGCTATTTGGCTATTTTAGCTGCTGTCCGTTCTCAGAATACTCTTGCGACCCATTTTTTGCTCTGCATGCGCATTAGGTCTCCCTGGCCGGCGCAATGCAGAGGAGAAACGGCGGCGGAGGAAGAAGCAGCGGCGTGGGACATCGTCGCTGCCTCTGGTAAGTTACTGAAGGGCTTTTCACTCCTCCAGCAACCGGGGATTGGGGGGTGGGAGGGAGAGGGGACCTGCAGTGCCAGGAAAATGGATTGTTTTTCTGGCACTGAAGTTTCCCTTTAAATGAAGTATATGGAATAAAGAAAAAGAGAAAAACACATCCCTGCATTTAGCATATGACCGTATCTTTCATCCATATACATACACCGTTGGTCGGACAGTAACAGTCTCTATGGTCTTCCCAGCTTCACTCCCTGCACAGAACCAGGTAAGACAATAGACTGTCGGTTTGTAAACCTTGTCCGACCCAGGGTATATGTGTATGGCTAAAAGTTTCTGCCATATAATAAAGTTAGGGATGGGTTTTTCTCAATGTGTTTGTATGTATACTTCATTTAAAAATATCCTTTAAAAATGTGATGAAAGATTTATTATATTTAAAAATAAATAAACAAAATATATATATTTTTTTTTTTTTGAGGTGACCGTTGTCATTCAAGATTGAAACAGTTCCCACCACCATTTAAAGTAAGCCTTGACGGTTTATGTTTAATGTCTGCATGTCCTTTTTATTTCTGGCAGTCAGTGCCTGACTGAGCAATACATTTGTTCAATACTATTGTTAGAAGGAGTCGATTGGAAGTGAGACATGTTTGCCAACTTAACTACATTGTGCTTCCATGCCTGTGTTCACCGTTTGGGTATTTAAAGCGACATTCCAAACACCATAAACACTACATACTGCTGTAGTGGTTATGGCTGTAGTACCCTGTCACAGTCCCATCGTAGTCTGACAAGCCATTTTTGCATGCCCTGTTTGGTGTCTGGGCTTCATCCTGTCATCTCAGGCAGGAAAAGTCTGATGCCGATTTAGGCATACTTTCATTGGCCAAGACCACCAGTTGAGTCAGTGCATGATTTGAATCTGTTCTGATATTGAACAACCCTGATATCTAGCCTCTTCAGCTCTTAGAATACCAGATGCGGTGAGGTTCTGGGGTGAAGGTCAAACTGTGCTTAAAATTTTATATTACAATAGGATGAGGCCATGGCAATTATGGCACCAAAATCACTATGGAGGACTGCAGTAGGCATCATGCTTGGATCATTCCTTTAAACAATAAAATCATGGTGTGGTGATTGTTTCTGTAATGTTGGAGTTCCATTGTTTTCCACTTGCTACATTTTAAATAAATGCCTCCTTTCTTTCTAAAAAAAAATATATATTTTTAATATGTTCTATATATTTTTGTAGTACCAAGTGTAAAAAAAAGGACAGATCGCTCAAAACGTGATCAGCTGGAGAACCATATTGTACTTTATGTATACTATATGGAATTGTTCCATATTGAGGGCATTCTATTGATCCTAGTTATTACACCATATAGAACGGCAGATTTGCTGCCAGTTTAGAATTTCTGTAATTAATGTTGTTCCAATGGATTAGGTCCTAATCCGTGCACTGTTTGTTTTAGGGATGGATATGAGGTAGCCGTGGCCTATTTTAGAACTGGATACATGCCTCAAGATTATGAAGACAAGGTGTGTATTTAATTCCAAATAAAAAAGACTGTTTTAAGACTGCCTTTGTGTTTTGTTACTCTTTTTTTCGAGAAACTGATATAAACCGAATAAACAAAAATACAATGCAACATATTGTATTGTTATCTTGAGAATAGTATCATTTGAGAAAAAAAAAATACAAACCTCCATGTTACCATCTACACTTTGATTGTGTTGGGTTTACCCACTAATCTGCAAATTGTAATTCAAAGAGATTACAAAAATGTAAACAAAAAGGGCAGATTTTAAAAAATTTGCCTACTTTACTATTGTGACATCAAGTCAATTTTGAAATTAGATTTCTAGTTCATCGCAATTCTGTGTTTAATGAATAAGCCCTTATGTGTCCCTTTATACAGCTGAGATGAATTAATTTCTGCCGTAGTGCCATGTGCACCTAATGCTAATAACAATGTGGACTTGTGCATGTTGAATGATTCTTGGTGTGTGGGTTGTAGATTGGCAGGAGAAGTGTGGCGTGGGTCATGTAATGGAACGAGGTTGAGTTGGTTCTTCATGGTGTTTATGTTCTAATTATGGTTTGTGTGACAGTACTAGTCTTCTGCATGCGGAGATGTGGTAAGGATGGTTTTCTCCAGACTGACTGAGATCTTTGATGACCATGAGATAACGCACAATGTGCTGATAATTTGTCACACCATACAGGATTGGGAAGCGCGTCTCTTGATGGAAAGATCTAAAGCAGTGAAATGCCCAGATGTGGCCACTCAGCTAGTCGGCACCAAGAAGGTTCAACAGGAACTGAGTCGACCTCTTACCTTGGAGAAATTCCTACTAGATCGACGTGAAGCTACTGCTCGGATTAGAGAGACGTTCGCAGGCCTGTACACCTTGGATATTGTACGTGTGATTGTGATCTTTTCAAAACTTGGCACCGTTACGTCAATTATTTTGAACAAAGTGACACACAGAGAGGGTTGATCAATATACTACATTGTTCATCTCTCTACCAACTCAATGCCATGCTTTAATATGTTAATCTAGATCTGAATAGTATTTTTTATTTTTTTTGCAAGAGATACCAAATGTAAGTAGGTTTGTGTAGTGTTTAATTAATAGAAGATTAGTAAAGCATAAACTTTATAAATTGTTTATTTAGATCTTGCAGCAGAATAGATGCACAGAAATGCTCACATCAAATTGCGTAACACTATCTGTGTGCCAGGATACTAACGCTAAATCCATTAAGTGAACCAGTCTGCCTTGTTTCTTCATTAATATGCCTGGGGATGCGGGTCACACCTCATGTGTAAAGTCGACACATGAGCTTCATTAGCCAGCATGCTGGCCACAGTACAGACTAACGTCATGTCACTTCGTTCTTATTCTCCCTTGCCAGTGGTTGACTAGGGAGCTTCAGTAGCAACCACCGCGCATGCACTGTGGTTGCTATGTGGAGAGAGCAAAGGGACCGTCTGTTGGAGGTCTATTCTGTTCTCCCTTCTCAGTTAAATCTTCGGCATAGCGTCTAGAATTGACTGACAGATGGAAAATGGGAGAAAGACCTATTTTTTTTTACCCTCACAAACTATATATTTGCTAGAAAATATGCTAGCACAACATAGATATAACATTTTATGATCTTTCAAAGGAACGAAAGTTATAGGAGGCATTACATATATCCTTTAACGTCACAAATGACCTGCGTAAGGAAGGGAAACACCGAATGGTGTTTCTAGTTGTGATCATTCTAGCAATAGTTAGTCTTGTTAAAAACATTGTATTATGTAAGTTTGATATTAACTGTTTGAACTGCAAAGGTTCAAGAAGGACTGTGATTCAGATGTGGCTTGCAGACAATGGGGTGAGCCTTTTGAGGTTATCATAATTTTATCATTCTGCTTTAGGGTGAAGAGGGTGATAAGACTGTGGAAATAGCCATTGCTAACCCAGATCAGTTTGTGCTGAAGCCTCAGAGAGAAGGTGGAGGTGAGTCAGAACAAAACACGATTTCCATAGATTTAGCGTGACTTGACAGTGTTGAATAACCATTTGCCGTAAATGAGGTTTATATTTTTGTATTCAGCATATCAAAAATAATAAGCATCACTTTTTTTTTTATTCCTCTTTAAGGGAACAATATATATGGGGAGGAGATAAAAGAAGTGTTGGAGAAGGTTAAAGACAGCATCGAACGCACCTCCTTTATACTGATGGATAAGATCAGGCCTCGACCTCTTAAGAATTGTCTCCTGAAAGCTGGAGGACAAATTCAAATCTCAGAATGCATCAGTGAGCTTGGCATGTTTGGTGTATATGTTAGGTATGTGTCTCCAATTGTTAAAAGGGTACTTATAGCATTTGTCAATAAATGTGTTCTAGATTTTTTGGGGTCGCTGTCAGTGGCCTGTGTATGAGTAAGTTGCTTGTCTGAATTTCACTAGGAAGTGTGTATATATATATATTTTTTTTTTTTATTATTCTCTTTTTTTGCTCTGATAGACAAGCAATGACATGATAATACAGACTTATGCAAGACTGTGACAGTACAATGTCGGTTTATGGGTTACAGAAGGCAAATTTGGTTAATTAGTACAGTCACTATACATACATTGTTTGATATGTTTGCATTGTCATCAGGATTTTTCTTTTATGTTTTCAAACAGGTGCAACTGTATACAATGGCAGTATTTTTTTGAGGAGTAGGCTTTGTTGACTGATTGCAGCAATGAGACTCTTATTTAATGACAGTAGTTTCATGGTTGTTAAAGACGGTGGTGATATAGTTACTGTACACATTAATGTCATCAATCTTTCGATAGGTTTGTGCTAATTTACGCTAGTCTCCCTTAAGGAAGTATATTTTTAAAGGGACACTGTAAGCACCAAAACCATGTTAGCCTAATTCAGTGATTTTGGTGTATATATAATGCCCCTGCAGTCTCATTTCTCAATTCTCTACCATTTAGGAGTGAAATCACTGTTTCTAGCCACACCTTTCCTGCATATGACTCACAGTCTCCCTGCGCACTTTCTGTTTAAACTTCCTTTCTTACACATTCTGCTTACTTTAGAATGTTGTATCTCCTGCTCTGTTATTAGTCTTCTAGACCCTGCATGAGCCTCTTCAGTGTGATTAAAGTTCAATCAACAGAGCAGGAAATAAAAACATCTAAAGTAAACACACTGTGCTGTCACATCTGATTGAAACAGATACCAAACAGAAACAAAAATGATCTAACTCCTAAATGGGAAAAAAAAATTGAACAGTGAGACTACAAGAGCAGTATCAATACACCAAAACTGCTTCATTAGGCTAAAGTTGTTTTTGGTGCTTGGAGTATCCTTTTAACCTGCTGGTCTCCATATGCTGTAAAACAATGGTTCTCGATCCTCGAGACGTACCAACAGTCCAGAATTTAAAGGAACATTCTGAGCACCATAACCACTACAACCTGCCAGGTGCCCATGTTGCATACATTCTTCTCAAGCAGGAGATGCCAACACATGCATTCATTCATTGGCTGACAGCGGTTCCCAAATGTTTTAGGTTCAAGGCGCCCTTTATATTTTAATATTTTTTCAAGGCACCCCAAGTCAAAATTTCTAGGTTATATATCTGTATAGCGCTGTGGCATTTATTGGCGCTAGAGTGTAATGTATATTGTTTGTGTTTGAAGGGGTGCTTGTATATAGTTTTAGTGTTCTAATACAGGGGTGTGTTTGTATGTAATGTTTGAGTTTGATTGCAGGGGTGTGTCTGAATATAATCACTTTTTAATGCGGATGTACATTTGTGTTAAGTATTTGTGTTTGAGTGATGGGGTGTGTTTGTATATTTTTTTGGGGGAGTTTGTATGTAATATTTGTGTTAGATTGCAGGAGTGTGCTTCTATGTTGTGCTGGTGTTTGACTGCTTGGATGTATGCGCACACACTACCACATACTTACACGGATATACATGCACATTAACACACATACACACACACACCTTTACACACGCATACACTGACATATATACAGACACACACCCTGACCCATACAAACATTAATACAGACACGCACCCGGACACACAGATGTGTGCACACACACTGACCGAAGCACAATGGCTTATACGCACATACTCATACATACATATTTACACACACACACGTGATATTTTTTTATATCTCCAGCCACCCTCCTGTTAGCTTACCTTGTATGTCCAGGAGGGTGGCTTGGAGTTTTGCTGGCTGCTGCATGTGAGGGGTCTGGAGCAACTCTGGACTGCTCCTCTCCATCTCTCTGCATGACACTGGGAGGAAGTGACAGGCTGTCACTTCCTCCCAGCTGGCCGACATTACAGGGGCCCTGTCGCGGTCTTAAAGGACCATGGCACCCGAACGGCCCCTGCTCAGCAGTTATGTTTCCCGGTGCTATAATCACAGCACCGAGGAAACATTCCGCGGCACCGCTGTGACACACAGTTTGGGAACCGCTGGGCTGAGAGCATCAGCTGAGCAGTCTCAGCCATGGACGAATTCAATGAGGAGCTACATTGAACTGAATGACATCTGGCTTCTCCAGCTCTTAGAAAACCAAATGAAGGGCAGACCTCTGATATGACACAGCTAAGTGTCAAACCATGCTTAAACGTTTTATTATGACAGATTACTCTGGGACTGTGTCAGGGCACTCCTGGCACCACAGTCTATACAGGTAGCTCTTCTGCATATGGTGCTTGCAATGTTCCTTTAAGCATTTCTCAGTTCCCTTTCCATGGGAATACAGACTGTCAGTTACTGTGCCTTTTAGACTCGTTTCAGAATGAGTTGTCAACTGATTTAGGTGTGAGCTTTTTTTCTTGTTTCAGCCTGTGTTGGATGAGCTAGCAGTATTCATTTCAACCACACGTGCTTGTAAGGCTGGAACGTCTCACACGTTCAAATCTGTTCTAATCTTTATTCAATTAAACACACACAAAAAAAAAAAAAACAGGTGATTATTAATCTTAAATATTAAACGTTGTAAAGGATTAATAGTCCTTTTATGGGTAATGCCAAACTACCAAGTAACAGCAAGTGAGAGACATACATGTATGAGTATGGCTTTTATTGCAGGTTTCAGTCAGTGATTGATATTTTTAGTGTGGCATCTCTCTCTCTTGCTCGTGTCTTGCCATGGCCGTTTATCCTCTTACCCAGAGGATACATCTTTCACCCATCTGTTAAAGGGACACTATAAGCACCCGGACCATTTCATCTCATTGAAGTGGTCTTGGTGCGGTGTCCCAGTCCCACTAGGCCCTTCAATGTATATCTTTGCAGTTTTTGGTGGCTAACCAACTTTTGGTTGCCCAACTGATGCTGGATGTCCTCACACTCTGTATGAGGACATCCAGTGTCAGTAAAATTAAAACAATGCTTACCTATGTGGAGGGCTTAATGTGCTTGCAGCGCATGCTGTGCATGCACATTAGTCCCCTCTCCGCCGTCAGATGACAACAGAGGAGGCGAAACACTGACCCAGCACCGAGGGACATCGGCGCTGGAATCGGGGGACTATAAAGTTTTTTTTTTTTTTGTTTTTTTTTTTAATCCTTCATGAGCGGAGGGGTGGGGGATGAGAGGGCTCTATAGTGTAAGGAATGCAACTTTGTATTCCGTACACTATAGATTCCCTTTAATAATATGACACCCCTCTCATTCCCCAATGTCTGCCGCACAATTTAGTATTCCATTGTTTACAAATATAGCTAATCTGTAGAGAGCTCAAAGCTTCCTCTCGCCCACCAGCTATTGGCGAGTAGAAAATCACCCCAGCTGAGTGTACCGTAGATCTTACAGGCTTGCGATGGTGCTGTGGCTAATTTTTGTTCCTTTTTAGGCAAGGAAAACAAGTGGTCATGAATGAAGGTGTGGGTCACCTCCTTAGGACAAAAGCCACGGAACATGAAGATGGTGGAGTAGCAGCAGGTGTGGCGGTCCTGGACAATCCTTACCTTGTATAATGTGAGATAATAGTGGACCTGTAATCTCTTAATGTGCCTAAAAATACCTGTGCTGGATCCTAGAGGTTATATTTGTAAACTAAAATAGCCCTAGTGGGGATACATCAGATGTTATTCTCAGTCTCTTGTGAATTGTTTTCCGCTAAATAAGAAACCACTGCTCATAGGCAAGTAGACCATTTTATCTTGATGGACAAACAGAGCAATGTGGCACAGTAGTAAATTGTGGTGGCCCAGCAACAATGGTCTTCTAGAGATCTCAGACAGAGTTTGTGCTTCGAGAGCCTTGTATCAAATTGGAGCAATCCCCCCTCCCCCTGGTCTCTCTGATGCCTTCATAAAAGGGCCACCAGAGCCAGTTTTCTATCAGATTCAGTTACCCGTTAGATTGTTTCCTCCAGCTCTCCGCAATGTTCGGAGTTCAGTTTGTCCCTATAACCCATGCGCTCTGAGCCGGTTAAATGGTCCTTTCTAAGGTTCTCTAGGAGAAACACTCTAAGCACCAAAACCAATTTATCTTAAAGCAGCTCTGTAACTCCCTCAAGGAGTTTTCCATAAAGATATAATTTTTATGAATTACTCACAATGACTGTGTTGGAATTTCACTGAAATTTCAGTGCAGTCAAGATAGATTAAAACAAAGTAGGGAGTTGACAAAAGGCTGAGCTACTGCCGTTAAGTTTTGTCATTAACCCATCTTCCATTGACCTTAGTGTCAAACTCGCCCCCTATTGTTTTTAAATGAAATATTAGTTTACATAATTCTTATTATTCCTTTAATATAAAAGAAATGGTTTTTGTAATTTACTGTTTCTATCATGTATTTTCTTCCCAGTTCTCTCCACTGAGGCATTACTATTAGGGTGTTTAAGCCTCTCCTGGTATGTTTTACCAGTGAAATCTTGTACGATTGTGTTATTCACAAATATTTTGTCCTTTCAAAAGAGCAGTTCAAGCCTGCAACAGTGATATTGGTGCCAGCAATGCTATGGAACCATTCCAAGCACTGTAAACAATAAACTAGTGCTCACCTGCATCCCACCGGCATCCGTGCTGATTTTTGTTTTATTCATCTCGGAGTTGGAGAAGCCAGGTGTGAACATTTTTCAATACAAGAATGGAGTCCGGTAAACATTGGCTTTGAGTACTCTGCCAATAAATTAATACCTGTATTGACATCTCCTGGCACCATAACAACTATTGGCGGCTGTAATGGTTATGGTGCTTGGAGTCTTCTTTTATATCTTACTGAATACAGTAGTTTTAAAAGTATGTACACTGCCCCCTCTCCCTCTGAAATAAGCCTGCATGGACCAAGCAAACAGCTATACATGATGACCTTTTTGCTGAATGTCTCACAGAAATTGTACTGTTGTAGATGTTCCTCAGTGAGGATATTTACAGTGGAACACAGAACAAAAGCTACATTATTTGGCTCAAACACTTTGAACTAAGTCTGCACGTGTTCCAATCACTCATTTTGATAGCCTGCCTGTCTTGTTACTACAAGTGGTTTAAATGGTCACTCGATTTATTTTGCTCCAGTCTTTGCATCTCCTTGATCTTAACAATTAATATTATTTTGCTAAGCCATGTTTTCATCAATTTTGAGCAGTCTTTTGTCATGTCATTAGATGTTTGGTATGTATATTCTTTGAATTATTTATAAAATATAAAAAGCATTTTTATCTGGGATCACATAGAATGGTACTTGAAAAACATTAATAGAGAATTTATAAATCTAACTTATGTTTAAAGTGACTCTCCAGTACCAGGAAAACAAAGCTCTCCCTCCCACCCCCATCCCATGTTGCTGACGGGGATAGAACCCCTTTAGTGACTTACCTTTAGCCAGCGCCGATGTCCCTCAGCGCTGGTTCAGGGTCTGCCCACGCTTCTCCGCAATGCCGCGCACACGCATTAGACATCCCCATAGGAAAGCATTGAAAGCATTGCGTGAGGACGTCCAGCGACGCTATAGCACAGTGACGCTATTGTACAAAACCAGTGCAATAGACAGCCACTAGAGGGTACTTCCTGGTTTACTAGACAGCCACTAGAGGAGGAGTTAACCCTGCAATGTAAATATTGCACCTTATGAAATGTGCAATAATTACAGTTGCAGGGTTAAGGGTAGTGGGAATTGGCACCCAGACCACTCCAATGGGCAGAAGTGGACTGGGTGCCTGGAGTGTCCCTTTAAGGTATATTGTCCGCATTAACCCCTTCAAGCCAGAGATTTGGCAGATGACAATCAAGTAATAGAGAAGTGCTTGCCCCCTAGTATCATTTTAGCTAAAACATAACGTTTAATATATTGATTAAAAAAAAATATTGCTGTTAGTAAATCAAAAGGCAAACCAAAAGAAAATTTCATAATAAAAATATCAATAATATAAAGCAAAAGGTATAGAGAGAAAACTCTACCAGATTATCCAAAAACATATAGAATGATAGGTGTTTATAAAAAAAGAAAAAATGTATGTAAGATTAATCAATTTATATATTGCTGGGATTGCAGGCTGAGCCCAGTTATAAAAATCTGTAGTGTTTAAGAGATGCCAGTAAAGCGAAAACTGGCGATCCCAGAAGACACAAGTAGATATAACAATGTTATCAGCCTGTAAGATAATGCTCATTTTATTATATGCTAGATCCTGCTACTCAACAAGCGATCTAAAACTTACATTCAGAGTATTATGGATGTTAATTTTATTCACGATTTTAGAAAGAGTTAGATACAGCATTTAAAATAAAAAAATAAATAAAAAAGTACACTATTTAAATTTATACCAACTTGAATGCTGTAGTTTCTGGAGAAATTACAATTTGCCTTTACAGTACAAATTTAACTAATAATTAGGCATTGGGCGACATTACTTTAATATTAAACCTGCTTCCCAATCAAGAGACCTAACAAGGTTTTATGTATTATCATTTTGAATTGCTAAGTAAAATGTGATGTGTGCCAATGTACTGTTGTTCTCCAATAGGTTGATTTTTGTAATTGGCTATTTTTGTTCATTAAAAGATTGCCATAATAGTTTTGTATAATATCATTTCTCACTGATTTTACTGTACAAATATAACATTGAGTTCTCAATATGCCTGTCTAGATTGTTCGATATTTCAGTTTTACTTCTTGTGATTGATCTTGCTACAATAGGTACCCCCCCCCCCATTTTACTTTAGGGCCTCCACCCTTCGCTCAGGGGTGGGGACCGGGGGTGGTGGACAATAGGTGTCTTCCCCTCCCTCTTATTTTACTTTAGGGCCCCCACCTGCTGCTCAGGGGTGGGGGCCAGGTGGGGCAATAGGTCCCCCCTTCAGTTTAAAAGCCCTCACTTGCACGGGGGGGGGGAGGTGGGGGTGTGGAGCACAGGGTTTTTTTGGGGGGGGGGGGGGAGGTTTTAACAGTGAGCAGCCACAGGCTCCTCACTGTTTACTAGACATGCCCCTACTCGCAGCATAGCGAGTAGGAGCAGAATTGACCAATACTAAGTAATCTTTACTTAGTATTAGTAAATTTGGCTAAAAGACCAATTTAGGTCTTTCAGCCTTTTGGTAGATAGCTCCCCAATACCGTGGGAATTAGGGAGTTATCTACTTATTTATTCCCATCCATTAACTGGCTAAGTAACTTACATTTTATATGAATGTGTTACTTGAAGTGTTGCAAATGCTTACAGCTGAATCCTGGCTATGTTTTGTATACTTTTTATTTAAACTGGTATACAGTGTAACATTCTTAATTCTTCCACTGGGTATATTAGTGCTTCGGCAATTGCACACGTCTAGATCTCGCATCTTTCTTCTTCCCCTTACCTCACTCCCTCTGCTGTTCTATGTTTATTGGCACCCACTACAGCAGAAGAGGTTACTGCTCTATTCGAGTCCTCCCGCCCTACCACCTGCTCCCTAGATCCAATTCCCTTGCATCTCATCCATCCTCTGTCTTTCTCTACCTCTCACTAAAATTCTCAATCTCTCTCTCTCCTCTGGCATATTTCCATCGCCCTTCAAACATATAACTATAACCCCAATTCTAAAGAAGCCCAACCTTGACCCTCACTCCCCATCCAACTACCGTCCTATCTCGCTACTGCCTTTTGCGTCCAAGATCCTTGAAAGAGTTGTGTAAATGAGATTGACAGACTTCCTTGAGTCCAACTCTGTTAGACCCGCTTCAGTCTGGTTTCCGTGCTAAGCACTCTGTAGAAATGGCACTGACCAAAGTATCCAATGATCTACTCACTGCAAAATCTGATGGTCACTACTATCCTAATTCTCCTTGACCTGTCTGTGGCTTTTGACACTGGTGATCATCAACAACGTCTTATCCTTCGCAATATCGGTCTACAAGATATTGCTCTCTCCTGGTGCTCCTCCTACATCTCCCAGTGCTCTTTCAGTGTTTCTTTCTCTGGCTCTTCTTCTCCACAACTCCTTTCTGTTGGTGTCCCCCAAGGTTCAGTCCTTGGTCTCCTATTGTTATCTATCTATACGGCCTCCCTTGGCTTCCAATATTATTTATACGCGGATGACACACAAATCTACCTGTCCTCTCCCCGTCCCTCTTGACTAGTGTCTTTGACTGCCTCTCTGCTATTTCTAACTGGATGGCTGCCCACTTCCTTAAACTCAACTTGACCAAAACTGAAATTCTGGTCTTTCCTTTATCAAGTGTTGCTACTACTGTGTTTGTCTCCCTCCAAGTCAACAGTGCTACCATCACTCGGACCTCTCCTTTACGCCTCATGTTCAGTCGATCGCCAAATCCTGTCACTTCCATCTCAAAAACATTGCGCACATCCGACCCTACTTAACACCAGATGCGACTAAGGTACTGGCCCATTCCACTGAACTTTCTCGCCTTTTTTGAGAAAAAAAAAAAAAAATCATCAATGAAGAGGTATAACAGATTTAGGTTTTCCAATCAAATAGCACCACAAAAATCTGTGCCTCTGTCTGAGTGAACTATATCTTAGTTTTATTAACTTCACGTGTTTGCTACTCCTGGGTGCCCAACTGTGGCTGTCTGAGAACAACACATGGGGGTTCTAGGTTGGACACACCTGCTCTAAATTCCTAAATGTACAAAAATTGCAGAAAGTAATGGTTGTTCCATATAGAGGGGAAAAAATAAGGTCAGTGTGGAGGAATCTTCTCAAGGAGAACTTTCACTATAAGAAGGTCCAAAAGGCAATATTTCCCACCTTTATCGACATAACAATTTGATTTTACTTTAAAGGGACACTATAGGTACCCAGACCACTTAATATGAATGAAGTGGTCTGGGTGCAGTGTCCCGGTCTGTTTCTGAGAAACTGCAATGTTTCATTGCTGGGTTAAGTCCACCTTCCAGACAGCCAAGAGAGGCGCTTACTGGTGCTTAACAATGTTTTACTTCATGAAATAACATTGGACGTCCTCACGCTTTGCATGTAAAACATTCTGTAAAAACATTTTAAGCAAATAGGATCTAGAAAGTGGACCTTACTCGAACGGACGCACACAGCCAGTGTAGTGAAGGTACATATGGTCAGGCCCTTACAACTCCACTTTATACATTTAGGAACATAAGTATCAGACAGAACACCCAAAGTGAAAAAGTAATCATTTATTTAGCAAAAAAAAAAAAAAATTCAGTATCATTGATGAAAAACCTTTTGAGGCTCTTCGGTTTCTGGTTGGTTGGCAGAGAGAGTGCTAGCTTTTTTGTTTTTTTTTTGTAAATTTTTAAACACTGGTACTGATTCATAAAATAAGGATACAATTATGACCGTTCTATTAGTCTTATATGATCAGGCAGGAAGCAGGATCACAGAATATTCTTTTAGCCATATTTCAACAGGCTTCGTTAATTTAGAATTCTGGCTCCCCAACTATCCAGGTTTTAGGGAATTTCAAGTCCTGTTACAATGAGGAAGACTGACCAAACCTGTATCACAGAGGATGACTGTCTTGTAACCATTATCATCACAGTCCCACTGGCAGCTCTGTAGAATTATGTTGGCCTGCAGCCTGCCTGCAAGCCATATTAATCCCTTTTACATCTAAAATGTAACACTAAAGAACATATCTAAACTTCATTGGAATGAAACCATTTCCAGGAGAAAAAAAGCAAAGGGGGCAGAGGGGGGGGGGATTCCCTTACATATGCACAACACCATTTCCAGGAGAAAAAAGCAAAGGGGGCAGAGAGGGGGGAGGATTCCCTTACATTTGCACAACCAGATGTTGTAGAACTACACTTCCCAAGATGTGTTACCAGACTTAAAAGTTTAACAAAGACCTTAATATGTCAAAACATTGAATGCTGTGGGACCGCAAGAATGTTTGGAGTGTTTTACCACTACTGGGCTGTGTTGGAGTCCATTTCTTTTGCCATCCCTTAAGCCGAGCAAAGCATCACAGTATCTGTAGTTTTACACCATTTGGTATCCTACGTAAGACCACATGCTTTATATCAAAAGTATTAACCGAGCCCATCAAGATTTCCAATGATGGCCTGTCTTATAAGAATAATGCCCTTAAATTACACAGCTTGCATACATTCAGACTGTTTTCAAAAGGTTAACTGTGATTCTACTCAAATCCAAAACCATAAAATAAGCAGGATCTATCCTTTGCCTCCCTCCTGCTGCTAGCTTATAGTTACCATCATTCTCTTAACAATAACAGCCGCACAGACGAGCATTAGACGGCGTTAATGTAGCTCGTAAGTGCTACATTAAAAGGGGTTAGTATTTTCTCCATCAGCTACTTCTACAAGGACTATAGCAAACCTGGTGCTCAGCATTATGGTAAGTGTAGGCCCTGGCAACTGTATATATAGAGATTAACAATAAAACCAATATAGTTCTTTCAATCAAGGATCGTTATTCAGTGCTTCAATACAAAGAAAGATGCCTGAGCAGTCTTTATTGATTTAAATCAATATTTTGGCTCCCTACTGGAGTGTTTAGCAGACACGCTTGATAAAGGATCTGCTTAACATAAGATTTAGTATGGAGGGTTTCTGAATTCAAGCTAAAGACATAATTATACTGGGATAAAATTTACAGTTTGAAACAACCACAAGATCGCAGTCACAAGACAAAGACACAATCTGCACATACAACAAATAGTAATTACTCCTTCATACAAAGCGCAGAGACCGATATGGCTAAAATATCCAACATTTGTTAACATGTCTTAACGATTCCCATTGGTTGTGCCTTAATGCACCGTCTGACATCTGTTTTCAAATAGCTGATTAATCACAGAGGTATCTGCTAGGGTTGAAATGTCACCCAAATCCCTATCATTTTTGGCAATTTTTCTCAACACCCGTCTCATGATTTTACCTAAGAGAAAGAGAAGAACGTACATTAGCTTTTGTATGGGAAATCCCTGTGATGTCAGTCTTTAATTCATAGTTTAGGGATATAAGACTAGAGAGTAGTCCCATTTACCTGAGCGTGTTTTTGGTAGTCCGGGGGCATTCTGAATATAGTCTGGAGTGGCGATTGGTCCAATCTTTTCCCTTACTGGAAGTTAAAAGAAATGATCATTTTAAACAACAACTCAATCTAGAAATATTATACTTCTACGCTGGGAGTCTGATCTATGGCATTTTTCACCTTAAAGGACCACTATAGGCACTCAGACCACTTCAACTCAATGAAGTGGTCTGGGTGCCAGGCCCCCCTAGTTTTAACCCTGCAGCTGAAAACATAGTTTCAGAGAAACTGCTATGTTTACACTGCAGGCTTAATGCAGCCTCTAGTGGCTGTCTCCCTAGATGCTGGAAGTCCATGAGGACGTCCAGCATCAAATAAGTGCAATTTACTTTGTGTAAATAGCTTCCGCGATTTACACAGAGTAAATTGCACTTATTTGATGCTGGACGTCCTCATAGACCTCCAGCGTCAAAAAAGATCACCATAGGAAAGCATTGAGTAATGCTTTCCTATGGGTGGGTTTGAATGCGCACGTGGCTCTGGCCGCCAATGCGCATTCAGCTCCACTCGGGAGCTGACGTCGATGGAGAAGGAGAGGTCACCAGTGCCGAGGGAGCCCGGCGCTGGATTAAGGTAAGCAAATAAGTGGTTAACCATTTATTCACTGTGGAACGGGGTCCTAGTCACTGTTTAGGTATTGTATTTGCCGCTATGGTTTTCCGGGAAAAAGGAAAACCTATTCATACACACT